TAACACAGCTCAAACGATGTGTGTACAATTATTTGCAGTAAATATTATTATGCCATTTAATTGAAATACTTGCTCAGGTGTGGGGATGATGATAATGATGATGATGGTTGTGTGGGTCGTGTGGGTTGTGACTCAGTTAAAGTGTTTGCGCTCTTGCAGCTGTGTGTTGCAATAACAGCTCCTTTCTTCCCCACTCTCTCTCTCTCTCTCTCTCCCGCTTTCTATCTCTATTTCTTTCTCTCTATGTTGTATTGTTCTGGCAAAAAAGTCATTGCGCTTTTTTTTTTTGGAGCGTGAACAGCTGGAAAAGTCGTACCTGTTCCATTTGCTGGCCCGCCCGTACTTTTATGGGTTCGTCGGTACCTTATGCTGCTGCCACAAGCAACAATGTTGCAAGTGGTAACGGCTGCTGTCTGTTTGTCTGCCTCAAAACAATGGCTCCACTTGGCCAAAAACAACAACAGCAAGAAAGAGACTTTAGACCAGACCAGACTCTGACTGCGACTTGGTTGAGTGCCTTCGCCGTTTGTTTTATGCTCCGACTGGCTTTGGATCTAGCTCTAGGCCTGACTTTAGCTGCAGCTTTGGTTGTGGCTCTGGCTCTGGCTCTTTGGCTGTGACCACGCTCTGTGTTATTGCTACGCATTTATAAAAAGCGGAACATGGCACAGTGGGCGACTTCCTGTCATACGCAACAGGAAAGCAACAAGGAAACCAACTTACTGCAAGTCGTTTGACTTCTTAAAAATTCCTTGTACTTAGAACTGAGTTTCAGCTGAAGTCCACATTTCCTCACATAAGGCCTGTGTTTCAACCGGCGTTCGCTGGATGATGGATACAACTCGGTATTTGGAAACATTAAAGATTAATGATCGATTTTAAATGCATTTTGAAAGAAGGAAATAAGCATTTTGATTAATAGGCTGTAGAGAATTATCAACTGGAAATTAAGATTATTAATAATTAGTAATAAGTAATTCAGAATCTCTTGAGCATTAATAACTTGACACAAAACATTTTACCAAATAAATATTGCGTAATAAATCCAAATAGTTTGTTTGTGGAATAAAAATTACTCATTAAATAACACTAGCCCCACTGTGCGTGAGTCTAGTTTCTGTGTTTGTGTGTGTGAGCGTTTAGTCTGCAGCTGTTGCTGGCGGCGCATCGGCGCAGTGGCGAACATTGCGCATTGTTCTATGGAATCAATCAATTGGTTTGGCAGGCGCAGCACCAGAACTGCCAGAAACGAAGACGTCGAAGAAGACGACGATGACGTCGAAGTCGTCCATCGTCGATGACGATGACAACGCGCACGACGTCAACATAAAAGTGTCGATCAACTAAACGCTGTCGGCCCTGTCTGGCTGACTGCCTGCCTGGCTGACTGCCTGACTGCTGCCAGCGAAAGGCAGTGCTGTGAAAGAGCTATTATAAGCATGGCTTAGGCATGGCCAGCCATGAGGCAAGTTCATGGCTCGCTGAAGCGACGACATTGTCTTCTACTCTCTTGGGCACATCATGGTGCCGATTCTTAAAGCAATTGTACATCCAGCTGAATGTAATTGCATGCGTCGTGACTTACACCCCGACTCCAGTTCCTATCATCCAGTCCCCAATTCCAACACCGTGTGCGGTGCCGGAGTCCAATGACCGCCAAAGCAATTCAATTTTTTGGGCGCCTAAGCAAACACTATTCGTATTATTGAATGCATGTCGGTGTTTGAGTGTTTGACAGTTGCTGCTGCTGCTGCTGCTGCGGCTGCGGCTGCAGTGCCTGCGCTTGACCGTTAGGCAAACATAGTAAGAAAAAAAACCCAAGAAAGCCTCTTGCTATTAAATTCAATGTAAGGTTCAAGTGCTTGTGCACTTGAAATTAGAATAAAAAGCATTGAATCTAGCTATCCTCTGTAGCACTGCGCACTTCTCTGGACCAGGTACAAACGATGAGAACCAATTGCACTCACAATGAAGCTATAATTCTTATGGCCATGGCAAGTCGTACAACAGACTCGCGTAGTTGCTAGCTACATGCGAGTCGACGTGATAAAGGACTCATTAAAGCATCACCTGAATGGGCTGGTCTAGCAGCCTCCAATTCGTAGATGCAAGTCAAACGCTTGAGACACACACATTCAACTTGTACGAATGTACTCACAGACACACACACACACACACATCAGTTCGCTTTTTCAATTGCTTTGCCACTTTAAAGGCCTCACAAAACTCAAGAGCGAACCAGTCTTTTAATACGCTTACCCAATTTTGGGCTACATTAACTTGGCGAGTATCTTTGCATCACTTTTGATACAAATTAACATATACAGTTCAAAAGATGTTCTTTCTATTAATGTTATAGTGTTAAATACATGTTGATAACAGATTATTTAATAAACTATATTGTTTCAACAAATAATAATGTGTCATACAAATTTAACAAAAAATGGAAAAGAATATTCACAAAAATAATACTGCTTATCTTATGGATTTATTTTGTGTAAGAAACAATGTTTTAAGATCAAGATACTCGATTAACCAATATATCTTTCATAAATTCTTAACTAGTTTCCAGAGTGTATTCACTTCTGAGCACTACCTCTTTCTTCACTCCTATTTATTTTGGCTGGAAGGCTTATCTAACGTTGCATATATTCAGCAAAATAGAAAGAAGACGCAAACAAGTTGCCTGACTGCCAACGAGTAACAGTTACTTTTCTCTATGCACACATATAAATACATATAGTGTTTGCTGCCGAGGTGCTGTTGCATTATAGGAAAAACGAGAGAGTGCAGCAAGAGGCAAGCGGCAAGCGGCAAGCGGCTAGCAGCCAGCAGCCTGAGCTCCCAGAGCTGACGCCCAGTTTCGCCATCATGGGAACTGGGAAGACGCTTTGGCTAGCTGACTGGAGTAGCTAACTGGTTGTCCAGTCACGAGCTGTGCGCACAGTCAAAGACTTCCCGATTTACCATTCTATTCTATTTCTTGATGCCAGCCTGACCCAAACAGCCGTCAATTCATAAGCGCAGCTAACACTTTTACCCCCCTCCGCGCACTCTTCTCGACTTATATACGAATACACTTGCAATTTAGCGGCATTACGTTTGCCGAGTCGCAAGTACGAGGCCCACTCCCCATTTATTATTATTATATTTTGAGTCATGTGCGAGTATTTCAATTTGGTGGATGCTTTGGGGTACACTGGTGGTAATACGTACGGTACTTGAGCCAATTACCCAATTAAACGCCAGCGTTTTGTGCTATCTCATTGCCGCCATCGGCTTCGGCCCCCGTTGTACATGGTAGATTCCCAAATATTGATATCTGTGTAGTTTGTACAGTTTGCTTACAGATTGTATGTGTGTGTGGTGTGTGTGTGGTGTGTGTGTGTAAGTATGGCATGGCCCAAAGCTATTTCTTTTGATTTGAGTCATGTTCTAGAGGCGTGCACAATTAGCGTTTTGTGTTCGGTTCGGTTCCGTTATAGCCTGGCCAAGCACAATGCGCCCAGGGATTATGTCTTCGGAGTCGCGTCGGTCAAACTATGAAACTTGTTTGCCGATTATTATCGATTGGGTTTTGGTCTGTTTTTCTTTTAATTTTTTTCTCCTTCTACATTGCCGATCTCGATCTTTTGTTTCTCTCTTTCTCTCTCACACACACTCTTTTTCTGTCTATATATCTATTTAATGTCTGTGCTAAGTGCTATTTGGCGGTGGGGCTTCTGCATGGTGGCCTATACTTGAGTTTTGTTTAGGCTTTAACCCATTGGACCCACAAATTTTGTATGGGTTGGGCAAATGAGTTGCGAATTGCTTAGAAATAAATAAAAATAATGATAATATCCATTAAACAACACTTTTAAAGTTGTTAATGCCTTTCTATGCAATTGAAATTAAATATTTTTACTTTTCTAAAAATTCTGCAGTCTCGTTTGGAGTCATAACACAATTTATCCATGCTGCTGTATAACTTGACTTGACTTTATGGTGATTTGTAACTGGCTGGTTTTAAGGTTTCTTGTCTTCTAAGTTATCTTTAAAAAAAAAAAAAAAAAAACAGACAGTGGCCAGCAACAACGCCACATGGGACCAGTCTGGAACACTAGACCTGACAAAACCAGCCAGTGGTTTTTCTTTTGTCGCTATCAGGATTCACATTTTATGCAATTGTTTCCATAGAAAGAATGTCATGTCTAAATACATACAGCAGCAGCAGCAGAAGCAGAAGCAGCATCAGCAATAGCAGCCACCAACCAGCAGCCACCAACCAGCAGCCAACTAGCTTTCAACTTGACTTGGACTCGAACTTGTAGTCGGCCGGTGCACAGGTCTGTGCTGTGCTCTGCTCTGATCTGGTGTGCTCTGCTGTGCTGTGTTGTCTATCTGGGCAGTCGTGATCAATGTTGGCCCATGCGGAGCAGACTAGACCAGGGCAAACAGTTAAGCCAGTTTATTTATTGTAAGTGGTTGCCTTATAGATATCTTGTATCTTTGAGCTCGACTACTGAGAGTAGTTTATTCATTGCTACCTATTGCCAAATTAGTTTCAAAATTTGTTAAATATTAGTAAAAGAATATATGTTGCTCTATTTAAACTTCATTTTTAAAATTCTCAAAACGGTTCCGAGATATAATTGATTTTTTATCGCGGCTGTTTGGCTTAGAGATAACTTATATTTTTAAGTTCCTTTATTGCTAATCGTTTATTATTCATAACATGATATGAAATTATTTTAGAAAACAATCAAACAGTTATATTTTATAGCGACTGGTTTGTTCGAGATACCTCGTATCTTCAATCTCTATTTCTGATAGTTTATTAATTTGTTCACTTCTACTCATTATTAAATAATTTAAAACAAAAATGCTATATTATTTAAAAACATAAATGTTGCTTTAAGCCATCAATGTTCATATTTTAACTTTATTTTTATATTTCTCAAGAACGGTGACTAGATAAAATTGATTATTTTATGTGCTGCTAAATTATATGCCCTAGCGGAATTTTCTGACATTTCTGCGTGAATACAAATATTGATTATAGCTAAGAAAATGTTTAGTGCTTCAAACTAGTTGAAAAGATTTGTGATCCACAATAACTGCTTATAACTTTGGAATAATATATCCGAAAAATTTTAAACGTTCACTTTACCCCAAGTTTCTCAATAATACCCATTTCCTTGAAGATGGTGACAACTGTGAAAGCAAACCTGGTAAACTGTAAAGCAGAAATTAATATTACGACTTAATTTAATTTATTTTAATTATTTTGTTTATGGCCTTACGCTAATATTGGTTTGCATGGAGATTGGAAAGATTCCGCCAGCAGTAAAGTTAATCGCCTGTTGAGACTGGTACAAGAAGTAGATGAGTGTTGAATTATAACGCCTCCCAGCATCGACATAATTCGTGTAAAATATAGCCAAAGTTAAGTTGTAGCACTCATCTTTGATCAATTCGCAGACATAGCAAAAGGGAGATGACTGGATTACCAAGATAACAATAAATATAAATGTGGGCAAGCCAGTCCAAAATGTTGTAAAGAACATTAAATTAATCATCGACAATCCCAGGCCCAATCCTATTACCAGTAGCCGAGCGAAAAATGTGCGAGAAATGATTGGTCGAAATAGATCGCAATATCTGAAAACAAGGTCAAGTTTTCAGTAAGATTGTGAAAATTTAGTTTTAATGACTTTACTGCAGCACAAGCTTGTGATCCTTGATGCATTTAACCAGGTCATCGTAATTCTCATTGTCCGTTTTATCGGGAATTGTTCGCAATTTATGAACGCGCTTTATCAACAGCTGAAGCTGAGATCTTAAAATCAAGCCAAACATAAGCGGATAGGTATCGATCATGAGGTCTGCATAAACCGCACACGAACCCACAAAGTACTCAAAAGTGGCCGCAATCCAGAGGTTTCTGGTGCTCTCACGATAGTCCACAAACGGCATGTAGAAACCCCAGGGAGTAAATCCACGGTGCACTGCACTCAAATACGATAATATTGCAAAAGCAGTGTAGAGGAATAGATTAATAAGATACACCCAATTGCAGCGTGCAACACAGCGATGCACCTCAATGCGTTCAACATTTGTGACGCAACGTTTGTCCATGAGATCGAATAATTCCTTGACCTTTTGGAAACGCCACATATTTGTCAAAATTACCGCCGTCTTATAGTAGAGAGTAATTAAATTGAAATAGGATTGCAATTTGGATAGAAATGCACTTGGCTCAAAATAAATCACATAGCCCAGAGTGGATACGATTGGCAAATATATATTTGTTACTGTGAGTACCAATGCCATCCAGCACAGATAGAGCCAGTAATAACGAAATCCTCTTTCCGGTAGAATCCAACCCACACATTTCATGCCTCTTTCCAAATACTTGAAGGCATCACGATAAGGCATAAGATTTCCCAATGTTGGTTCTCTTACGTAGTTGAAAATCATTCTTAGATTAGCTTACTTGATGACCCGTAGAAATGTAAAGTGTAACTGCGAAATTGAATTAAGCGATTAGCCTTTTATATAAGCCCATCATGGGAACTTTCAAATTGCACTTTGGCAAACCTCTAGGCTATAATTTGTTTCCAGATGCCTCAATTCTCAACGAGAATTAAAAGAAATTGCATTTCACATAGCAGAAGTCTATAATTTTTTATATTGCAGTCTTTTGTTTTGCCCATGAATTAAAAAATGTCCACAACAAGAGCCAATGGGCTTTACTCTAGTGTCACATGAATGTCCTTTCTCAGGGCACGCCTCAAACAACTGGGAGTTCTATTCAGTTATTTAATCAGACTAAGCCAAAAATGTATAATACCCTTTATAGGCATTACATAAGTAGAGGGTATAGAAATGCGACGACAATGTAAAGTAGCAGCAAATGCAGCGAAACGTTGAAATGTTGACAAGGCGCTCGGCGACAACGATTAAAATCTCTAGGGATCCCAAAAGAACGCGCTGAACGATCCAAGAGAAACTGGCAACAGAGACACTCGTATTGTGCATAGATGTTGCATAAACACAAGCATGGTCTACTCGCATTTGCGCCGCTGCAAACTGCAACTGCCACTGGAAATATATATTTTGTTCGCAGCCTTCTCGCTTTTGTTTTGTTTCGTTTCCATTTTTTTTTTTATTTTTTGTTTTGTAAATTACAATGCAATTTTATGCCACACAAAGGTTCCTACCAGTTGGCCATTAAGCACTTTACATTCAATGTGGCAAGATCAAAGTGGGCGCAATTTATGGCTGCAGATACAAAGATACGCAACAGAGCCTAGCTTCGTTGAGGGACGAGGCGGGGTAGCCAAATTTGGTTAGTAGAGATGGGCTTATGCGCCTGACAATATAATGCAGAAAAATAATAAATATAATAGATTGTCCGATGTGATCAGTATTTCGAATTTTTATTTTCTTTTTTGTTATTATTTTAATCAATGTGGTTTTTAAATGAACGAAATATTCACATATATAATAAAATCATTTTAAATAAATCAATTTCCTATTTCAAATAGTTTTTTTTTATATATCTATTTACTAATTAAAACTGTTTTTTACAATAATAATTTGATATAGATTCTTGTTTATTTTATATCCATATATCGATATAAATATATTGTTGGATATATTTCTATTTACTCGATTATAATATCGAAAAGTTCGTGTTTTACTTAGTTCGATCACGCATTCATCTCTAGTGGCTTCAGCGGTTAATGTCGCCAGTTGCCGCAGCAGGTTATACAATTTTAGATTTGCGCTTTTCCAGTTTGGCAGCGTCAAGTCTGCGAGTCTCAGACTCAATAAGTTTGCATGTTTGACCCAAATACGCCAACCCAGAGCATAAGATAGGCAGAGTGCGATAGAAAGAGAGAGAGAGAGAGAGAGAGAGAGAGCGAGAGAGAGGATAATAGAATGAGACGTGTATGGGAATAGAGTTGAAAGAATTATGAATTTTAGATGCAGGCAGAGAAACACCTTTTGGGTCGTATGTCATGTAACCGAGACGTGTACAGGTTCTCAGCTTATCAGCCTGGTGAAAGTGAATGTGAATGAATATAAGTGTGTGAATGCGAGTGCGTGGCCTTTTTGTCGGGCTATCTGTAGCTGTAACTGCGTATTTCGAATAAAAATATTTGCACATTTTACCGCACACGCCTGCAATTAGCCAGCCCTCACACAATGGCGCACCCACCCAACACCCCACCGACCCTCACTCTTAGCCACTCTCTAGGTGTTTCTTGCTCTGTCGCTGCTGTCTCTTCTGTATATAGTACTTATCTATGCTATGTTATGCACCTTACTGTGCATGTTTCGTCTTTTCTTCATTTTCCTCTGCTATTGCTTTTGTGTTTGTTTTGGCATCGACGTGCGAACTGGGTTAATTTTCTATATACAACATATCTATCTATATATATACATATATATATATATATATAAATATAAACTACTTGGATATTACAAGTCTTAAATTATTGTTTGTAGAAACAACAACAAAAAATTCGCACGATTTGCGACTTGCTTGCCAAACAGCTCTGCAATGTCTACAACAATAATAATTTCACATTATTTTCTTTATGAATGAAGTGGGTTTTGAACGAGCCGCGGCTCGCTTTCTGCTAGCAGCCAATCTCTGAAAATGATATAGCAGGTGCTTAAGACTGAGACGGAGACAGCTGATGAGCAGCTACATTTGAGATAAGTATCAAGTATACAAAGCCATTGAAACGAGTAGAGATTTTGTTTTTTGACTCAGTTCGTCACATCTGTCAACCCGGCAACAGTAAAGCTAGCGATAAGAATCTGTGAGATAACCGCGAGCAAACTGAAAGATTCTATTTGAAACTTAATTTCACATTAATTTATTGCGTTATTAAATCAATAAATAGCGCACAGCCGAGACAGCCTAGACAGTTATGCCTGGGGCACATAAGAAATTCAGTGCTGGAAATTGTATGGTTATTTTGGAATTTTGAGCTTAATAGTAGTGTAATTGTTTTGATCCTAAGTTTGCTTATGCTGATTTTCAGTTTTACTTAACCTATTTTAATATTTATCCAGAATTATGGCAATTCATAGCAAACCAAAATGTACTTTTCATCTACACATACAATCGATTAAAATTTCGCGTTTCGTAGGGCATTTCATTTTCTATAGAGAATTGTATCCACACATTGTATAGAGATTGCTTTGAGTCATCTGACCTACCCTAATAATTAGTGTAGAGCCAGCTCCCTAGACAGTATAAACATACATATGTGTAAACCCTTCCGTTCTCACAATATTCTTGTTAAGTCAGCCCTCTTAATGACATATTTCTCTCAGTTTTTAGCTACTTACACACCCTGTTTATGTTACTATTCATAACAGCCACGCCCCTTAGCTAATTTGTGTAAGCTGAATCAGCAGATATGGTTTTAGTTTTGGCTGCTTGTTTATGGTTTTTGAGAAAGAAACTGAACTAAAATTAGCTAAAACACAGTCAAAGCCAGAGAATCACCCCAACAGCAACAAACCGAACTAAAAAGTGAACATGGAGGTCAACCGAAAGGTTAAACTGACAAGATTGACAAGCGGCACGCCAAATGCTGGTGACGACAACATGAACGGGAGGGTCTCGCAAAAAGAGCAGAGCCCGTTTTTGAAACCTCTCACAGTCCGCCTCTTCTCCCCACTCCACTCATTTGGGCTGTGTGTTGGGAACCATTTTTTGCCGCTTTGTTGGCCAAATAAATGTTGGATCTGTAGCAACTGGCAACTTAGCCTGATAATTGCCGCGTTGCATGTTTGCGCTTTGGATTTCAACTTTGATATTATTGAAACGGAGCACTACTTAAAGTGTGGTGAGAACACGAACTCTTTTTTTTTGTTGGAGCCGCGACTCTTGAGGGTGTGTTTACTCGCTCTATTTCAAAGATATGCAAAACTAGCAACGAAAAAAAAAGAAAATTCCCCTTTGGTATTTTACTTGTGCAGCTGGCAAAAAATCTTTGCTACAATACACATGTTCCCAGTCTTCCAGTTTTGTTGTTCTCTACTTGGCTAATTGCATGAGAAACTTCACAGGCCCACCTGACAGTGCCGGCCCCTCCTTAGAAGTTTCGCAGGGTCGTTAGACAGAACATATATATTTTGCACCTCATCTAATTAGAGCCTTGCTAAAGGCCATTACGGGCCTGTCACCACATTTGACTGAGCTGAAAGCAGTCAGCTTGGAAAGTTGTGATCCTTTAGCACTCATAAGAGTCATTAGTTTAGATTGTCATTAGTTATTGATTGATGAAACTATGATTTCCGATTTCCTCTCATAAGAGACATGAGGGAAAACTCATTATACAACATAACAGTAGGCAAAAAGAAAGCTTCTCAATATACATAAAACACGGCTTTGCTTATTCATCAGCATTGCCAAACTATGTCAACTAGGGTATACAAACTTCAACATTAAGTTATCAGTTATTTTTCCTCACATTATTTATGTGTTGTCACTGCAGTTTTTCTTGCCTTGCGAGTGATGTAAGCACTTGATGATGTTGGCTGCCGGTAGACCCCCCGACATGCCCTCGTCCTGAGCATAAGCTGCAAATGTTGAGAGCTGTTAGCTGCCATCATCATTTACCACATGCCACATGTGTCAAGCTCAAGAAAATGCCAGTAAGCCAACAGTGGGCAGAGGCAGGCAGCATCGAACGCGCAGCTGTCACAATGTTTTATCATTTAATTTTCATAATAATAACGAAATCAAGTGGAACAATGGCAACTGACGTAGACCTAGGCGAGTGCTTTATAATCTCTCCCGAAGAAAGACTGAGAGGGAGACTGACTTTTGGCGTGGGCGATCAGCTTTGGTGATCAAGTTTTGGGATATTTTTTATCCGCTGTTAGTGAAAAATAACGCAATCCGGCGGCAGCTGCAAATTATTATTTAACGGCTTCTTCATTTGTTATTGCTTTAACACTTTTGGCAAGTGTTTTTTTTTTTGGACGATGGCCCAACCAAACTCCATAGTGAAAGTGAAACAATAGCAACTGTTGCAAACAAACAAACAGACAATAACAATAACAACAGCAATAGTAACAGCATGCTGCCACTGCACTTGGGCGTTTGATGTTGTCATCGTTGTTGTCTTGTTGGCTTGAAGTTGAAGTTGAAGTTGAAGCTGCCGCCCGGTGCTGCACCTGAACTCGAACTTCAGCAGGAGGCAACAAATGTAGCACCCAAATGACAACAACAACAGCAACAGCACCACCAACAAATAACAATTAGTGTTTATTTGCGCGTTGTTGTTTCAGTTTCTACGAAGCGTCAACTTCAACTCCAATTAGAGTGTCAGTTTAATGAACTGACAAGCAAAACTGCCTCCGGGGTAACCGAGAGGCACGACGAATAACTGATCATAGTAACCCTAACGATAGTAAGAGCTAGAGAGTTAGACCCCATGCAGCTTATACAATTTTTTATGATTTGTTGATCAGCGGATTTTATCCTTAACCTCTGAACTTACTTCAGTTGCTTTGTGAATGCAATACAAGATATTTGTCTTTCTATGAGCAACGATTGGTAAGCGTTTCGTATTTCAGGCCTTGGGCTACCGATAGCCGTCATTTTTTATAAACACAAACTATACTTTAAATTATAATGTGTACATTAAACTAACAACAGTATTTTGCTACTTTTCTTTCCAATTACAGATTATGAGCGAGCTGGCTGAAGTTGTTTATGCTGCGTTGGATTATAACTTTGCAGATGAGGAATGCCAAATGTCACAGGAACTTGAAAATCTGTTCCATTTCATGACAGCCGATGGTAAGCTGAATACATTATACAATATACAAATTTATATTGAAAAACCATTTAATATTTGGGGCGCAATTTGAATCGCATTTCCAAAGATCAATGTAGTATGGCATTAAAGGTTAAACCATTATCAAAAAGCCAGCTTAGCTTAATTGTTGAATCACCACTTGTGCAACAATAACAAGATAAGTGCAATAAGAACTTTGAAAAAGTACCGAGTTTGAATCGCTCAGCTTCCATAAATATAACTTGTATTGAGCAAGGGTTCAGTACAAGCACAATCAGTTACAAGGTCATCAAATGAATCACTATATATATGTATATATATATATAAATAAGTTCAGTGTGATTTACTTGAAGTGAAAACAAAATATTGTGAAAATCCGAGCTGGGCTTAGATTAACCAATTCGTCACACTTTAAATAACTCGTTAAGCGATATTTGATTTATGGTAATGTGGTTTTTGGTTGCAGAAAACGACGATGACTGCATCGATGAGGGCATCGAGGAGGGCGACAAACGCTGGGACGATGAGACGGAGGAGGAGCGCAACAATACCAAAGAACTGGAGCATGTAATCGAGGTAAGAAATAACAACTCTTGACATTTCGACATTTTGGCAGGCAGGCAGCTGATAAATTGTCGCAACACGAATGCAAATTGATTCAAATCAAAGTTTTACCAGCTGAGCTGCACTTTTGGCGCTATGCGTCAGTTCCTGTTTGGCTTATACCCTGTGAAAAGCAGTTAAGCAGAAGAAGGCAACTCACGCATTTTATAAAATCTATCCTTTTGAATGCAATATCTATAAATAATAATTATTATTATTACATATTAGGAATATTTAAGAGAAATTTCATTAAATCGACGTTCAACATGGCGCCATTTTCTGTAGATCAAATTACAGGGTGTCTTGATTGTGATGCATTCATTTTAAAATCCTATAGAGGTGTGCCGTCTTTTGGGTAACCTTTTGACCAGGCTTTGACTGCTCCATTTGGCATATATAAACATGTATGCAAATATACGAGAGATGGTTATGCAGTTGGTGGCAGTGTGGGAAAACTTGTTTGGCGCACGTTGCATAGACGCAACAGCAAGAGCAACAGCAGTTGCACATACAGTTAACCAAGTGAGGCGCACTCTCAGATACTTGTTGCCCGTTTGTATATGTATCAGCATCTGCATTTGTATCTGTATCTGTTGCTGTATCTGTATCTGTATCTGTATTGATGTAGCTGTAGTTGTATCTATATCGCGGCTAACCGCAAAACAAAAAGCGCTCTGTTGGCCAGCTCAATTGCCCGGGTTCTAGATTATCATTACCCAGGCCCGACCAAGCCAGACCAGATCTGCAACTAGGCAGCAATTTTAATATTGCGGCAGTGCTGGCAGATATTAAATAACCGAATAGCCATCAAGTTGTGGCCATTTCGTAATAGGAAATCGCTCTGCACTTGATTTCACAGCTAAATGCGTTGTAGGAATTCACGTTGCGCTGCATCCGCATCCAAGTCGCAAGTCCAATCCATAACCAAAAGATCACGATCATTTGGCAATTTGGCATTGAGGCGTGTGATAAACAGCATTGCATTGCTGATTGAGTCACCGGCTATCATAATAGACCTGGCTTTGTTCCACCCCAATGCGCATTTGCTCATCACATGCATCGATTGCAGCAGCAGCAGCAGCAGCAGCGCCACCTGGCGGCGGCATGTTTTTCCCTCTCTAATGAGCCACTTTATGGAATTGACACATTACAATCCGGCAGCATGGGGCAAGGAAAAACACAGAGGCGGGGAAACCCGCTTCGGTGGCATGCAATATTTTCCACTTGCCTGACTTTTCTGACACATTTGCGCCAATTGCAGCTGACCAAATGAAAAAGTGCCAAGTACATAGAATCTGGCTTAAATTTAGCATATGCAATAAACAGCAGGGTTTATCTATAGCAAAACACAGATACATAGATAGGAGCGTTGTTAGCCCAGCTGGAAAGGTAATTAGAAGACGAGCTGCACCTTCTGAAAGTTTGCCGTGTGTGATAAGTAGATGAATAAATAGAAAGCAAGGTGGAAGAAAAAGTTGGCATATCAGAAGTTAAAGCTAATTGCAGGTGGGACTGACTTCAGAACGACAGGCAGATAATGTGGGTTACAGCTAGTTAGATTGGTAGATATCTTTACTAATTGAGATATCTAAATAATTTATATTCTCATGACAGTCAATTTTGTATTATCATTAATTGTGTAGATTTCATTACAATGCAACTTTAATATTTCAATTACAGACCTGCAGAAATCATATAAAGCCCGCATTACCAGAGAACCATTACAAAGCCGTTTGTCGCGCCTTGGTAACGGAAACAATTGAGCTGCGCACATTTCTGCAGCAAGTCCTCAACAAAGGTAAAGGTCTTAAAGACAAACAGCTCTCCTTCCTATATCTCTAAATACAACTCCCATTTTAGATACTGCAAAATTAATTAAGGCATCAGAATCATCTCAAAGCACACAGTATGAGCTGGCGAAGCTGGGCTTCAACGACTGGGTAAGTCAAGTCTCTAATTGGTTACACATATTTCGTATACTCGATATGTTATGCAATCATATATTACAAAAAAAACCCACTAATGGTCTTTAAAGAGGGCTACACAGTGAATGACGGCCGACTATTTTCGGCTGCTATTTTGGCGCACCTCTTCCAATCCACCAGAAGGCACCCATCATCATTATCATTAACATTATCATAGCAGATCACGCGCGATGTTTCGGCTTTTTTTTCTTATGGCTGATGGGGTGCCTTCCGCCTCAACTCCAACGGGTCCAAGTAAAAGAGAAAAAAATAAAAAGTGAAGCAGTTCACGAAATTCACTTTTAATTTTAATAATCGACTCGCAGTGGTTTCACATCTCCCATTTTCCTAATGAGTTTAACCGTGTGACTGAGATATATTTAATATGCGACACATTAGCGCCAAATATTTCGATTCATATTCATATTTGTGTATTCGTCTTTTAGTGAGTGACCTTTAAATTACAAAAAAATATACCAAAAAAAATCGAGGCCGTCCAGGGAATTCGCTTGTGGTTGCCATTTGCAACTCCAAACTTATTCAGACAAACACGTAAATTGGTCAAACACGCAATCCAAAAAAAAAAAACAAACAAACAAAAAATGTATGAAAAATCGGCCAATCTGCGGTGTGTATTTGTTGGTTTAATAGCGAAGGTTTTTGCCTTCTCGCTGAGGTCGCTAAAGTTTCATATGGACACAATCCATATTGAATGATAAATTCCAGACTTAGAAGTCGTTGAAAAAGATCGCTGAGAAGAAGTAAAAAAAATGAGATATAATCAATATGCGGTTACATTAGTATTTCTATTCTATTAATACACCTGATTTGGATACCTATGCTGTGCAACAGCGTATCCAATATCCTATTATGCCCCAACCGACAAGTTACCTTGGGCACACGCCCCATACAATATTTAGCATGTTGATAAAACAGGAAAGAAAAACCGCAAAAAATAGCTTCGCGTGCGGTACACTCTATACGCCTCAAATATCATATATCATAAATAAAATCCATCTTAACTCATGCCCGTATCAGCGCCATATTCGTAATTAAATAAACAAAATTTGCATTGTTTGAAAAGCCCTGATTAAAAACCATAAAATGAAAAAAACAGAAACAGTAACAGTAACAAAACAAGGCGCAGTTCAATTCGGCTATTAATGCCCATGACTTGTTTTGCAAATATGTTTATATATAGTATTTACTTTCCATTCATAGACCCATTAAAAAGGTAACTGTAAATTTATATACTTTGCAGCGACTGCCGCTCACGATATCTCCATATTTATATATATATGTAATTCCTAACAATTGTAAGGTTTGATTAAAAACCGACTGTTATCAGGCAAAGCAAGTGACTGACTGACTGTTTGTACCCATTGGGTTGATAAGGTGTGCACCTATATATAGTATCTCTATTCGCCACTTGTCTGTTGTTTTCTATGCCAAGTTTTTAACTTGGTTGTGGCTTAATTTTTGTTTTTCTTTCTTTTGTTCGAACTGCAGAAACTCTTAACAGTCAGCGTTTATCAAATTCTCGGAAGCCGAACAGCCTTCAGAATGTCACACAATGAATAGTTTCTCTACCCATTCACCCTCCCCGTCGTTGCACCCACTGCGCGTTCAGACCGGAACGACGAACGACGAACGACGAACCCACGCAATATGCAGACTTCAAGAAACTGTTTCGGATCTGCTTGGCTCTTGCTGATTGTTGCCCTGATTTTGAAAAGAGTCTTATGCTGGAATTGCTGAAATTCTTTTGTGTGTTTCTTGATTATTTTGATGTTGTTAAGCTTCATGGTTTGGTGAACTTGTTGTAGTTGCAAGAGTTGCTTGAATGGGGTAACCCAACTCTGCTGCTCAATTCTAGTTAGCTGGCATTGTTTTCTTCGGGGAGCGACTACGTGTTATTGGGTTAGGAATGCTGTGATAGCACGTAAAGCTCAAAGCTAACTGTCTGCAAAGCATACGATAAACTCTATTCTATTCTATTCTAAGTGCAATCATTTACTAGCAGCTTTGAAAGCACATGACACCCCAAGACATGCTTACTTAGGTAAATAGTGTTAAATTTGAAAGAAGACGAAGTAATAATTCGCCGGTCAAACAATTCAAAAGCTCATGAAACACTTGTCAAGCCGAAAGACTTTTTAAGTTTAAAGCATTTAAGCTGTGCCAATATATGTTCTGTTGAAATAGTACAATCATATGGGTTGATAGTTGAAATATATTTCAAGTAGCACCAATTTGCCAGTGATCCAGTGCTCCAAACACTCAATCTTAAACATTCGCCCTTTTTTCTGGTGCGTATTTTAGTTATCTCTTTCACCTCTTAAGTGATGCCATCGAGCATATCAACATAAACTGCATTTACCTAGACACAGCCCTACATATGTTTCGCTCTGCTGCATACAATGATAATGATAATGATAATCATCATCATCATTATCGTCAAAGAGCTGGTGTTTTTATGCAAATGCTAGTTAATGATGCTGCTGAAAACTTGCAAACCCAAAAAAAAAAATTTCAATTTGGAAAGAGATACGCACATGTGCGATATTTCATGCAACATGGCAGCTTAACAACAAACAACAAACTGTTGCAAGCGCTTCCGGAAGCTGCTGCTACACGTTGCCCATGATGCGCAGTTGTTGCTGATGTTGCTATTTGCTATTGTTGTTGCATTTATTGAAGCGCAACAGCTACAACGTTGCTGAATGCAGCATTTGTCTTCGTTTGCTTGTATTTTATTTTTTTTTTGTCTGTTGTCTTATGTCGATTATACGATTGTGTCAAAGAAAAAACAATCGGCTCTGCTGCCTAGCAGCCTTGTGGGTGAAAATTAGCAGCCCTGCCTTCCCCCTTCGCCCCTTTGCGTTTGCATATTTTGCATGTTTAATGAGCTGCCTCGAAAATTTATAGCCGCAAATTGATGCAGCCGTTGACAGGAACAGGAAAAGTGACGATGGCGATACCGACATAAAAAGTGAAAATGCGATTCACTGTTTCAACTAGTTTAAGTAGTTATTCACCGGTACTCCCCTCAATCCCCCTCTCTCCTTCTCTCATCTCCCATTTTCCTCTTACCATTGTGTGCTAAATTCGCTTCCTGTCATCATACATATTACTCATACGCACCGTTAACCCGCCAAATGCAATTGCCACAACTATCATATGAAGTGTCGTGTGTGTGTCGTGTGTGTGTGCTGCATATAATGAGCAGCGATTGGTTTTGAATCACTTGACTTGATCACAGCGTGTCTAAATTATGGCTAAATTAATTAATAATATATGCATTCGCATTCGGCGGGAAAAGTGAAAAGCGGCAAGCCAACCTAGTAGCTAAAACCCGCTGTGCGCTTCTGATTAGAGTGGCGAATGCAATTTCCTAACCTAAACCTCTTCTTGTATCTGTCTCTGTCTGTCTCCCTCTCTCTCTCTCTCCCTCTCGCTCTATCTCTCTTACTTTCTGGCTAACTAGCACGAACTGGAACTGTGGAGAGCGCTGCAAGTACGTTGCACGGATTGAATATGATTCCAATATGCAGCAATCATTCATTTTGTTGCATGTCTAAGAAGAGTTGCGAATTCTAGTTAAATTTTATAAATAATTTCTGTCAAAAATTTGAGAGTTGTGATTTCAGCAGTGATTTGCACTTTGACTCTTTTTAGTGTAATAGAAAATCGATTGTAAAATCACATTACTAGTTTCTGTAATGTTTTCCTTTTCCTTCTTTGCAGGCAGGCTTCTGGGTGCAGGTAATCGATGAGCTGCGACGCGGAGTACGTCTGAAGAAGCTAAACTACGAGCGGACGCCCATCGAATACGAACTGACGCCCTACGAAATACTAATGGGTGATATACGCGCCAAGTGAGTAAAAACAAATCAAAGACACAAGTTGGATAATTAGCCTATAAGCAAATCGCCAATAGTCAGTCAAATGGCGAATGAAAGAAGAACAAATCGTATTTACTTTGTAACCAATGCACTCATTCACAACTTGGCAACAGAGTATCAACATCGACTGCAACCGCAGCACAGACAACAACTAATCAATAAACTGACAAAAACACAAAAATTTCTCTTTCTTTCTTTCGTTCGACCGCAGAAAGTACCAATTGCGCAAGGTGATGGTGAATGGCGATATACCGCCGCGTGTCAAGAAGGATGCCCATGCGATGATCTTGGAGTTCATCAGGTCACGGCCGCCATTAAAGAAGGTGTGTGTTGCGTCCCCAATTCCCATACCCACTACAGAAACCAAAACGAATACCCAACATCTCTATTGACTATTATTTACCATTATTTATTACTATTTTTTATTACAAATATTTATTACTTTTCTTTTGTGTTCAGGCCTCGGAACGTCAGTTGGGCCCACCGCTCAAGTGTACGCCTTCACCCAGGGAACAGCTTATGGAGTCCATTCGCCAGGGCAAGGAGCTGAAACAAACACCGATGCCAGAAGAGCCACCTCTAAAGGAAAAATGTAAGTGAAATTCCGTTTGATCACACAAGTAATAATAAGTGAAGCTAACAAACAGAACTCAAGATATGAAAAACTTCAAGAATTCAATTTGGGACATAAGCAACATTCTCAAGAGATACTGGCTACACAGTTGTTTTTTAAATAATCGTTATCCAACTAACAATCAATTAAAAGAGGGAGAAAATTTTAACTTAAGCATAACTCTAACCTGTAAATTTCTAAATTGGAATGTGCAAATAAATTAATATCCGGATTCCGGAAGAAAGTATGACAAAAGATTGCCGATGTCAGATTATAGTTTGTATTAAGATAAGATTTTTAAATGAAATATTTACTTTCTTGGTTATCAGAAACCTCACGACTATTTGCATAAACTAAATTCAGCCAAGCTGTTATTTTTGAAACCTTTTTTTAAAGCTTTTTAATATTTAAAAAAACGAAATCGGCTCCAAAGAAATGTTCTATTGAATGAACGAATGACCAGACAAATTTCTCCAGCTTTTAATCAAAGAGCGCCTTTTCACCATACTTGGTGGGTGTGTTTGCCATTTTCGCTTGTGTTGTCATCAACGTTTCCCAAAATGCTAAACGCCAACCGCTCATAAATTGTTGTCATACACATGCTGTGGTTATTCTGTCTGTCTATCTATCTGTCTGCTGTCTGTCTGTCTGCCTGTCCGTCTGTCTGTCCGCTGTCTTCGTCTTCTGCTCAAATAAATAAAGAAAGAAAAAACTTGTTAGCCACGAAAAGTTTTCACTGCACTTGTCGGCGATGTCCCATTGTCCGCCCCTGTCTAACTCTATTCCCTCCTTTCTCCCACCGTCTGTCTGCCTGCCTGCCTCAATATCTGCCTGCCTGCCTGCCTGTCTGTCTGTCTGTCTGTCTGTCTGTCTGTGTTTGTGTTTGCTTGGCCAATTGCCGTTGCTGGCATGCGCATGCCAGCATAGATCAAAAACGGCAACATTTTCCAATCGCCTCTGCTGAAGGAAGCGTGCAAAATTGTGACACACAAAGATAGCGCGACGACGTCGTCGTCGAAGATGAAGAAGCAGCAGCAGTAGCAACCGGCGCAACACGACAACCTCAAAGACGATGACAACAACAGCAACAACAGCAACAATAACAACAACAACCGCAAATGATGATGATGACAACGACGCCGACTATGACTCTGGTCTTCGACACCGGCGCTATATTTGTTTGTCTGCTTTGAGCTTTGTTTGTTTGTTTGGCTCTGCAATCCGCTGCATTCGTTCGTTTATTCACAAGACAGACACGCAGCCAGACAGTGTTCGACTGAGACAAGCGCGTGTTGTGGTTGCTCAATTCGAGATGTGTGTGAACTGAACGAACCGTTTGCATAGCACACCCACGTGCGCTGCCATCAAAATGTTCACTTTTATGCACCAGCCTAAAAGCATGCATCAATTTTTGTTAGACTGCAATATTTTTAGGGGTGTTTTCAATAAGTAGCCAGCCAAGCAGCCAAAGTACAGTAGTAGTATTTTGAGTCTATCTCAGCTCAAGGACTCTTAATCGTCGCAGGGTATGCAGATATAAAAGAAATCAATTAATATTCAAGCAAGGTCCTCTCGGCGCTCCTAAATGCTGAGAATATATCTCAAATGACGCACGAAAATATATTTCAATTACCGTTAAAAATAAATTGCTGTTTAAAAATAGATTCAAAGTTTGCCAAGGCGCTCATTCAATTTCATTAGCAAATTGAAAACTTTCATAATAATCTATCGAACAGCTTTACGCTTTCATCTTCAGATGCGCTCTTTGTGTGTGTGTCCCTTAAAATGCATACGTCATCAAATGCCGCCTGCCCATCGCAACTAATGACGTAACAACGGCAATAATATAGCGGCTTGACGCTTTTAAATGTTAAATGTCAAAACAAAACAAAGTCTGTGCTCGCTCTTTCTCTCTTCGTGTAATCCGTGACACTCGCTCTCTTTGCTCTCTCGCTCTCTTTGGTTGACGCATGCGCTTAGCGCATAAAGCTTTTTGAGCTTGAGCAAATGCGTGGCTGAGACACAGTCGACAGTTTCGTGTTAAGCTTCTGCGGTGTCGCTACGGTGTTGTTGTGGGCTGGCGTGGACAGCGGGCGACGCGTGGCGCGACTGAAAATGAAAACGGCCTGATTAATATGTTTAAATGAAAAATGCCCGCGACACAAGAGTAGTCAAAACTTCCGACAGTTAGTCACTCAGTCAATTAATCAGACAGATGATGCACAGACACACACACGCACACCCTCAGAAATGGAAGAACAACAACAACTGTCAGCCCTACTCTAGTGGGGTGGTTGGTTGCCTGTCGGATCGATAGCCCGAATGCAACCGTGCATGAGTAAAAAAGGAATTTTCAAGCAAGTCTAAGAGAGAGTGAGAGAGAGGAGTTGGCACAACAAAAGTGATTCTCAAGTGTTGTGTCTGTGTGTGTGAGTGTGTGTGTTGCAAAGTGAAACTGGAGCAACAACTCCGATTGAGCCAGGCAGCAGCAGCAGCAGCATTACGGAGAGGGGGCGGAAGTGTTGCAAGTGTTGCACACGGCATGCAAGGCAAAGTTGAAGCCAACAACTTTCTTAGCCAAAACAATAAACACTCGCTCACTGCACAAATGGATGCCAAACAAACGACGCCCAGTGCCAAGCGCTCAACGGCCGCCGCCGTCTTCAAATCGCATCACATTGTACGCAACGCGGATATCGTTGATGTTGCCAGCGATGCGTCGCTCTATTGCGGCACAGAAACGGAAACTGACACAATTGCAACACACTCCAAATCCCAGTCGCAATCGCAGTCGCATTTGCAGTTGCAGTTGCATTCACAGCCACAGCCAACGCCACGTGCTGCACCGCGTGCTGCTTCGGCAACCGCTGTCAATCCGCCAACACCCAAGCCGCGTCAGGCTGTCAAGCCATCAAAAGGTAGCAGCATTATTTTGACCTGGTTTCAATTTTGGCCCAGTTGACTGGAAAAAGTGGGAGAGGGTGCAGGGGTGCACGGGTGGGAGTCTGGGGGCACTTGGAATTGCTTTCGAGGTTATCCTATGCATTTAAGGAACAACACACTCAAATCGAGGCTATTAAAACGGCTTGCAACAAGAAAATAACAACAGCTATTAGATGTTTCGACTAAAGGCTTTATTCAGGGTTATAGGTTTGGGACTTTGGGAATTACTTATCTGAAATCTTACGTATACGACTATATATCTTGGCAAGTCCTCCAGCGCAAATTGCTTACTGGTTTTGCGTTGTCATTTAGATATTATCTGGATCTAGACTGGATAAACAGCTTTACTTGATTTTCAACAGGTTTTTCAAATGCATCCTCCTCATCGAGTCCTGTGCAAAAATTAAGTTTATATTAACAAAAAATTCCCTCCGTGTGATACACAGTAATCGCAAATAACCCGTTGACCCCATATGGAGCTGCTCGAATCATGAAATATGCTCTGTGTGTTTATTTCCCAAGCATTTTTACGAGCATTGCACAAGCGGAAGAAAACGTTTCACGAGTAGAACCATTAAATGCCTTAACTTAACTGTTTGTTGAATACTACTAACAAAAAGAAGGAAAAAATAAAAATAAAAACCGACAGTAAGATGACAAGTAAAAGCAGCTCGAGACATTGTCTAATTGCCAACCCAGTGGCGGGCAAAGGGCGATTTTATGCAGCTGGTTACGCTCTAGACCCCCTTGAGTGGTAAAGTGGCGGGTAAGCAGCGGCAGAGTCATCGGCTTGGGTAACTTACGTGTAGTATGTAATCTAATCAAAATAGCTCACAATGAGAAAGACGGAGACCCATTTTCTCACATGTCATTAATTCACTTTTGCTTTAGATCTGTGACTTACATGTGTGCTTCTGCTTCTGCTTTTGTTTTTTGCAGTGCTTCCAAATTCAACAAACGCGACGTTGTCACGATCCCGGCAGCGACTCATCAAAGTGGATTTCTCAAAGTTGCAGGTGAGTTTTCGAACATGTTGCGACACACGCAAGATTCGATTATACAATTTGAAACACCGCCAGGACGACGAGCATATCTTCGATGAATCCAGCATCAGCAGCAGCACAGCATCCACAGCTGCCGCGCATCTCGCCGAGCTGCATCGCTACTCACAGCCCAAGATGCCGCCATATCCGATCGGTGGCTATATGCTGGCCAGCCAGGCGAGACATGATTCTGCAGCGAATGCGATGCTAATGCGACCGAGACGCACAAGTAAGTATCGATGATGACAATGATATAATAATACGATATGCGATATGCGATAAAAATACTAAAAATATATATATATAATGTGCACAAGGTATGAAGGAACTAGTTCTCTTTAACCCAAGAAGTTTTCAACTGCAATTTATCGTTGTGCTTAAACGTAGAAACTTTAACTGTATCAAGCAAAGTTATAGCTTTTAGTTAAAGTTATCTTCTTTTTATTATAAACTTATTGTTTTACTTAAAATATAGAGAAATACAAGTCAAGGTTTACCTAAGACTGTCAACGTCACAAAAATAACAGCATATAATTTGAGGACAGATAACTTGAAACCCTCAACTAAGTATAAATAAAATAAATAATTTCTTATTTAGATTGAGGTATCTCAATTAAGGCACATAATTTGCTTGTTCATGGTTCATAATGATCACCTATTAAGAGTATTCGCTGTAATTTGAGTTGATTTAGTTGCGACCTCTTTAAATTTGTCGATGGACAATTGAAGGGCATATTAAAAATAATAAAACAAGTTTTTCATTCAAATTTCAGTTGAGTAATCTGCTCTGAAATATCGTATCAATTTCAATACCTTTCGAACTTGTAATGATAATTCTCGGATTGATATTAACGATCTTCTTACCTCCGTACTTTGTGGCACACTTCTAAAATAGTATATGCTTTAATATATATGACGCGGTTTTTGTTTATTTTGATTTTAATTTACAACTTTTTTATTTCTTACTTTTTCCACCCTTCCCCAAAAAAAAAAAAAAAAAACCCACAAAAATCTTAACTTTGCGAAGGTATTTGATCGTTTGTTTAATTATGGTCTATTCGCTGATTAATTTGATTTTTTTTATGATTTTGATAACAAAATCAAATGTATTATATTTTGCCAAACGCACTAAGAACAAATGAGAACCGACTTATAGAAGATGATATATATAATTGGTTGGTTGGAAGACAGTTGGTGTGGGAGCATTCTGATGACAATTGATGCTGGTTATGGATATGTACACACAGACACACACAACCGCACACACACACACAGACACACACACACACACACAACAAGATGCAAAATAATCTCGAAATATTTGTTAAATACAATACACACCGAAAGACAAAATAAAATAATAAAATAAAATAGAAAACACACTTTTTGCATGACAAACTTTATTTTGAAAAATGCAAACTAACATTTTGGCTTCAAAAGCAATGTGATTTAAATTTATATTTATACTTTCCATTTTCAACTTTGAAAATAACAATAAAATTCGCTTAAAAATCAAAAACAAAAACCAAAACACTTTGCACTTGCTGCCCAAAACTATGCAATGCGTTTTATTGTTTTGCTGGGCAGAGGAGCAGCAGCCACAGCCGCAACAGCAGCAGCAGCAGCAAGAGCAAAAACAGCAGCCGCAGCAGCAAGCACAAGTTTGTACGCAGGACGATTATCACAGATACTTCGATAATGCCTTGGAATGTAAATATGCAAGCAATCTAAAGATTTACTTCGTTTCTAGCTGCTTCTGCATGCATTGTCTACATATTCGATCCATTTCAAATTGAAACCATAACCCAAATGCATAAGTCAACCATAAACATAAAAATAAGTTACTTCATTCAAATATCTAATTGTGATTTGTATGTTCAGTTTTACATCACTCTAAATAGATGATCTCGTTTGGAACTGATTAAAACCAAGTTTTTAATGAAATCATCAAGCCCTATCCTTGCCGAGGATTCGTTAATTAAGTTATTTATAATCTGTGATGAACAACCACTTAAAGCTTGTAGAATCATAAATTAATTCATAAGTAATTCTCTTCTACCATTTTCCTAGAACTTTGAAATAAGTTTTAAATCAAATTTCGCTTAACACTTAAGTCCAGCTTTTATTAACCATGGCATCAGCTTTAAAACTAACTAAATAGTAGTGCACATATAAATAGTTCTCAAGCTAAACCCCAAACATACACATACATCTATAAACATACTCTCAAAAGTCCTTTCGACCCTCGTCCACTCGCTCGCTTGCTTGCTGTACAAATTGTGAATGCCTCGCTTTCTTTCTCGTTTCTCGTTTCTCGATTCTCGTTTTCACTGTCGCTTGCTCTACTTTATTCGCACATATCCATACATATAATGCATACGCAATGTTGACTGACCTTCAGTGGCGCATTATAAGTGATGACAACAACTTCTCTCATCATCATCATTTTTCTTCTACAGCCTATGACCTGGCCACCCAGTGCGAATCGAGACGCGCCTCGCTGCGTCGCCACACCATCGTGGGCTGTCAGAGCAACCTGGATGAGACGCACTCGATGCCTCCCACTCGTCCCGAGTCTCGTCAATCGAATGACGTAAGCAGCGCGTCCAAGGAGGTAGCGTAAAAATTGCTTTGCCCTTTTTGACGCATACATTAACCTTGTTCCTGTAATTTTTCTCACCTGTTCAGCATTTGAAGCAGACACCCGATGCGCCACAGTCGCTTGAACAGCAGCACCAACAGCAACAGCAACAGCAGCGACGTGAAATGTCTGGAACTGGAGCTGGTGAAACGGCGTCGCATTCAACATCCTCGCTTGGCCCATGGAACAAGTCCTTTATGGACAAACAGACCTGGATGGAACGTGGTGATGATCGTCTGTCTGTCACACTGGCGGAGATCGTCCACATACGTTCCGTCATGACGAAGGCCGAGCTGGAGAGCCTGCCCATGGATGTGCGCGTCAAGGAGGATGTTGAAAAGCGTCGTGTCTGCTTCCTGTGCCTCCGCACACGCTTCTCCTTCTTCGGCCCCTACGGCATCCAGTGCAAGCTCTGCCAGCGCACTGTCTGCACCAAATGTTACACCAAGATGCGCATACCCTCAGAGCATTTTCGCAATGTGCCCCTGGTGCTGATCTCACCCTCGCTGCTGTCCAGTCCGGCCAGCTCGAGCACACCATCGCCATCGCATCACGCTGCCCACCATTCTGCGCACTCCTCATCGACGGGCAACATCATGGACGATCAGTTCCCCAAGTCGCTGATCGAGCGCCTACTGCGTTCCGAGTCAGATCGCAAGGTGAGTCCAAGCAGCTTATGTATAACTTGAGCAAGTGAAATTTATGCTACTCTTAAGCGAGAATATTAATGTTAAGTTTAAGATGAATCTCTCAATGCGTGGCAAAATTATGATACCCTCTGCAGCGAGGTAAAATAATGTGTCCATCTCAATTAATGTACAACTTGATCGTAGCTGTTACTTATTGTATTATATCTACTCGTCACAGACTCGCAGCACAGTGGGCAGTGCACCCTCGTCACCCAAGCACCAAAGATCAAACATGAGCACGCCGGGCATCAGTGTTGGCCCCGGCTCAACGGCCGGCGCTGCAGCCGCTGCAACTGGCCAGGCCGTGGAGGCGCTGCACGATCAGCAATCCATGTCCGCCTCCTACTCGGCGGCGATGCGACCGTCTGGTGTGCAGCAGTACCAGCAAAAGCATCAGCAGCACTACAACAACGTCATGTCGCGCAGCATGGAGGGACCACGCAGCCTGCCCGTGCAGAGTCCGGCCTATCGACCGCTCTCCAACAACAGCACACTCGAGCGCAAGTAAGCGAAACGCTCGTGAATCAATTCTAGCCCAAACAGTTACTAATCCTCATCTCTCTCGTCTCTCACCCTTTAGATCGCGTTTCTCGCGCGGCTTTGCGCTATTCTCGTCGGGCAGCCATTTGGCACAGACGCAACAGGATCAGAAGGAGAATCTGCGCGGCGAACAGGTGACCGTCTGCAACGATTGCCAGGGCCTGGTCAACGAGATCACCAGTTCGGTGAAGCAAAAGCGCAGCTCGGCGCGCAATCGGACGATACAGAATCTCACGCTGGATCTGACGCCTGTCTGGAAATAAACTAACAGATTACCAGTAAACAGGCAGCCTGCAAAACTTCAAACAGAAAAACTAACATATATATATATAGAAATATAAAAATTATGCATATTTTGGATGGACTGTTGTATACATAAGATTGAGAAGAAGATACAGATACAGGCAGAGAGCCAGATAGAAGAACAGGTTAAAGCGACCGCCTGGAAATCGTTGTAAATCGTTAGCCTAGTGATAAGTAAAAAACAAAACAAAAACAAAAAACGTAGCAAAAAACAAAAGAAACAAAAATCGCAACGCTGTATATTTCTTCTTCCGACTAGAGACTAGCTTGAGCGCGCACCCCACCATAAAAATACAAAATTCGTACATATATACAATACCGATACTACACCTACACCTACACACACACATACACATATAAAGATATAGGTAAAGATAAACCGTGCGATATGCGTTAAGCTGTACGATGTCGTTGTTTGTAATTGTTTCATTGATGTATAAATGTTGATTAAGTCTCGTATAACTCGTATCTACGTATAACAAACCTAAACAAAAACACCCGAACAATACAATATACAATATAATACAACAAAATATTACTACATTAGCAGATATAATTATATATATATATATATAGTTTATGATAATTATTCAAATCCAAAGCACTCCACAGCTTATGCCTTCGATTTCGCATGAGCTACGACGATTGAATCCTTAAGTTGCTAAAAGACAAAATTATGAATAAAAAAATCTTGTGAATTATGTGCTTGCACAGATCTGTATCCTTTTTGTTTCGTTTTTCCACGTGGAAAACTAAAAAAGTTCGTATTGTTTTTTTTTTGTTTCTTTCATTTAAGTATCCCGACTCCCAGAAAATTGATTTAAACTATTCTCATATTCCATACTAAACTATCCATAAATAATTATAAATTGTGACTAGTTTAAATATAAATATAATTTTACACCTAATTGCAATTATAAAATAGTTAAATTTCAAGAAGAAAAAAACAAATTTTGAAAATTTTATGTTTCTTTTTTTGCGTATTGTAATTTGTAAATGCATTTAATATTTGTAATTTATGAAGTTTATATTAGTTTTTATTGTTTTTAAGTTGAATTATATGTATGTATATTGATATTGCGATCATTTAACAAAAACAACACACACACACACTAAAAAAATAAAAACTACTAAGAGAAAATAGATTTCCGTTCGATTATTTCGATCTGTTCGTTGGATATATACAAAACCCGTTATTTATCTTTTATATGCAGGTTATTTATTCTTGATGGTTCGTAAGTTGTTTAAATCTATACTCTAAAGGTAAATTAAAATATGTATTAAATTTACATATTAAAGAGTTACAAAACTATTTTCTTGGAGAATACATTTCAGCTCAAGTGGCTTTAATGCCTAGGTGGCTTATGCTCATACATATGTATATGCACATATTACTTGAAATGATAATTAAACTTTTCTGTTATTTGGTCCGACGATGGAGCTGCTCAAATACAATTTAACATTGTTGATTACAAACTGTTTTTTTTTATTTTTTTTTTTAATTTCGTTAAGCAAAGAAAACAAAAAATGTTCAGTAAATAAAATAAATAAGAGTTCCTCTCATATTATGTAAACTATACACATTTCACACGAGACATTTGGATCTCAGACTTATGCTTAATGTTACTGGAAATCAATCTAGTAATATAGTAGCAATTGGATGTCACAAAATCAATTTGCTTAAAGCTAACAACTAGAACTAACATTTTTCATTTGCATATCATATGGAGTCTAGCAAAGATTTTGGGAGCCACACTACTCGGAGCGCTGCTTCTTGCTGTGGCTCCGATTGTCGTGTCCGCCGTGACGCTTGCGTCCAAAACGCTTGTTGTTCTTGCCACGTGAGAAGTCGCGGCGCTTCTTCATAAATTCAATGGCCTTATCGAGGAACTCTTTCTCTTCCTCATCGTTCGCCTTTCGCAGGGTTAGGGAGACTTCATCGTTGAACTTAAGCTGTAAAATAAAAAGGAATCAGTAACCGAAAGGGTGGCAGTAGTGAGTCTGATTGAGATGGAAATACCTTGGCATCCTCCACTTTGGCAATGTATTTCTCGGCGGCATCCGCCTCTGTGAGACGAACGGAGCCCTTAGTGTCGCCCTTGTTGAACTCAATGTAGGCAATATCAAAGTCCTTGACCTTTTCGAAGGCTTCGCGTATCTCCTCGCGTGTAACAGTATCGGGAGCACCCTCGAACACAACAATTGCATTCTTAGGCAGATCAATTTCTGGCTCAGCTTTAGCCTCCTTCTTTAGTTTGCGTTTCTCATTCTTCTTCTGGTATTCCTCCTGTTTCTCCTTCAAATAATCAACTTGCCACTTGCGCAGCAGCTCGCGCTCCTTGTAGACAATCTTGTCCTTGGCCAGGAATTCACTCGCCTGTTCCTTCTTCTCAAATGTGACGAAAATGCTGCCCTTGAATTTGTACGACTTGGTGGGTTTGTCATAATGTTTGCGCATCGTTACATTAACCACCTTCTCATAGGCGCTGACAAAATCGAGAATTTCGGTCATTTGCGAATCCAATGGGAAACCCTTCGCGTAGGCGGTGCGCTCCTGAATCTCTTTGCGACGCTCCTCATTGTGTTCGGGTATGGGCCGTTCGGTGTGACGACGCAAGCTTTGCTTATCCTCGCTGATCTCTACTAGCCCCTCGCCCGATTTGTTCAGTGCATTGACGATCTCATCGAAGTCTGTGGTGAGCGCTGCCAAACGTTTAAATGTGACCAGCACGGATAGCGGCACCCATCCTCCCTCGTTCTTTGTGATCTGTTCACTGAGGAACTTGTCGCGATGCAGATTGGCATCGCCGAAATAGTACTCAACCTGCCGAATGATTGCGCGCTCCTCTTTGCTGTTCTCATCGGTTGCGGGTGCCGCCGATTCGTCTTCTTCTTTTTCGGCATCTCCGTTTTTGCCGGCTGCGTTGGAATCTTCAACTTTTTCCGCCTGTTTTACATCGGCGATAACTTCAGCACTTGTAGTTTCTGCAACATCGGCCATTATAATATTCTTTTCGTTTAATTCACTTTTCTTATTTCGAGAGAAAAAAAATAAACTGAAATGTGCTGCAACGCTAAACACGTGTGCGTCGGACCGCAATTGAGTTGTAAAACAATCGATGGCACGCTTATCGAACGTATCGATAGTAGCGCACATATCGGACACAATGTTAAGGTTCTGTTAATCAAACAGTTTGAATTGCAACATTTTTAAATTTTATTATAAGATCATTGTCATTTGAAAATGTGTTTGACAATAAAATTCATTAGATAATTGTTATAATTCGGCCTTAGCGGCAATTTGTTAACATTATAGTCATTTGAAATTATTTAGTTCTTAGCATATTTAAGATTTAGTTTTCGCATTGCAATGCGTTCCTTCGATTCCAATTTAAGACGCGTCAAACGTTCGTTTGAATCTATCTCAAAGAGTCTCAGATCCAATTCTCTTTCGCGCAGTCGAAGCTCCATTAATTTCAAGTCGTGCTCAGACGTTGCCTTTTTTGGTGGATCAATTATCGCTGGATCTGCGACCAGCCTGTCTTCGTTCGGCTCCTCAACTTCAGTTGACGTGGGAGCAGTTGAGGAAACATTAATATCATTATTCTCGCATCCGAAGTCATCGGCGATGCTGGTTGCTCTGCCGGACTGCGAAGGAATCACTTCAGCTGGATGTGGATTGTTTTCCTCGTCTGGTTTGCTAAAAGTATGCTCATTTGGCGACGCACTCATTGCTTGATTAGCGCTGATTAATTCATCTTTGATTATAAATGGCATAAGACGTATTTTGTCAGGGGCTTCGGCATCCGTCGATGTGGGCAATTGAACAAAAACTGTGTTTGAGGCTGAACAGCATTCGGACATGTTGTCAGCCAAGTCAGATGACATTGCTTCAACTGTTTCCGTTGTATTTGGACTAACCGATATGTTGCCGATCCTTTGATATATTGTGCTCCTTCGACGCTTGCGGCTGGTGTTCTTGAAAAGATCATGCAACTGTCTGTAATAGGGACTGACTTTCAGCACTTCCTTCAGGGGAAAATCTCGCTTGGCCGATATTAAGTCTTTCGCCTTTTGGTATCCTGATAACATGCTGTTCACCTTATTGCGCAACTCTATCTGACTTGACGTCAGTCCCAGGTATTGGTTCATCGTCTTATAGTAGATAACACCGTTGGGTTGCTCGAACGGATGCTCTCGAATGTAATCCAATATCTTTTCGCAGTCTTCCGAATTCCACTTGCGACGATTTTGCCATTTTTTTCTGAGTGCCATGTTAATGCCAGGACAGTCAACCACTGACTGAATAGCTCAAGGATGCAGTATCTTCTTCTTATAAGTAGGCCAATTTACCTTAATAAAATGCATTTAGGTAGAGGATTACTTATTGTAAACCTTGCTACAACATAAAAAGAAAACTGAGCTGTTTCCTTTTTTATTTAGAATAGTTTATTACCTATTAATGTATATACATACCTGTGTTTATTTGAGACTTTAAGGTATATATCTGTGATTTATTATGCTATATTCACTTACAAGAAGCACAACATTTCTGATACCTCCGTTGCAGCTGCAGCATCAAGGGAAAGTGAATTGTGAAAAGATAAACAGTTTTTCAGCACTGGAAGTCGAAATAAGTTATCGCATCGCAGTTGCATTTAGGTAGATTTTTTGCCAATTTTAACAATTCTCAATTTGTGTATACAAATATTTTCTGTTGGTTTGAAAAGTTAGACTTGTTTGTTTATTAATTAATTAGTGCTGGCGATATAGATGAAAATCTAGTGCAAGAAATATCGATATACATGAAATCGAATCGATTTAGCTTATTTGTAACAAATTAGATTTCTTCGACAAGACGAAAGAGTTGATGCTGCGTCTCTGGAATAACATTGAAAAATTTTTTATAAATAATTTGATCCTGTCGGCCGGCATAGTTGCGCTGGATCCAGGTGTGATCCCAGTTCGGATCGATAGGCTCACAGCTAATAATAACTCTGCCATGCTCCATAGCAAACAAAGTGCCATTGCGTCCAAAGCCAACCTAAAAAAGCGATTTCTCTCAATCAAAGTGTAACCACTAATAGTGTTTATCACTTACATTTAGGCCGGGATGAAAGCGCGTCGTCAGTTGCGTGGCCAAAATGGTGCCATGGGAAACGTAGTGGCCGTCAAGAACTCGCCATCCACGATGTTTTGGACGTGGATGCCCCTTTTTGTTACGCGTGCTGCCGCCGGTTTTCTTGCTGGCATTTCGTATCGTTGCTACGCGAATCATGAAAGCTGTCAAGTTATTTGTTTAGCATACGTTAAGCATGCAACTTACTTAGCAATGGTTGGTCAGCCTTAAGACACTGTAAGGAGAGTTTTTGCATTATATTAAACGACATTTCTATTTGTTTTGACTCCCGATCAACTGTTTATGCAACTGGGCAACAATGTGACCACACGTAGCTATCGGGCCAATGCCTTGAAATCGAAATACCGCCACAATGAATCAATAACCAGTGCTGCTCTAATAAGCAGTGAATAATAATTATCGCTCAACAGCTGGCGCGAACAGTACATGTATATTTTATGCCGGTTTGGTTTGTTAAAAAATAATGGAGACAGCTGGAGAAGTGCCAGCACCACCTGGACAGATGAACAACACTGCACTTCGCCATAAGATACGAGAGTATGCGCGACAACAGCGAAAAGATTTGCGCACGAATACGACAGATGCGTTGCGCTTTGGCTTGGGGCAAATCAAGGATAAAATTATGGAGTTGGAAAATCTGGGAATTAAAGATGTACAGGGGATGGCGGGTCGCATTAAGCGGCGAAAGCATGCCGATACCAAGGACATGTATCGTTTGAGCCACGCCTTCTTGCAGGGCAATGACAATATCAACGCCTTTGCTGAGGTTCAAGGCGCAACCCAAGTGATAATTAAAGAGCTTACAGGTAAGTCAGATACAGGAGAACACAACCCAAATTGTCTCTCTTATTCCCTTTCTCATTTCAGGTACCCATGTGCAACATCAGATTGAAGCTGCCGAATGCTTGTGCAACTTTTCCTTAGGCGATGCGCATGTCTGTGAGAAGATTACCACTATGGCGGGCAGCTACCTGGTGACCCTTTTGAATAGTCAGGAGCCGCGCTTGAAGCGCAGTTGCCTCTGGACATTGGCCAACATTATAGCCACATGCAGCAAGTCGGCCAAAACATTGCTTCAAATGCAATTGGCAACCAAATTATGGAAAATGTATACGACATCTTCGAGCGACATCGACGCCTATCAGGAGGATACTGGCATTTGCTTATATTTAATTGCCAATCATGCTGCGTCCTCCATTACCACTGAGGATCGCCGTCACATTGCTAGGCACCTGCACATGAAGCAACCAACCGAGCCCGCTGCCGACTATTATATGTTCATCGTATTTCAGTTTGAAGTTGTTGGGCTGGAAAACAATTTGTGCTCGGCACATTTTCAGCATTTGTTAAATTACTTCATGGATAATCTGAAAACGAATCTCAGCACATCCACCGGCAAGTTGCATATTATCTATGGAGTGCGTGTGCTTGCCAACATGTTTGCCACTCGCCCATTAATTGGCAGATTAGACTCGCAGGCGGATCAGCTTGTGAGCACATTGAACCAACTGTTTGCCTTAGGAGACGCCGGTCTAACCATGGACCTGATGCAACTATTGAAGAATATAGTTGATGCTCAATCGATGGATAACGATTTTCTGCTGAAACAGATTTGTGTCTATGCTTCGCCAGTCATAGTTAATAGTTGTTAAAATTTTAATTTATAAGCATCTGCTCAGCTTGTTTCAAGTATTTTCAAGCCTCTGTTTAATAAGTGGTAAATTTTGATTTATTATTCTCTAGGGTGGATAGCTGCCCCAAGATGAGATTGGATTCGAGGTTGTATGGATTAAATAAATACAAAATGGATTTATAAATAAATAATAATACTTATTATAATCAATATTGCCCGGGGCCGTTAGATGTGTACATACATTGAAATCAAGTAAAACATACATGACATAAATCATAGAAATTAAAAACTAAAACAAATTACAAAAATAAAAAATGCACGCGATGAATACAATCAATTAAAAATGTAAAACGATGTTTCAGACTTAAATAGGATATGGAATAATGAATATAAACTAGATTAAATTAAATATCATCTTCGAATAGGGCGATTATGCGACGCCGTTGAGCGTCGTCGTCTTTGGCATTGCTGACATTGCGTTGTTCGTTGTGATGAAGACCGTTGTGAATCTCCAGTTCGCTAACGGAGTCAAATATCAAGTTGCATTGGTTGCAACGTGCTGCCGACAAGGGCAACTGCGTGGCACTTGTAGGTGTCGCGGGCACAGGCGACTGTGACTGCTGATGGGGTGTGACAACGGCACGTTGCAACTTCTCTAGGAATGTGGCACGTGCCCGCTCCTCATGCACCAGCGGTGCAGCAGCAGCAGCTGTGCATCTTATGGGTATGGGCTTCTTTACCACCGGATTGGGCGTATTCTGTGAGTTGCGACTCTCGGAGCGCTCGATGGCATACAATACATTATTCTCAACGGTTATTGGAGTGTTGGTGCCACTGTTAAATGTTAGCAGGCCATTGCCAAAGACAGCATCGTCATTGAGAGAGGATACAACGCTATCCCAGCGATTTGGGAATTTTGCACTGCTTTCTGGAGTTGGCTCAAAAGTTTTTTCAGTGCTGCTATTGGTTATTTTAACCTGATTCAGTTGATCGGCCAACTGGGTGTCTATTGAATGTTCCTGCAACCAGGTGCAAGTCTTGTGCAACGCAAAGATCATTCGTCTGATGAACTCATGTGGTGATATCATCTTCTGGCGCTTGATCTCCAGCAACTTGTTTAACTCGGCCACAAAACTGAAAAACTGATGTTCCACACAATTGTCCAAATGCAATTGATGCGAATCTTCGTGCATATAGCGTTTGGAGCAGGCCGGACACTTGCGCTCCTTCCACATGGGTTCGGGTATGTTGACCTTAATGTCCTTCAACTGAGCCTGCTCCATGGGATCATCCTCCTCGAAATTCGTTTCACAGTAGTTATAGCAGTTCTTATCCTTGCGCGACAATGCATTCTCCTCATTGTCATCGCTAGAGGTGACGGCCGCGTAGTCCTCGTCCTCGCCAGTGCCATTACCGCTGCCACTGCCAGCGCTTGTCGATGGCAATTCCACTTTAGATGATCCCTGTTGAAATTATGTTATCATTTAGTAATGATATTAAATATTTTGTTGAAAAAAACAAGTAAGTATGCCCTAGTCGAGAGTGCAGACTTTTACATAGCTATTAATATTATAAAATCTAGTTTTAATACATTCTAAAATTCTGCTTTAAATGGATGTGTGCAAAAGCCAATGTAAGCAAATTAAGGATATCTTATTTTTTACATCCCATATATATATAATAATATTTAAAATTTGTTCATTGTGTAAAACAAAGCTTGGCAAAATGTTTAAAGAGTATTGAGTATTGTTTAAAGAGTATTGTGCAAATGAATGTAATATATTATATTTTAAAATGGAGGGAACAACTAAAGAGAGGATCATTCTTTAGTTGCTGTTGCTGGTAGGTGCATTATTTTAAAATTTTACTTTGATTATATTTCAAATAATAACACTGATCACGAAAGTCGAATAAGAAATTTTCATTGGTTGCATTGCTTGCTGAAATCGAGTAAGAAGGGTATGACAAATTTGATATACCTGTGTCGCATTTCGATGTTTAGCATACAAAGCGTTTAGGTAGCGTGATCGTCGTTCGTGGTTGCCGCATTGCTGGGGCGCAAACTGATTCAGCAATTTCTTGTGCACTTTGTCCGTCCTGTCCAGTTTCTGGGCGCTATTGTTGTTCAGCAGAAGATTGTGCACCGGTCGCTGCTCTACATAGCTCAGCTGGTCGGCCGTAAAGAGATCGCTTTCCTTATCCTTGTCCCCGTTGTTATTGATTGATTTCTGTTGGTACAACCCGATCAGCTTCAGGCTGAGTGCGTTTTTGATACACTGTTCGCGGAATGTTACGGCGTGTTTCAAGTACGATATGCACAAAGCACAAATGTACGACGGCAGTCCGTCGTCTGTAGAGTTCTGTAAATACGGAGAATTGAATGTTTAATGTGCCACGCATGCTGAAAATACGAAAAATACTTACCTTTAGTCCTGATGTCTCCTCGAGTAATACATTAATTGGCTTTTGATAGTTGAGAAACTCGTTTGTCGAGCCGTGCAAGTATGTGGGTATTTTGGCAAATATGTTGTAGTCTGCGGGGCTGCTACATATGCGACAAATATTTCCCCACGTCGTCATAGTCTCTTAAATTATGTATATCTTAATATTGCAAATATCAAAGCCAATTTGCGCTAGTCCAAACAAAACAACAGTACACAAAAATTACAAGTGTTGCTCTATCCGCATTATGTGCACAAAATATCTAAGAAACATTGCCATGTCTGGCAACTCTTTATGCTGACAGTATTTAAAGACTGCCACCAACATTAATATCGATTACATTTCGATAGTTTTGTGTAGACAAAAGATTTCGCGGAGATGAATAATGATAATCCTAATATAATATTTAATCCACTTATTAGTTCAATACAAAAAGTGGTGCTCTATGAAACACGTTCGGTAAGTTGTGGCCAACCATAAATTGCATTGCTTTGATTGTCATAGCCTCCGTCTCCGTTTTCAGCGCTTGTATTTGGTGGGCAGCAACAATCGCGAGACGCGATTTCGGCTGCTGACCATCGATCGGCTGGCGTTGAATCGCTTGAGCATTGAAGAGAATGCGAATGAGTTCAACAGCTTGGAGATTCGCAGGTTTGTGTCATCGCTGACGGGTTCACCAAAAGTGACTTCGGCCTATGGAGTCCTGGGCTTTGTGCGCTTCCTCGAGGGTTATTACCTGGTGTTGGTTACCAAGCGTAAGTGTTGTGCCCACATTGGTATGCATTTGGTGTACACCATCAAGGATACGGTGATGGTGCGCGTCAACGAAGTGACATCACAGCGACAGCCACATCCGCACGAGGAGCGCTACAAGAAGATGTTCCAAAACATTGATCTACGCATAAATTTTTACTTCTCTTACTCGTACGACTTGACCCGCACCCTGCAGTACAATGAATCAGCTCCGCGTTATGTGGGCGCCAAGGTGAATCTCGAGCGTGACGAACCGCTGCCCGACTGGAACAAGCTGACCAATAATGTGGCACAGGAGCACGAACGTGTTGACTATGCCTTTCGCAGTGATTCACGCAAGCGTTTCGTGTGGAACGCTTATCTGCTGCAGCCGATGGAGGGCATCATGCTCAAGGACTGGCTGCTGGAGGTCACGCATGGATATGTGAAGCAATCCTGCTTCAGCATCTTTGGCAGGCATGTCAATGTGTGTCTCATCGCGCGCCGCAGCACACGCTTTGCTGGCACCCGTTTCCTCAAGCGCGGGGCCAACTTTCAGGTATGATTATAGTTTATATATATAAACATATATGTGGATATATAATAAAGTTATAAATTCTAGGGCGATGTGGCTAACGAAGTGGAAACGGAGCAGATTGTCAGTGATGGTCAGCGGTTGTGTGCTTTTACGCAGATGCGCGGTTCGATCCCATCGCACTGGTCGCAGGATATAAGCAAGATGGTGCCAAAACCGCCCATTCAACTGGACATCTGTGATCCTTATGCCCAAACACCGTCACGTCATTTTGAGCGATTGCTCTTCCATTATGGCGCTCCACTGATTATGCTCAATTTGGTGAAGAAGCGCGAGCGGCGTAAGCATGAGTCCATTATTTCCAAGGAGCTGGAGAACAGCATTAGGTATCTCAATCAGTTTCTGCCGCCCCAGCATCGCATGAAACACATCCACTTCGATATGGCGCGTCAGACCCGCATCAGTCATGGCAATGTCATGGAGCAGCTGGCCGTGCACGCGGCGAGTATAATACAGTTGACGGGCATGTTCTACAAGGCGCATCGGGGCAGTGAGCTCAGCTTCCAGACGGGCATTGTGCGCACCAACTGCGTTGACTGCTTGGATCGCACCAATTCGGCACAGTTTGCCATTGGCAAATGCGCTCTGGGTCATCAGCTGGAGCGTCTCGGCTTTGTGAAGTCGGCCAAACTGGAATTTGACTCGGATTGCGTGACCATGCTGGAACATTTATACGAGGAGCATGGCGACACTTTGGCTCTGCAATACGGTGGTTCTCAGCTGGTACATCGCATTAAGACTTATCGCAACCCCGCCGCCTTGGCGTCGCAAGGCAACGATCTGATGCAGACTCTGAGCCGCTATTACAGCAATACTTTCAGCGACACCGAGAAGCAGCAAAGCATAAATCTATTCCTTGGACTCTATAAGCCCAGCTTTACGAAATGTAAGTAAAACCAGAATTTCGAATCCGTTCACTCCGTAGATACTTTACTTATGTCCTTTGCTTTTGCAGTGAATCAGCCCATTTGGGAGCTTCAGACGGACTACGATATGCACAATGCCTTTGTGCCAAGCACCTCGAGCGCATCCATTACAGATTGGGTACGTCACAAGGTGCGTGAATGCTTGCCCTATCCATGCGCTGATAGCAATAAGCTGGTCAAGGAGCTGTTTCGTGTGCACAGCAATGGTCTCGAGATGATTGATGCCTACTCCAATTACCATCAGTCATTTAAGTGGACGGACTTCAGCGAACAAATTCAATTTGAGATCAGTCAACGTGCCGCGCGATATATGCCCACATTCCGAAGTCCCTTCCAGCATCAGGTACAACCGTCGCGTAAGGGTCCACAGAATCCATCGATGACTGGCCAAAGCTCTGGATTACTTAACAGCAACTCCTCCAGCTCAAACGAGGGTGAGGGTAGCTCCAGCGATGAGGAGCTTAGCGCCAGTTTACCAGAGAAGGAATCGAAGCAAACAGAATCGGTGGAGCCAGCTCCTTTCACGCTGGCATCCGTGTTACCTTCGATGGAAAAGGTGTATGGCTGCACCATCAGTCCGCCATCCACACAGAGCATGGCCATCTACAAAAAATACGTTCAAATGGATAAACTATCCAGCGGTGGGGCTCAGCCGACCCAAACGGCTGTGGCCCAACGTGAACAAGAGCTGGCCAAGATGATGCGCGGCATTACACTGCGTCCGCTCAGTGATTACGGCACAGACTCCTATCTGAGTGTGTTGCCTCCAACAGTGCCGGAAAAGAGTCAACTCATTTATGCAGAATACTGTAAAACGCATGCTAATTTTAATGCTGTGCCCAAATTTGACGAGTTTAACTTGCTATACAGCTACGTACAGAGACTTTGAAAGCCACACCCTAGCCCTAACTCCACGTACAATAGGCTAATTATTGCAGTTGAATGCCGCACCATGTTTTAAGGAATTCTATTGTTTTATTCATTAATGCAGTAAAGGCGAACTCAACGCATTTAGATGCCTAAAAGCTTATTTACTGTTTACATGCGACCAGTTGATTTGGGATACGTTTAAAAATAAATATCGATAAAATCAACGGCATTACCAAGGGCCTAAAGCAATTGATAAGTATTACCCTTGCCTAAGCGTAGATATGTATAATCGCCTTAATACAATAATAATATATTACTATGTAATTTAGTAAAGTGTACAACATGGTATTAATATCATTATCACTGTGAACATACAAATATTATTCAATATCATTTAAGTTTTGTTTTTCACTCTCATTTATTGACTTAATTAACTATTCTTGCGTTTATTGTTTTGCAAGTTTAAACAAATTGTGTATTAAAAATACTCAGAAATTATTAACAATTGAACGGGTAACGATTCCTTCTCGTTTGGCAGGTCTATTTGACACTTTGCTGATCTGTCGGTGGCTGAGTTCCCAGCTCATCCGTGGACTTGTACGTATATTCTGTGTGAATACCATGGGTCGCTTTATTGGACGCATGCATCGCATTGTAGCCCGGCTTCTCTTCAGACTGCAGTCCTGGTCTGGCGGTTGACTTATACATGTTGCCAAGCTCCTGGGCCAGCATATATTGCTCCTGCTCGGGATAGTCGTGCTCGCAGTGATGCTCACCACAGATCTTGCACTCGTAGATATTAGGTCGCAGTGTGATCTTAATGCGCTGTAAGAAAGCCAACAAGTTCATCAATTTATTCGGGCTAAGTTAAAGCGGGCTCACCTCCCAGAAGTTGTCGCCGCTGGTCCGCATAAAGTTGATGATCGCATAGCCCGGTATGCAAATGAGTGAGAATGAGGCAAACATCCAGCCAATGCCGTAGGCCCAGTCCGGATAAGTGTAGCGTCCATTGTGATATGTGGGCTCCTTGTAGTTGATTAGACTCAGCACCCAAATGGCCTGCAATTACACAAAAACTTGACATCATTGACCATTCTTCACACATCACACATTTGCAGCTTACGAAGAGTAGACAGGGTCCCAGTACCAGCCAGCAGGACTTGAAATAGAAGGACGGCACTTTGCCGGTCATTTGTTTGACATTCTTTGAGAGGCGCCCAGTGCCGTAGAACCAGGCTATGGCAATCATCTGACAGAAGGCCAGAAACATAATCGTCACGGAGGCAGCATAGTGATCCATCAGCTGGAAGTAGTAGATGCCGCCCTGTATAATATTCGGCAGTCCAAAGAGGCATGAGATGACACAGACAAAGAGCACCACAATCTCATGGTAGCCTAGATTCCGCTTGATCCAGCGCGGAAACCCATCCTGTATGGATGTGACAACCACCTCGACTATGGCAAACTGTGAATTGAGCCCCAGGCACAACAGCATAAAGAAGAACATAACGGCCCACAGTTGGGCATATGGCATCTTGGCCATGGCCTGCGGATACACCACAAATATCATGCCCGGCCCATCGCCAATGACATCGCGTACATTCGTATTCTGCTCCAGTGCCAGATTACCGAGCGTTGAGAACGCAAATATGCCCACCAGTAAACTGGTCACAATATTGACGAGGCTCACAGCAACCGTGTCTCGCAGGATGTTGTTGTTGTACTTGTTATAGCTGGCAAACGAGATCATCGATCCAAATGTAATGCCCAGTGAGTTGAAGTTCTGTGAGGCGGCATTAATCCAAACATTCGCGTTCTTTAGCTCCGACCAATTGGGCCGGAAGAAGAAGCGCAGACCCTCGTCGGCCCCATCGAGCGTAATTGCACGGAACATGAGGATAATGATGAGCACAAACGGAAATGTGGCTGTAAAATAGCGCACCTTCGCCGACGACTTGATGGACTTCCAGGTGGCAAAGTATACCATCAGCCAGGCGCATACAAGACAGGCAAACAGCTCCCAGCGCATCATGCCCGGATGCTCCAATCCAGCGCTTATCTTCAGTACTTTATTTCTGCATAAAAGAAGTCCACTTTCGATATTAAAATCCCAAATGGATGTTATTCGTGGCATACTCAAAGAACTCCTCGGAGGGGGTGCGTGATGAGTGCGGCGCTGTCGTATTCAACTCCTTGCGCTGTGGCACCCAACAGTCAGGAGTGTTCCATCTGCCACAAAAGCATATTTTGAATAATTGTGATTGCTGCAGGTGCTTTAAATATTTACCTGTTGCTGCAGTCAATCCATGGCATCTCCGTTTTGAACGATGTGAAAAAGTAATAAATTGAATAACCTATTATGACGCTATAGTAGGTGGACATGAGAAAGGAGACAACTACACTGGCCAAACCAGCTCCTGTCGAAGAAAGGGGTAATTAAATAATATTTATAATACATATTTATTATTTTGATTATATTTGACTTCACATTCTATCTTTTTTCATAGTTGTGTGGACTAAGGATCTGCGTTAGTCGTTAACTTTGTTACTAATCAGGTCGGCTATAATTAAGACCGGTTCATTTAAATCACATGTCTAGACTGGTATGCATCTGCATAATTATAATTGGCCGCGTGCTTTTAAAACCAATTAAAGCCATTTGTTCGTATGTTGGCTTAAAAATATACATTAATATTTATTAGTTCGCTTGCAGTTGCAGCTTGGGCTTGGTCGTGGCCGTGGGCGTAGGTGTGGGTGGGCCAAGTCTGTTCTATTGGCAAAATATAGTAGTTAATTAAAGGCTTTGCAAATATGTCAAACTAATGTTGTTTTATTAGATTTATGAGTGCGGCCTCTGACTATTTGGCATGCAGTTCGAGGTTGTGGGTCTTGAGGGGTATCCACTTTTCGGGTCTCACATCTAGTTGATAGACGCGTACGTAAATCGCTCGAAACATTTCCGTCGAGTTGCGCTTTGCCTTTTCACGCCATCCCCATAACAATGATTCTGACTAATTAGCAAGTGTTTTAGATCTTCTTCAACATATGCGAATAACAACAAATTCTGTTTAACATTTTCGCTGTAAGTCGCTCAAATTTCAAGCCAAGCCAAGTTCAAGTAAAAATACTCTGTATTAATAGTTATGGGTAGCAAGTATATAATTTTTTTATATGGCTATTTCGTAACGTATTCGTTAGTTAAACATTCTGTAATAGAATATGTTCGTTACAGATTTTGGTTTGGTTTTCGGCGGCTTTGTTCCTTTGTGCCTTTGTGTAAACTAAAACCTCAGAGCTTGGTTGACCAACTATTTACCCAGCACTAACTAGGTGTATTCAGTCAGACCTTGAGCTTGAACTTGGGCAAGCAGCGCCCATATTTACTTGTCATGCTACATGGGCAATCCTCTTTTAGAGTTTTGAATCGTTATTATTTTCTTTTGTTTTCCAATTCACTGGGCGGAAAAAACTATTTCTAAATTTAGTTTGCCTATAAAGCGTGTAAATGCCTCAACAAAATGACGCAATGGAATCGCGCTCTAAATTAACTTGAAGCGATCAAATCACAAAATCTTAAACAGATTTATAAAATGATTAAACGATGGATTGTTGTTTTATGTTGAAATTTTCAAGAAATCTCCAAGAAGGGGCAGTAAGTCAGACAATATAATAATATGCCAGAATGTACGATGAGTAATTTTGATCTTTTGGGGCATAAATATACTTAGTTCCACTTATGTCGGTTGGTCAAATATGCTTAAAGTATTTAAATACCCATCATTATTTTTGTATCTTATCTTACGAGTGATTTGTTAAATCTGTGACATAAATCGTATAACAAGGCTTACTACATTAAATAAATATATATATATGTTGAACTTATATCTCATACGAAAATTGAATTAAACAAATTTGGTAAGGAACTTACCCTTAAAAAGGGGGCAGAGCTGGCCCAGTGCACCAATGGGACCTCGTCCCGTGTACTGTCCCACAGATAACTCCATAAACAGCAGTGGTATGCTGCATATGAAGAGTATTATGCAGTAAGGTACTAAAAACACACCTGCAAATTGACAACAGAGCATCAGGGAAATGAAATGAGACTTAAGTGACAGCAGCTAAGTAAGCAAATTAAATTAATTATAAATATTTGAGATCAACAATTGCAAAATTGTGTACGTCAAACAGTAGGCAGACAATATATAAATATTATATATATATATGTATGTATAATATATATACATACATATATAGAGTCACATTTTCTCCAGTTGCCAGCTGCCATTTTTCAGTAGTCGGCTCATTATATGTGTAATGCGCCCGAGAAATGTAAATGGGGCCTCCGGCTTACGGGAGAGCGAGAACGTGTAAATGAAGATGGACGCAGGCAGTCAAGTGGCTTGCGTGTTTTACGTGTGAGGATGGGGGAGGTGGGGGACAGTTGAAGTGGGGCAAGCAGAGATACATGAGTATGTAGATGACAGTGACCGCTTTATTTTCGTCGGGTTTTCATACTTTTGCGCTGAGCTTAAACAAATTTTAATTTATGACTTTGTAGCGTTTACAGCGGAAATGTCGCATAAAGCGTGAAATTTTAACATATAAAAAATATTTTTCTAGAGCAAAGACTCGTCGAGAGATGTCGCATGGAATCAAAGTTTTTGTGGAATAGTTACACACAAAGCTGTTGCTTCACAGACTTCCGTTGAGATTTTTCTGGATTTTACACTCACCGCCTCCACTTTTGTAGCACATGTAAGGAAAACGCCAGACATTTCCCAGGCCCACCGAATACCCAATGCAGGCCAAGACAAACTGCATTTTGCTGCCCCAATGCTGTTGGCGTGGCTTCAAATTGGACGCCTCGTCCGACATGTCCATATAGCTGTCATCGTCATCGATGCCCAGCGGCCTGCGGATATAAAGCATACATCAAGTTAAATATCTTTAGGTGTTTGACGCTTTTCATAGTCATTTGTATTATAGTTGGCCAGCCAGGCGCATCTAATTGCTGTCAACACTCTCTGGCATTGTCTGTATGTGCCTCTCCGGCAGCAAACGAGGGTGCACAGATTGTGTGACCATCAAACGTCACAACCCTATCTAACATTTGTAGTGCGTCAAATTGTTTAATTATAGTAATCACATGCCAGTTGCAACAATGTCACTGTCCGAGGTGCCAAATGCCAGTGCAGTTAGTGTATCTGTGATCTGTGATTAGGGGGAGTGTTTGTTTATATTGGGGGACGCCACATTTAGTGTAAGGTTGTGCAAATTGAATTCTCAGCATTAGCATTATGTAAGCTATAAAGACTAGTTAAGGTGTATCAGATAGTGTTCGTAAGCTTTACGTTGTTACAACACTTAAGATGAAAGTAAAAGTATTTCCTATTCAAATACTATTTATTATGCATATCAATTCAGAAATCAGCCTAGTAACACTTCACTTTTTATTTAAAAAATATTTGAAGTTGAGTTATTTTCAATAGTAATTCAAATTTAAAAGAAAAAAAGTAAATTCCGTTACAAGGCCTTAATGAAAGTTATTAAATTTTGTTAAAACCTGTTTGACACGTGCCACATTTAATGAGCGATCCGTAGCATTTACAGAGAACATAAATAAATTGTATAAAATAGTCAACGTCGTTTTGAAAAGGCCATTTATTCATTAAGCCAACGTTAATATTCAATCAGCGCCATTTCGCTAATGACCAATACAAACATGACAACACCATAATGGGGCATTTAAGTCTGAATTGAAAGCTATTAAGCGCTTGGCTCAAATAAAATTGCACGATTTACTGGGCGTTACATAATCACAGCCAAAATCAGGGAGTCAGGCTTACACTTTAGCCACGCGATTGAAGCGAAAGAAGGATTGCTCCGAGTGCTTCGAGGACTGCGCATCCGGATCGTTGCGATGGGCCATCTCGCTGAATTATTATAATTTTTTTACCCAGGATATAGGTGTGGCTATATGCGAGATAATAATTTAAAACTGATTCACGTTATCCATGCGTCCATTGATTTGAAACGCGACCGAGCAGGATGCTATGGGAGACGGATCTGTGGAACAACTGCACCGTTTGTAGGTCGTCACTTTACTAACAACAGCCTGACACTTGGGGCTTGGGGCTAATCTTCCGAATCGGACCATTTGAGCTGTACGCTTAGCGCAAATTGTTTGTGTCAACAGTTATACTTATCTACTTATGTCGATCTATTGATCGCGTTAAGGAACATTGCTTAAAAATAGCTGCGATCCGTTGCAAGCTATTCACGTGCTATGTCAAAGGCATCATGTGCCCCCCACGGACGGATGGTGTTAAAATTTCATGTTTACCAACACGAGCCCAGTTGGTGCGTGTTTGTTGTGCATGTAAAGATGTGTGTGTGTGATAACAATTTACTTTCATGCTTCGATATCAAATAGTGCCAAAATTTGCTTTGAATCTTAAAGCATTTTATGCGGGCGTCAATTGGATTGACAAAGGGCGCATTTCTGTTATGCTAATGAAACGAGGGATGGATAGGATAAGTAATGAGATATAATAAAAGTGTTTCGATTTCATTTGTATAACTGTAAGTGGAAGTTGTTGACTTGACCCGGCTTTACTATTTTAATATTATTTATTTTGATTAATTCAACAAATATTCCTGAACTTACTGCGGAGTTTGCGGATTCACCATATCGAACAGTTCGTTGGCTGTTGTCGGCACACGTCTTATGACCAGCTTGCGTCCGTCCGTGGACCCAATGCCAATGGAGGCCAGCGAGCGTACCGAAGTGACATCCGAGTATATCTGGTTGCCGGTTAGCTCGCATAGATGATAGGAACTACCGCTGAGCGATGATTGCGGTTGCATGTAGAGCGGATTTGGTGGCTGCAGTCCGCATACTGCTGCTGAGCTGCCGGCGAGATTGCAACTGCTATCGCTCATGCCTGGCAGATAAGCTGTGGACATAAAACATGTACACAAAATAGTTGTGCTTATCCTTGTGCTTAAGAGGACCAACAACAACTTACCCGACACCATGGAGCGCATGCTGCTGTGATGGCTGCCGAGACGGGAACGCAGATCATAGCTGAGTGGAGAGACGGCGAGTGCATCGTGGCCAGCAGCCATTGTTGTGGTTGTGGTGCAGGTCAGCGTTGCGGGAGTAAAGTGTGTTTCCGGCGCAGGCGGTGCATCACTGTCATCAAGGGTAAAGGTGACCGTTGAGGTGGATGCTGCCGCCAACGCTGCCGCCGGCTGCAGTTGCAGATGCTGTGGCAACTGTGCCGGCTGTATGACATCCGAGGTGGGACGCGACTTGATCGACGGTTGGCGTAACGCCGGCTTGTGCATTACCGCGGTCATCGCCACCAGCGATGTGCTGGAGCTAGTCTGACGGAACGGCAGCTGGTGTGTCCCAGCTGGGGAGACCACCGGTGAGCCGGGCGTCGCCGGTATGATGATGTACTTGTGTGACCGCACAGATGGGCCGCGTATGAGTCGCGTTTGTTCGTCGCCATCACCACAGCTCTCGGCGCCGCTGTCCGACAACTGACTGAGTCGCAGCGGCGCTAGGGCGGTGGGCATGGTTCGCTTCGTGACCAGATTCAGGGCAGTGGGCGAGGAGGCTGTCTTGGCCAGTGTATGGCCAACATTTCTTGGCTCGTTGCTGGCATCTTGTCCAACTTGATCTGCCATTTTAATAATTGTTAATAATTGTTGTTGGTACTTCGCTTGTGGTGACTGCTTCGGTGCTGTTCAAATTCGTGTTTCTGTTGCTCTTTTTGCCTCAATCATAAAATCATGTTTGTCTCATGTGGTTGGTGTTTGTGGTTGCTGATGCTGCTTTCATAAACATATTTATCATTTTAATTCTCATAATTTGTAGCTGCTGCCTAGAGACTCGCTGATGTTGATTGTAGTTGTTGCCTCTGCTGCGGCTGTCGTATTTGTAAATCACATTAAATCCTTGCACCCCACATTGCTGTTATTATTATTGTTGTTTTGTTTTTGTTATGTTTGCGCACTTAAGCTTTTAAATCATAATAAAACTAAATAAAGCAAGATCCAAGAGATGCTCATTGCTTTCTGTTAATTTTCATTGTATCCCTCTTACTCTATATACATAATATGTTCTAAAGGAGATTTCAAAATAAAAAAAAAAAGAAGGGGGCGACATCTATGGAATTATATAGAAATATCTCGTTGAGTGTACTAAGAATATACTTAATGGATTGCATTTGACTCGCTAAGTTTGAGTGGATTTTCTTGTCCTGATAACGTTTCCCTCCTGAAGCAGGCGCTTGATTTTCTTGAGAATTTGTTACGTATTTAAAATACTTGCTTCTAGTTGCACACAGAAATTAGTTACCGTAAGGGTAGTTCGAGTTGGAGGTACAAAATGCTCTAATGAATTTAATCTTTTATATTATTAGACTTATACGGTATTGTGATATAATTTAAAAAATTCTGCAGAATCTTTTAATATGATAAGCACCTGCAGCTTACTCACAACTAATTGCAATTTTAAAAAATAATCTTGCACTTTATTTTGGCTCACGACGTAGCAATTTGAAAACATATCTCATTATATTTAGTACTTCTGTTTGTTTATATAATTTAATAAACAAGCACAGTTTGCGTGTGTTATGTCCCATTTTCTTTTCCATTTTATCATCATGACAGATAAACACTCATATCTGACTGCCGAGCACTTCAGCTCCCATCAAAGTCACTCGCACTTAACTTCACACCAGTTACAAATTTGTATCTTATCGGGTTGTGCTATAATTTAAAGGTTACCCCCCTCCCCATTCTCCTGGCTAGCCACAGTTGAATGTTAGCTTTCACATTTATTTATGTGTGTGAATGTATTGTTTGATTTTCGGTGGAACCGGCATCTCAGCCCTTTCGGGCTTTTAAGTTATCTCGGCTTCCAGCACTGCGTCATAATCTATACGATGATCAATCCCAAAGAGCGCCATGCTCTAGTGACTCTTTGAGCGGACGCAAAGGTCATTGAAATGGGTTCAGAATTATTAATTACGCATCTTATAGCGACATACTTCAAATGACTGTAGACTACAAGTAACTTGTATGCATTGCACATGCCACTTTATGGGGCTTCAGTGTAATATAACAATCTCATTGCACGGCCATGTGATATGTAAATTTTTGTACACTTCTTATTGAGCATTTGAATGAGCTAAGCGCTGAGTTTTGCAAATTTATAGCTATAACTAACTGCATTCAAACACACACCACCAAATCGATTGTTGTTTTGAATACGTAATATTTATTGTGTTATCTCAAACAAATTGGTTTTTTAGTTTTATCAAAGAAGAGTATAGAACAGATCTGAGAAATATTATTTATTGTTGAAAAATATTTTGGTTTTTAAAAACTGTATTTCTCAGATTGAACCCATCTGAACAGTTTCATAAATATCCCATAACTATATAGCTTTTTATAGTTGCCCTTAAATTAATTTACTTATTTCATGTAATTCGAAAGTCTGTAAGTGTATTTGATTTTCTGCACCAATAACATAGTTTTTGCCGAACTTCTGTAACCACAAAATGTGTTCTCATTTTTTTTAAAAGAGATTTCTGATTATATTAAATAATGTATATCGGACACTATAAAATAGTAACGTAATTTCAAATAGACAATGTGTTAATACACTTTTTTTTACGACATAACGAAATAAAACAAATGATAGTTCTGAATTTTAAAGAATCAACGTCAATGTCATACTTGGCAAATATTCAAGTATTCAACGTAATATTATTTTCGAGTTAGCATTTTGTGTGTTTTCACAGCGACTATTTATCATACGCAAACAAAAACAATAAAAATAATAAGCAAAATGCAATTTGTTAAGCATTGTAATGCAATTTTCAAATTTGATTGCTCGCACAGGCTAAAAAGGTTTGCGTACACAAAATAAACAATAATTTTTTGAAAGACTTTAATCATAATTTTGATGGCAATTTCAAGCGTTTTATTCGCTTCGTCATTTTTTAATATAATCAACAAATTGCACTTATTCGTTTAAATTTTCGTGTTAATTAAATTTTATTTGCGATTGACTTCATTCACTTTCATTCATAGGCAAGCAATGCAAAGGCCTAACAATGGGCCAAGCTCCATTTCAATTTTAATCATAATTCACAATCGTAATAACATAATCAACACTTCGCACGGCATTGTTGTGTATATCAATTACCCGGCGCAGTCAACGCAGCGTATGCGCAACGTGTTGTAAATGGAATTCGTATATGTTAAGAAGCTCTTGAAACATGCGTTTCGATGCCAAACATGATTTAATTGACGCGCCACAATTCACGATCTATGTTTGCCTGCCAGCGTTTCCCTACGTAATGCCGAAGAGCCCAACAGCCCCCAAGAAACGTGCAAACACGCGCACTGTCAAATGTCAACTGATCCACGGTTGCGAATATCGCTTACACTTGACGTCGTTTGGGGGATTGCACACTCTCTCACTCTCTCTCTCTCTCCCTCTCTCTTTCTCTCTCCCTCGCTCTTTCGTTTGTTGCGTTGCTCTTTAGGCATGACTATTTGCGGGACTTTAAAATCGGTTCTGTAGTGCGCTCGTTTGGGCTTTACGGCGCGGCATCTGATAGCAGGCAGCAATAATCACAATAACCGCAGCAGTGAATGTTGCAATGGGGTATGATAAGCTGCAGTAGACACTATTAGTTATCACGTATTCAAGTGAAAATTAGAACAATGGGCTTATTATGTTAATGTGTTATGGTTGATCGTGATCTAGTTTTCATCCATTTTCACGAATAATGAGCTTGCAATTATGACTGCCATAAATCAAGTGTGCTCAGTAACGCACAGGGGACAGGGTATAAGCAGAGAATTCGAATTAAGCTGCGGCTTACTATAGACTGACTGGTATGTTCTCAAATTTACTTATCCCCTCAAAAGCCTGCATAAGTAATGTGCAATAATACGACCAAAATGAAGAAGCATCAACGTTTATTTTTTTATTTTGCTTTCAAGTCGCTTTACCGCTTGGAGATTATTGCATTTTTTTTTTATCACTTAGCGGCCAACGCGGTAAGCTGATTGATAATGACGACGGGAATAGATTTGCAGCGCCGTAAGTCAAGGTAAGCGGGCAATATACGAGACAGTTTTTATTTTATTATCAGATGAGCTATATACGAGCATAAGATATTCATGTGGTCATATTTGATTGTTGAAAATATCACCTGTTGTAATTTGAAACTGGCTTTGCAATATTTGCTTAAGATTTTGGACATATGACTATAATTTGAGAGCCATTTATTGAATATGAGTAAATTTCTTGCTTCATTTGGCATTCATTTTTAGCTTTCATCGAATTCAACAAACGTTATTAAAATTAATAAAATCGAGGAGCATTTTTTTTACATTTTCTTTATTCATATTCATTTAATATTTATTAGTTTACAATAAGCGATTAAAATTATGATATTTTTGTTTCGATTTAAATACAATTCTTTATAATTACAATTTAACTATTGTGTTCTTTTTACAATTCTTTTTTGTTTTTCAATATTTGCTGCCAGTGCAAAAAGTTGTATCAACTTAATTCTAGTTGTTTATTCGGATAAATTGTTAAACGGTGTTTGTGAAGAAAAAATAAAAGTTTTTTTTTTGTTAATTGTGAGCGAACTTGTTTGCTAGATTTTTTAATCTATTTTTTTTTGTTGTATTGCGTTACTTGGAATCAGAAAATAATTTTATTCTGGCATATTCCTTTCCCTGGGCGAAAGTTTTGAAACCTATACACAAAAATGCGCTACTAAAAATACCATCGGTTCATTTTTTGCCTGTGTTGTATTATTTACAAATTGGTCTCATTTTGTAGGCGCGTGTGTGTGTGGGAGTGTCTCTCAATGTTTGAGTGTGTGGGAGTTTCGTGGTATTTTCACTATACTTGGATAAAGAAATGTTTCGGGTTTCACGCTCCACGTTCGGCTTAAAGTAGTGACTATACATTTTGTTTATGTTTAATAATATTAATTTAAAACTTCATTTTGAATAATTTAAATATAGCGGCGTGTTCCTCATTTCGACCAGGCGACAACTACGCTCTATGAACAGGCGCGAGAAGCCAAAAATTCGCTGCACAGCTTCAGGCGCGTTAACAGCTCGCTTTGTGCTTGATCGAAAGCGGGGGATATTTAAACGCGCCGGTTCGTTGCCTTTTTTAAGTACATGCTATACTTTTCTCGCTATTAGTTAGTTAGTGGAAGTATTTCATTTGCATTTTAAAACAATCACAACAATTTAATATTAATTGACTAAAAAACTACAAAAATAATTGGTTAATCATAGTAGGTATGTAGTAGAGTAGTTTAGTTATAGGTCATAGTTCAAATCCTCCATTAGTCGTCGTTGCATTTAAAATTAAAACAAACCTTATATATCTCTCCTATGCATTAATCTTTTGTGCGCGGTTGACGCCTCAGTGGCAGTATTTTTTTGTTTGTTGTGTTTTGTTTTTATTTTAGTTTCATTAATTTTTTTTCAGAGCAGCTTCTTTCCATTTGTGCTCAAGTTCGCTTCGCTATTTGTGGTCTGTATGTGTGTGTGTGTGTGTGGATGCAGAACTTTCTTTAAAATAATCCATGAAAGACAATCGTGGTATATTGTCTTGTGGTTATACTCATGTCTGGCATGGAAATAGGCTGCTCCATTTTAAGTTTACGTACTGCTAAAGAGTATTATTTTTTTTTTGGGTGCATTGTTCGTTTCGTGTTGTGGGAAATAAAGGCAGTTTTCAATTTTAAAAGGCGAGCTCATGTCCTAAAATTACACAGGAAGTAGTAGTGTGTGTGTGTGTGTTTACGTGTTTGTGCTATAATACAAAGTGTTGTTGCTACTACCCACACCCTAAATATTTATAGGAAGTCTTTAGTTATATATGTGTATATGTATGTATATAACAAAATATCAATATGTAATTATAACCGACTAATGAAGAAGTTGTCGTTAGATGACGAGAATTCCTTTGTAGCTGCTCTTTGTATCTAAATAGTCTATTGTTTCACTATCTTAAAACTTTTGGCAGTTTCGGTCATAAATCTGTTGAGGGTCTTTTAAAATTTTCTAGGCAACTACGCAAAATTCTCATATTAGTAAGGAAAAACTACTAAAATGTTAATACAAAATAATAAAATTATTTTCTTAAGTTTAAATTATTTGCAACGCTTTCTGTGGCATTTTTCTTATGTCGTTTTTCTTTATACAATTTTTTTAAGTTTCGTTTTTTTTTTTTTATTATTTACGTGAGCGTTTCATAAACGCCCGACGACTACATTTTCAGCTCACAACTGTACTTTTGCTTTTTCTTTTATCATTTCATTGTATGCTTTCGCGAAATTTAATTTCGTTTCTTACTTTTTGCACGTGCTTTTCAAACATTCATAATTTCTGTATTATTGTTTTACAAACTAATATTATGGGTAGGAGTTTTTGTTGTTGATTTGTCGGTGTGTTATTTTATAGTTACGTTACGGCTTAGGATATATAATCCGGCGTTGGCTCAGGCGCAGCGTCTGGATTGGCAAACAGCGGATTGGGGAACTCTGGCGGATGTGGCAATGGCGCCAATGTCTTGGGTCTTCTTCTGTAGGCCATCAGCCAGCAGGAAACTGCAACGGCGACGGCGACCAGAGCCAACAGCGCCGTGATAACCAGAGCTATGATTAAGCCCACCATTGAGACACAAATATCCTCAACGCGCTGAGCCGCCGGTTTGACTGCAATTGAGTAAAGAGCAGCATTGTTAGAGAGTGAACTGTTTTAAGAATTTGTATAGGGGTACTCACTGTTGGCATCATTCAGGCCAGGACCGCTGCGTTTCTCGAATGTCAGGATGGCATTAGAGGAGATGGTGATCTCCTCGCGCAGTTGACCCTCCACACCAGTGCTTGTCGCAATTGCCGTCGTATCGCTAGAGTTGTCCGCAATGGAGCGACGACGGCGTCCAAAGGCATTGTATCCACCGCAATTGACCGGCTGGCATCTACCAAAGCAGACGCGTATGTTGCACTGGAAGCGTATGTTATCGCTCGAGGGGAATTTGAAGGCATTGAAGCTGGCCAGAAGACTGTTGGTATCGGGATTATATTCCCAGTTGCCAAATATGCTAGTGTCAGTGGCGCAGCCATTCTCATCGGTTACTAGATACTCATTCTGTACATTGTCCTCCATTGTTTTGGCGATACAGGAGCGCGCAAAACCACCATAAATAGCTGTCGATGATAAATGGATTAGATTTATTAAGATTCGTTATTCTTATATTAACTTCAAGCTACTTACTGGCTGGTTCGACATCCACTTGTAGACGCAGATTGTCGCCAATTTCAGCCGAGTTGATCTCCTCACCCTCATTGGTAATGATACGCATTTGACAGATGGGCGGTGGTCCCGTATTAGCAATTGTTCCGGCCGTCGTCAGCATGGATACGTTAAAGCCAAGGGTCACATTCTTTTCACCGGTCTGGTAGACGCACTTGATGTTATAGGCCTGCGCCTTGTAGGTTACGAGCTTGGGATGCTTTTGTATGACCAGCACAAAGCTGGCCACATCCTTAACGGCTTGCATGCCGCAGCTGCCAAAGTGGACGCGGAAGATTTCGGTGCGTGGAACCGTCTCGCCGGCCAGATTGACAACGCGACGGCACTCCTCATCCTTGCTGTGTCCCTTCACATATAGAACGCCATTGAAGCCCGGCTCCGTGATATGAATCTCCACTTGAACGCCATCAGCCAAGCAGCTGACAACCATGTCAGGTCGTGGGAAGTCGGTTCGGAAGTTGGTGTGATTGCAATGCAGCTCAGGATTGCCAGTATAGCCGGTAATGCACTGGCACTGGGCACGGTGATTCACCGCATTGCAGAATGCATTAACACCACACGTTTTGGTCAGGCAGGGATCCTCACAGGTCTTCGTCACCGGATTGCAGTAGCGATTATCTGCGCACTCCTCGTTGGTCACGCATTCGGGCTGCTCCACTGGCTGGCACTCACCCAACGGTGTGAGGCGATAGCCCAGCTCAATCGGACAAGTACAGCGACCGCGCTCATCGATCACCATGCCGCGTTCTAGCGCGCAGACGCAATGGCCGCTCTCGTCGATTCGATAGCCCTGCTCTACCAGGCATGGTGTGCAGTATTCGTAAATGTCGAGGGCACTGCCCGGTGGACAGACACACTGTCCATCCACATCGCGCACGAAGCCTTTCTCGATGACACAGAGTGAACGTTTGTCGCACTGCACCGCTGCATTGCCGGTGTAGCCTTCGAGGCACTCGCAGATCATTGTGCGAACGGGTAGGGTGTCGAGGACACGACATTCGGCATTCACGCCACAAGGTTGGGTTGAATTGCAGGGATTGACGCATTCCCCGCGCAGACAGGCGCGCTGAGTGTGACAATCTCCATCGCTGATGCAGATGGGCGCAACTCGCTCCTGTTCGCAACCATTGCGACCGGGCACGGTTCCTGGGGGACAAGCGCATTGTGGCTTATGTTGATAGACCTTGCAGAGCTCATCGCTGGCACAGATCGCTGTAGTGTCGCAAGGATTGCCACATTTTCCATTAACGCAAGCCCTATCTGACGGACACTCATTGTCGTTGCGACAGCCAAGAGGCGTGCAGCCCAGACGCGCATTTCCACCATGTCCAGGGGCGCACTCGCAAACCGCACGATGATTGATGGCAAGGCACTCGGCATTGGGACCACAAAGCTCGCCTTGGCAGGCGGGCACGCAAAGTTGATTACGGCAGGCATGCGTAGCTGGGCATTCCGAATTGATAGTGCACTCGATCTTTGCACACTCGAACTCGGGATTACCCTCAAAGCCCTGGCGACAGGTGCACACTGGCTTATGATCCTTGATGCGACACTCGGCGTTCAATCCACAATTGCATGGATCTCGGCAAATTCCGTTCACGCAGGACTTGTCGGCGGCACAGTCGGAGTCCGAGATACAGCCACCTACCTTGACCACGCTAGTGGTGGGTTTGCAGCTGCCACTACCGCTGCTGATATAACCATCGGGACAAATGCAGATCATGGTACGTACTGGGGCTGTTGGTGTCACCTGGCACTGGGCTGGTCGCTGGCATGGCTCCAATACCACGCAGGGATCAACGCATTGTTCATTGATGCACGCGAAGCGAGCGGGACAATCCGTATCCAGTTTGCAAACGGGCTGTGGCTGCGGTCGGCAAGCCACATAGGGATTACCCAGGTAGTCTGGTGGGCAGCGGCACACAGCCATATGATTCTGTGGACGACACTCGGCACGTGGAGCGCATTCATTGTGATAGGCGCACGGATTGACGCATTGTTCGTTCTGGCAGGTCTTGTCAGTGGGGCAGTCGTTGTTGCTGATGCAACCGATGACGCGACAACGCTCGTAGGGATTGCCGCGATATCCGCTAAGGCAGCGGCACTGGGCACGGCTCGACTGCACATAGCACTCGGCATTGGGGCCGCACGGGTCGTTGATCAGGCAGGGATTGAGGCAGTTGCCGTTTAGGCACGCCTTGCCAGAGTCGCATTCGCCATCGACGCGACAGCCGATGGATCGACAGGTTCCATAGGGATTGCCCTCGTATCCATCCTGACAACTGCAAACTGCGCGATGCTGTTGCACATGGCAGATAGCATTAGTACCGCAGTTGCATGGATTGCGGCACTGGCGATTCACGCACGCCTCCTGTTCGCCACAATCGAGATCGCTCTCGCAACCGGGCGGACTCTGTAACACGAGTTCACGGCACTCGCCGCTGGCATCCGGCACTTGCGATTCGGGACACTCACAGACCATGGTGCGGACGGGTACGCTGTCTAGCACGCTGCAGTGGGCGCTACGTGCGCAGGGTGACAGCTCCGTACATGGATTCAGGCACTTGGCATCGATGCAAGCCAAGCCGCTGGGGCAGTTGCCGTCGTCGCGGCACACGGGTTCCACGGGTCGCGGTTCGCAGTAGGCATAGGGATTGCCCAATGGCATTTGATCCGGACAGCGACAGACAGCACGATGTTGTAGGGACTGGCAAATGGCATTTTGGGCGCAGGGACTTTGAGCGCAGGGATCCACACAGTGGTTGGCAACGCAAGCCAAATTGGTGGCGCAGTCGTGATTTGAATGGCATTCCAAGCGCACACAGCGCACAAATGGATCACCCTCAAGTTCGGCGGGACAGCGGCAGCTGGCTCGATGATTTCGGCCATAGCATTCAGCATTGAGAGCACAAGGATCGCTGGTCAGACAGGGATTGATGCATTCACGATTCAGGCACTGCTTATCATTGGCGCACTCATCATCCGATTGGCATCCGATGGGGGCGCAGCCAAACTGAGCATTGCCCGAGAAACCTGGTTTGCAGTAGCAGATCGGATGGTGATTCTTCACAGTGCACTCGGCATTGGGTCCACAGTTGCATGGACTAATGCACTGCGCATTAATGCAAGCCTCCGTTACGGGGCAGTCAGAGTCCGACTTGCAGCCCACTGTGATGACATCCGAAGCTGAAATTAGATTTAAAGAGTTACAAATGCTGTTGATGCCTAAGGATTTGGTACATTGACTTACGTGGCAGACAGCGTACGCGAGCATCGCCAGTGTACCCAGGCGGGCAGCGACAGACGGCGGCGCGATCCTGTACATGACAGTAGGCGCCCCGGCCGCAAGCATCGGCTGCACATGGGTTCACACAGCGCTCGTTCTGGCAGTTCTTATCGCGTGGGCAGTCATCATTGCGGGTGCATTCAGCGCCCGGTATTTTCGGCAAGGCAATTTCTGTGGTATAGCATTCGATGCGTGGATTACCCTGATAGCCAGCTGGGCAGGCGCATTGTGCGTAATGATCGCGGGCACTGCATTGAGCATTGACGCCGCAACGTTCCAGGCTACAGGCGTCCAGGCAACTGCCATGGAGGCATACCTCGGAACTGGAACACTCCGCATTATGTTGACATCCGCCAGCAACGATGACGGGCTGGATAGGTACACAATTGCCCGAGTTGTCGGAGACGGTATCGCTGGGGCACTTGCAGATCATGGTGCGCAGCGGCAGAGTGTCCAGGACCGAGCACGTCTGCTGTGGGGTGCACACATGTGGTGTGGCACATGGATTTGCACAGCGTTGATTGATGCAAGCCAATTTCGACGGGCAGTCGGCGTCCTGGGTGCATTGTGGCTTTGGTTCACTCTTTGGCAGTTCGCAAAGCACGAAGGGATTACCCTGGTAGCCGGGGCGACACTCGCACTGCGGCTGATGGCGACGTCCCACACAAATGGCATTTGCGGTGCAGGTGTCCTGCTCGCAAACAGGACGACAAACACGATTCAGACGATCGCAGGCCTCGTGATCGGCACAGTCCTCGTTGAACTGACAGTGTCCGGTGATGCAGGCGACGAAAGGATTACCTTGCGTGCCGGCTGGACAGCGGCATACAGCTTGATGATTCTGTGGCAGGCACTCGGCACCGCTGCCGCAACGCACTTGACCGTGAGTGCAAGGGTTGACGCAGTTCTCGTTCAGACATGCCTTGTCATAGGGACAATCAGGATTGCTCTTGCATTCGGCTAGAAATAAGTGTGGAAGATTAGGCATGTTTAAAGTAGACTAGACTAGTAAGCAAAACACTTACGTTTGAAGCATTGGACTTGCGGATCACCGCCCCAACCAGAGGGACAGTAGCAGATAGGTCGGAAGTTTTGAACGCGACATTCGGCATTGCCGGCGCAAGGATTGGCCTCAGCACACGGATCTTGGCAGCGTTTATTGATGCAAGCCGTTGTCGGCGTACATTCCGAGTCGTGGGAGCAACCAGCTGTGATTTTAGCTACAAGTAATGAATAAAAATGTGCTTAATATATCGCTTGTATGAGATGGTAAGAAAGGGGTCTTACGTGGCTGATAACAGTTGGTGAAGGGATCTCCTTGGGTGCCCTGTGGACAGCTGCAGATGGCGCGATGCTTTTGCGCAAGACACTGAGCTGTGCGCGCACAGGGAGAAGCATCCAGGCAGGGATTGACACAAATGCCAGAGCGACAGGCTTCCATATCCTGGCACTGATCATGCGACACGCAGCCTTGGTCTTGGACGGGTTCTAGATGAGTCAGAAACAAGAGATTAGATTTATGTTGATTGCGTTGGATATTGTTTGTGAGCATGTGCAGCAGTTATTTAAGAGTTATAAAGAGTGCATAAATAATATACGGTGTAACTGCATAATTTGTGCAACTCTGTAAACGGATAAAGAGGGAATATGATAATAAATATCAAATTATATATAGTAAACTATTGACAACTTGGCTGCAATGAGAAAAGCAAACTCAACGTAAAGCTGAAATAAGTACAATTCTGTTTCCCACAAATTGGGAAAGGACTGCTGGACATTGTTGGTGACTTACCTTTGCGACATCCAATGTCAGCATCACCCACGTAACCAGGCTCACAGCGACACATCATCGTGCGTAGTGGCAGAGTGTCGACAACCTCACAGATGGCATTGGCGCCACATGGGTGGGTTACATCGCATGGGTTCTTACACTCGCCATTGAAGCAGGCCAGTTTGCTTGGACATTCGGCATCCATAGTGCATCCCTCAGGCTGGACGGGCACCAATTCGCATCGTACAGCTGGGTTACCGCTATACCCGGCCGGGCAGCGGCACTGGGCGCGATGGTTATCCACGCGGCACTGAGCGCCAATACCACAATTGCAGGGATCACCGCAGCGTTCGTTGCGACAGGCCAAATGGAAGGCACATTCATCATCGCTACGACACTCGGGTCGCTCGCAGCGCACCAAAGGATTACCGCGATAGCCATCGGGACAGTGGCAGCGAGCGTGATGATTAAAGTCGGACCGACAGATGGCTCCGGTGCCGCACTGGGTAAAACCGCACGGGTCCACACATTTCTCATTGATGCAGGCCTCGGTGGGCGCACATTCGCCATCGGAGCGACAGCCCAATAGATAGCAATGCTGTAGGGCGTTACCCGTGTATCCTTCGTTGCAGACGCAGAGGGGACGGTGTAGCTGAACGTGGCAGCGTGCCTGCTGGGCGCAGAGATTCGATTGTTCGCAGGGATTGCGACAGACTTGATTGATGCAGGCCTTATCGTTGGTACAGTCGGTATCGCTAGTACACTCGGGCTTGGGTGGATCCAAATGTGGAACTTGACGCACACACTGAGCGTATGGCGAGCCATAGAAGTTCGGCGGACAGCTGCAGATGGCCTTGTGATTGACAACATTGCAAACGGCATTGAGACCGCAGGCATGCAGACAAGGATCACGGCATTTCTGGCTGACACAGGAGCGATCTCGGGAGCAGTCCTCGTTGGTCACACACTCCGGATAGCTGCAGGTGGCGGCGTTATTGTGTACGCGACAAACGCCATTGCTACGACACGGCGATGGTTGGCATGGATCCACGTTGTCACGTGGTGCCTCGCATTGTACGAATGGATTGCCGACCATGTTGCCCGGACAACTGCAGATAGGACTGTGATTGATGGTCTGGCAGACGGCGCCATAGCCGCAAAAACCAGCACACGCATCCACGCACTTGTTATTCACACAGGCGCGGTCCTTGGCGCAGTCGGAGCTGAGAGTGCATTCGGGTCGGCAGCCTTGGCCTAATGGATTGCCAAAGAAGCCGGGCAGACATTCGCAAACGGGCTGACCCCGCTGCACCCGACAGACTGAGTTGAGACCACAGGGCGATGGATAGCATGGATCCGATGGGGGCGGTGGTGTCACTTGTCGCGTGCACTGCACAAAGGCATTGCCCGTGTAGCCCGCGGCGCAGGAACATATGGGTACATGATTGTTGACGCTGCAGACTGCCTCAAGGCCGCAAGTACCGGGACAGGGATCGGCGCATTTGTTCCGTATGCAAGCGCGATTCGCTGAGCAGTCGGAGTTGCCGACACATTCGGGACGACACCCTTCATAGGGATTGCCAATGTACTCATGAATGCACTCGCAAACGAAACTTTCACCACGAACGCGACATTCCGTGTTGCTACCACATGGCGATGGATAGCAAGGATTCTTTTGTGTTGGCGGTTGTTTAGGCGGAGCTGTAAAGTAATTACAAAGATTATGATTAGACTTAGTGGTTAAGGGGGTCGCCCTGCCTATATACAATATGCAAACTTGTTGGACTTTGGACAAGGGATTCTTACTTTGGGGCAATGGCTGGCAAAGTCGGAAAGGATCACCTGTCATGCCCGCTGGACAATGACAGTTAGGCGTATGAAGGGTCACCTGGCACTGGGCATTTTGGCCACAGCTGCCGGGGCATGGATCGCGACATTTCTGATTGATGCAGGCCAAATTATTGGCGCAATCATCGTTGTTGGTACATTCTGGTCGACAATTTGGCGGCGTGCCTTGGTACTCAGACAGGCAAGAGCAACGCGCTTGGCCATTTTCACTGCTGCACTGGGAATTTGGTCCGCAAGGCGATGGATGGCATGGATCTCGAGCAGTCTCCGGCTTACGCTCAACAACAATTAGATTGCACAAGGTGTAGGCGTTGCCCGTATAGCCAGCGATGCACTCGCAATGGGCGCGATGCTGTACCGCTTGACAAATGGCGTTGAGGCCGCACTGTCCTGGGCAGGGATCCACACACTTGTTGTTGATGCACGCATGCTGTGGCGAGCAGTCCGAGCTGGTGTAGCACTCCAGGCGGCAGTTAGGAGGCTGTCCGAAGTATCCAGTAATGCAAGAACAAATCGCATTTCCATTGCGCGCAATGCACTGTGCATTGGCGCCACACGGCGATGGCTGACAAGGATTGACAATGATCTCGTCTTGTACAGGTGTGCAGGCAACGAAAGCATTTCCAGTCATACGCTCTGGACAGCGGCACATGGCAATGTGGTTGATAGCATCGCATAGAGCATTCTGGGCACATCTTCCAGGACAGGGATCAACACATTTATTGCGTACACAGGCGCGATTTCTCGGGCACTCGGAGTTCAGAATACATTCGGGCCGACAACCGGTGTAGGGATCACCCTGATACTCGGGCAGGCAAGTGCATTGGCCATTGCGGCATTGTGCATTAGCACCACATGGTGAGGGAATGCAAGGATCGTCGTGTGCTGAAAAAAAGTTAGGTGCATGTTTAGGATAAAGCAACGCGTATTGTAGGAAACTGGGCATACTCGGTGTTGTTGGCGGTGGTGTGGGCGGCAACAGGCGACAACTGGTGAAGGGATCGCCTGTATATCCGGTGGGACAAGAGCAACTGGGTGTATGATTGATGACATTGCATTGGGCAGCAAAGCCGCAGGCGCCGGGACAAGGATCGCGACACTTCTCATTGATGCACGCCAAATTGCTGGCGCACTCCGCATTTATGGTGCACTCGGGTCGACAGTTGGGCGCTGCGCCAATATAGTTCGGCAAGCAGCTACAGCTGGCACCGCCATTCACCTCACGGCACTGAGAATAAGGTCCACATGGTGATGGCACACACGGCATCGGTGGCTGGGCTGGTGGATCAGCTGGCTTGGGTGGCAATGGAAGGCAGCGAATAAAGGCATCGCCCGTGAAGCCCGGCTGACAGGAGCAGAGCGGACTATGGTTGCGCACATGGCACTGGGCATTCAGTCCACAGGCGCCTGGACAGGGATCTTGACACTTTTGATTGATGCAGGCCTTATCCGCGGCACATTCGGTACTAATGACGCACTCGGGACGACAAGCGGGCGGGGTGCCTATAAACTCTGGCAGGCAGCTACAAATAGCTTGACCTTGAGACTCGCGGCATTGAGAATTGGAGCCACAGGGCGTCGGTTGGCAGGGATTCACGTAGGGGGTTGGCGTGGCTAAATGTGGTAGAATATTGGGATATTAACTTGTATAGATATTGAGCGGGCAAAAGCAAAGCAGTTTCTTAGCGCACAAAGCAAATCAAAAGCTAGTTATAGTAAATTGTCACGAAAATGTAATGTGCTTAAGTGTTGAATGATGGGATGATGAGTATAAGGCCGTAGACAAGATTTGAGAAGAGATGGCAACGCGTAAAAATAAATTTTGCGTTGCTGGTCCGAGAGTAAGGATATCCCAGAGATGGAATTTTAGTGGTAAGAATGTTGAAAACAATTTAAAGTATTTATAAATGAAATAATTAGAAAAAGCAAACTGTAGATAAGAGCGCAGAATAGAGGCAAAGGTGTACACTTGAGTACAGCATTGTTGGTAGTCAGAGAGCAAAATAAAGGCGGAGAGTTTAGATTTTAGTGGCACCTGCTGATATGACAACCTTGAGTATTCGATTATGCGATGATTATAAGGTGACGACACAAAACAAAGGCGGAGAAGACATGGTAAAGTTAAGTTGAGTACTGCATTGTTGTTGGTCAAAGAGAAAAGAGTTCGGAGGATTGGTTTGGTTTTTAGTGGCACAAATTTAGTTTGCAACTTGATGAGAGTTTTCTTACGTTCTTGCTGGATGAGACGACAGCTGTGGTAGGGGATTGCCCACATGATGGGGCTGGCATTCGCAAACGGGGGCATGATTGATAGTCTGACAGTAGGCATTGATGCCGCAGACACCGGGACAAGGATCGCGACATTTTTCGTTCACACAGGCCCGATCACTGCTGCAGTCCGAGTTGCGCGTGCACTCGGGACGACAGATCTCATAAGGATTGCCATAGTAGTCCGGCAGGCACTGACAAATGCTTTGGTCGTCTCGCGGCCGACAAATGGCATTGGCACCGCAAGGATTTGGATGACAAGGTACGGGTTTGGGCACAACTATCGCTGGTGGTGGTGGAGGTGGAGCGGGTCGGACACATGCTCTATACGCATTACCCACGTAACCTTCCGGGCAATAGCAGTGCGGACTGTGTGCTATGACGCGACACAGTGCCAGCTGCCCGCAACTGCCGGGACAGGGATCGATACACTTGAGATTTTGACAGGCCTTGTCAGCGGCACAATCGGCGCTACTGACACACTCTGGTCGACAGTGCGGCGGAGTGCCAATGAATTCTCTGAGACAGCTGCAGCGGGCACCTGAGTGTGGTCACACACTCTGAGTTGGGGCCGCAGGGTGATGGCTCACAGGGATTCACCTCAATGGGATCTCTTGTGTGTGCTGGAAAAAGTTCATTAGAGATTGTTGGCGTTCTGAGAATAAGTCGCATACCTATGGGCTGACAAGCTAAAAGGGGATTACCCGTCAGTGGGGGCAAACAAATACAGATGGGACTGTGATTCTGAGCGTGGCACACAGCACGCAGGCCACAGGCACCCGGACAGGGATCTTGACATTTGAGGTTCAAGCAGTATTTGTCAAGAGCACAATCCGAGTTGCTGCTGCACTCGGGACGGCAGGATGGTGGTGTGCCCAGATAGCCAGGCAGACAGGAGCAAATGGCTTGCTCATGATATGCACTGCAACGAGCGTTGGGTCCGCATGGTGAAGGATAGCAGGGATTAATAGGCGTGCGTGATGGTATAACTGCCGGCAATGTGCTGGATGTTGGAGAAGGTGTTGTTCTGATTGGTGGTTTGGGTATTGGTAATGGGATTGGGTCACATCGCACAAACGCGTCTCCCTCCATTTGAGCTGGGCACGAGCAAGTTGGGATGTGATTGTAAACATTACAAACTGCATTCAGTCCACAAGTGCCCGGGCATGGATCTTCGCATTTTTGCCTTCTGCAAGCCTTATCCTTGGCACAATCCGTGTTCAGCACACATTCCGGACGACAAACCACATAAGGATCTCCATGGTAATCGGCCAGACAGCTGCATATCCCATTCTTGCAAATGGCATTTGTTCCACAAGGCGAAGGATAGCAAGGATCCTTTGGAGCAATGGGTTCACGTTGCACGACTGCCGGCTCTGGCGTCCGTTGGCAAGAGATGAAGGGATCGCCGGTGTATCCAGTAGGGCAGAAGCAATTGGGTACATGATTGTTAACACGACAGAGAGCGTTGTATGCACAAGATCCTGGACATGGATCACGGCACTTTTCGTTCACACATGCCAAGTGCGTAGGACAATCGGAATGTACAATGCATTCTGGACGGCAATTGGGCGGTGTTCCACTGTAATTCGGTAAGCAAATACAGGCGGCTACTCCAAAACGATTGTGGCATTGCGAGAATGGTCCACAAGGTGATGGATAGCATGGATTGATTTCTGAACTTGGTGTCGCAACATCGTAGATTGGTCGTGAGGGAGTAGGTGTTGGCTGTCCTACCGAAGGAATATTGATGATTCCTTGCGCAGGTTGAGGTACTGAAGGAACGTTAATTACTCCCGGTTGTGGTGCTGGTGTTGGATTCATTGGAGATGGCACATATATTGGCGGTTGTGGTGTTTGTGGCACCGGTTGTGGGATTGAAGGAATGTTCACTATTACAGGTTCTTGAGAGGGTTGTGGCGTTGGGTAGTTCGCATTGTAGATAGGAGGTTGAGGTGTTGGATATGTTGGTTGTGGTACTGATGGTACATTAATAACACCTGGTTGTGGTGCTGGTGTTGGGTTCATTGGAGATGGCACATATATTGGCGGTTGTGGTGTTTGTGGCACCGGTTGTGGGATTGAAGGAATGTTCACTATTACAGGTTCTTGAGAGGGTTGTGGCGTTGGGTAGTTCGCATTGTAGATAGGAGGTTGAGGTGTTGGATATGTTGGTTGTGGTACTGATGGTATATTAATAACGCCTGGTTGTGGTGCTGGTGTTGGGTTTACTGGAGATGGCACATATATTGGCGGTTGTGGTGTTTGTGGCACCGGTTGTGGGATTGAAGGAATGTTCACTATTACAGGTTCTTGAGAGGGTTGTGGCGTTGGGTAGTTCGCATTGTAGATAGGAGGTTGAGGTGCTGGATATGTTGGTTGTGGTACTGATGGTACATTAATAACGCCTGGTTGTGGTGCTGGTGTTGGGTTCACTGGAGATGGCACATATATTGGCGGTTGTGGTGTTTGTGGCACCGGTTGTGGGATTGAAGGAATGTTCACTATTACAGGTTCTTGAGAGGGTTGTGGCGTTGGGTAGTTCGCATTGTAGATAGGAGGTTGAGGTGTTGGATATGTTGGTTGTGGTACTGATGGTATATTAATAACGCCTGGTTGTGGTGCTGGTGTTGGGTTTACTGGAGATGGCACATATATTGGCGGTTGTGGTGTTTGTGGCACCGGTTGTGGGATTGAAGGAATGTTCACTATTACAGGTTCTTGAGAGGGTTGTGGCGTTGGGTAGTTCGCATTGTAGATAGGAGGTTGAGGTGCTGGATATGTTGGTTGTGGTACTGATGGTACATTAATAACGCCTGGTTGTTGTGCAGGCGTTGAAGTTGCCGCAGGAGAAGGCACAAATATAGGTGCCTGTGGGACAGCCGGCTCCGGATGTGGGATTGAAGGAATATTTACTACTCCAGGTATTGGAGTTGGCTGTGGTTTCGGGTAATTTATATCATATACTGGAGGCTGTTGGGTCGGATATGTTGGTTGAGGTATGGATGGTACATTAATGACTCCCGGCTGAGGTGCAGGTGTTGAAGGAACAGGAGAAGATGGAATGAATATAGGAGGCTGTGGTGCTGGAGGCTCCGGTCTTTGGAACGTTGGAATATTAACAACTCCAGGCTTATGAGTGGGCTGCGGTGCTGGATAGCCCACATCGTATATCGGAGGCTGAGGTGTCGGATATGTTGGTTGAGGTATGGATGGGATATTGATAACACCCGGTTGTGGTGAAGGCGTTGAAGTTGCAGGTGAAGGAATAAAATGAGGTTGTTGCGGTGTAGGCGTTGGGTACGTTGGCCGTGGTAGGGAAGGAATGTTTATAACTCCTGGCATTTGTGGTGGTGGCGGATAGTATACATCGTATATAGCTGGTCGCTGTGGCTGAGGTGTTGGCACTGGTTGAGGAACATTATAAATATTGATAACTGCAGGAGCTGGTGGTTGCGTAGTCTGTGTAGGATAGTTCACATCATTAACTGGTGGCCGAGGTGATGGATATGTAGGTTGTGGAACCGATGGTATATTTATCACACTAGGTTGTGGAGCCGGTGTTGAACTTGCATGTGATGGTACGAATATAGGAGGATGCGGAGCCGGCGATACAGGTTGTGAGACTGAAGGAATATTTACAACTCCAGGTTTTGGAGGGTGTTGTGGTTCGTAAACTGGAGGTTGATGTGACGGATAAGTTGGCTGCGGTGCTGAAGGAATATTGATGACTCCCGGTTTGGGTGCAGGTGTTGGAGGATGAGATGGCACGAATATAGGAGGTTGTGGAGCTGGTGGAAGCGGTTGTGGCACTGAAGGTACGTTCACTACTTCCGGTAGTGGAGCTGGTTGTGAAGTTGGGTAGTTCACATGATAAACTGGAGGCTGAGGTGTCGAATATGTAGGTTGATTTACTGATGGTATATTAATAACTCCCGGGGGCGATGGTTGCGATATCGATGGAATATTAATAACACCCGGTTTCGATTGAGGTGTGATTGGTGTATGGGACGTGTGTACGGTGGGTTGGTATGTTGGATAAGTCGGTTGTGGTTCGGATTGAATGTAAATCACGCCAGGTATTGCTATCGGGTAAGGTGGTGCTGGTGTGTCATAAATCGGTGGTCGCACATTTGTGGCGGCTATATTTGCCAAAATATAATTATTAGATAGGCTGCTGAAATTAACTTTTGAATCATAATAAATCTTACGTCTTGGATTTTCGTAGCAGCGGGTAAATGGATTGCCCGTGTGCGATGGCTTGCAATAGCAAATGGGATTATGGTAATGGACGCGGCATTCGGCATTAAAGCCACAGGCTCCTGGACATGGATCGGTACACCTGTGCTGAACACAGGCTTTGTCGAATGAGCACTCAGAGTTTAATGTACATTCGGGTCTGCAATATGGCGGACTGCCATAAAAATCAGGCAGACATTCGCAAATTGCTTGCTCATTAACTGCGCGACACAATGCATTGGGACCACAAGGTGAAGGATCGCAGGGATTAAGGTGTACTATGGGTGCTGGGTCAGGGAGAAACATAAAATGGTTACACATGAAAGATAAATACGTTGAGAGGGGTTGCTTACATTGCTGTACCGCTGGCAGGGGGGCGCAGTGTATCAAGGGGTTGCCCGTGTAACCGTTGTAGCAACTACACTGCGGCAGGTGGTCAACCACATGACACTCTGCATTGAGACCACATGTCCCGGGACATGGATCGCGGCACTTCTGCTGAATGCAAGCTCGGTGCGAAGGACAATCGCTGTTGAGGACGCATTCTGGACGACAGGCTTCGTAAGGATTGCCGTAATAATCAGGCAGACAGGTGCATGAGCCAATGCCATGATGCTGATTGCACAGCGCATTAGCGCCACAGGGATTGGGTTCACAAGGATTATTTGCGGGCTGCTCATACTGCGGAGCTTGTATGGCCGTTGTTATGGGAGGTAGAGTGGGCCGTGGACTAGGTGGAGGCGGTGGCTGACACGCAGTAAATGGATTACCAATCAGCCCCGGTGCACACACACAATTTGGTTGATGGTTGCTGGTACGGCATATGGCATTAAAGCCACAGAGACCAGGACAAGGGTCCCGGCACTTGCGATTAATGCACGCTCGATCGCTTGGACAGTCACTGTTTGATATACACTCAGGGCGACAGTAAGGTGGCACACCAATATGCTCCGGCTGGCAACGACAAGTTGCTACACTACTCTCACTGCTGCACAGGGAATGTGGGCCGCAGGGTGAGGGAATGCAAGGATCAAGTGGCTCGCGTTGTACTGAAATTGGAATGGGTCGGATGGGCTCGCACCGTGTGTATGGACTACCCGTGTAGCCAACGGGGCAAACACATTGCGGTCTGTGATTAATCACATGACAGTCAGCTTGATGGCCGCATACACCCGGACAAGGGTCACGACAGTGCTGACTTATGCAAGCCAGGCTGAGTGCGCACTCTGCATTTGTGGTGCACTCAGGTCGACAGGTAGGCGGACTGCCATAATAGCCTTGCAAACAACTGCAGATCGCCTGATGTCCAACTGGCCGACAATGCGCATTGGCACCACATGGGGATGGCTGGCAGGGTTGCAATGCTGGTGGTGCTGGCGGAGCCTGCAACTGTACTGCTTGGCACTGAACAAATGGATTGCCGTGCAAGCCAGCTGGGCAATGACACATGGCCACATGATTGTGAACTTCGCAAATGGCACCAAAACCACAGGTGCCTGGACAAGGATCGATGCAGCGATTCCGCACACACGATCTGTCAAAGGCGCACTCACTGCTCAGGACACATTCCGGGCGACAGCCCACATTTGGATCACCCAGGTAAAGTGGCAGACAACTGCAAATGCCATTCGAGCATTGAGAATTTGCACCACATGGCGATGGCTGGCATGGATCATCGGCAATTGGAGTGGGAGCAGCTGGTGCCGGATAGCAGCGATGGAATGGATCGCCAATATATCCGGTGGGACATGTGCAGCTTGGCACGTGATTCAATACATTGCATTGAGCATACAAGCCACATGCACCCGGACATGGATCCTGGCACTTCTGATTAATGCACGCACGATGGGCGGCGCAGTCAGAGTTGAGAGTGCACTCGGGTTGGCAATGTGGGGGTAAGCCGTAATACTCAGACAGACAACTACAGATGGCCTGGCCATTTAGCACACGGCAGTGAGCATACTGTCCGCAGGGGCTTGGCACGCAGGGATCGCGATAAGGTTCGCGGGCCACAACAGGTTGTGGTATGGGCTGACAACGCACAAGGGGATCGCCAGTGTGGCTGGGGATACAGGAGCAATGGGCCCGGTGATGTAGAGCCTTGCAAATTGCATTGTATCCGCAGGCACCTGGGCATGGATCTTGACACTTCTGATTGATGCAAGCCTTGTCAGTGGGACACTCGGGATTACTGGTACATTCGGGTCGACATGCAGGCGGCGTGCCAAAGTAATTCGGCAGACAGGTGCAAATCGCCTGACCCTGTGATTCCTTGCACTGTGCATTGGCACCGCAGGGAGAGGGCTGGCAGGGATTCACGTAAACCTCTCTTATGGCTGTGGAGAAGGTGCAAATGGGTGCAAATAATATATAATTTGATGTGTTAGTGCAAATTTGTGGTAACGGCTGGTAAGAATGCTTACGTTCCGCCTGGCGTAGTTGACAATAACGATAAGGATCACCATTGTAGCCGGGATAACAGCTGCAGATGGGTACATGGTTCACAACTTGGCACTGGGCGTTGGGAGCACAGCTGCCGGGGCAGGGATCGCGACAATGTTGATTAAGGCATGCCAATTGGGTGGAGCAGTCGGAATTCAGGACGCACTCGGGACGGCAGCCTTCATAGGGATTACCAAAGAACTCGGGTAAACACTGGCAAGAACCAACTTCACCTTGTTGCCTGCAGACGGCATTGCTACCGCAGGGACTGGGCGCGCATGGATTAATCTGATCCCGTTCAAGGACCGGACGCGGATAGCATTTCGTGAATGGATCTCCAATGTAATCAGCTATGCATATGCAGGATGGCACATGACTGACCACCTGACAAGTAGCAGCTTGACCGCATATTCCAGGACAAGGATCGCGACACTTTTGTCCAATGCAAGCTAATGGATTGGCACATTCCGCTGAAGTCACACATTCTGGTCGGCAATTTGGTGGAGTTCCTATGAAGTTCTCCAAGCACTTGCACTGCGCTTGAGTTCCATCTGGTGTGGGCGTGCATTGTGCATTTGCACCGCACGGTGACGGCTGACAGGGATTGATAGGTTCACGTTGTACAATTGGAGGTGGCGGCAGCCGTTGACACAGGGCGAACGCGTTGCCCGTGTAGCCGGCGGGGCAGCTGCAATGCGGCATGTGTCGTATAACCTGGCAGAGTGCGTACTGGCCACAAGCACCTGGGCAAGGATCGCGACAGTGTTGATTCTGGCAGGCCAAATGGGGGGCACAGTCCGAATTGATGGTACACTCGGGTCGACAATGAGGTGGCGTGCCATAGTAGCCAGCCAGGCAGGAGCACACTGCTTGCTCATTGCTCACAAGACATTGTGCGTTGCTTCCACAGGGTGATGGTCGACATGGATTTACGGGCACAATGGGATCAGCTAAATTGGGAAAAGGACATTTAAGTGTTGCACAATGACATGAACTATAGTGAAACCTACGTTGCACCAGGGCGCACTGCACAAAGGCATTGCCAGATGTGCCTGGGGGACAGTTGCACATAGGCACATGGTTACGAACCGCGCAAATCGCGCCCACACCGCACGCACCCGGACAGGGATCAACACATTTACTGCGCTGGCAGGCCCTATCGCGTGCGCAGTCAGTATTTAGGACACATTCGGGACGGCAGCCTATGTTGGGATTTCCATGGAACTCGGCCAGACAAGTGCACTGTCCGTTGTTACAGATGGTATTTGGACCACAGGGCGAGGGATTGCAGGCGTCGCGTGGCGGTGGGTCGTGTTTCACTGGGATTGGTCCACAACTAACGAAGGGATTTCCTTGATAGCCAATGGGACAGCTGCAAATGGGCGTGTGGTTGATGACATTGCACTGGGCTGCAATACCACAGGAGCCGGGACAAGGGTCGCGACACTTTTCGCTCATGCAGGCTAGGTGTGAGGCACAATCAGAGTTTATTACACACTCCGGCTGACAATTGGGCGGAGCGCCATAGTAGCCGGAAAGACACCGGCAGACGGCTTGACCACTTTGGGCATGGCACTGTCCAAAGGTGCCACAAGGCGAGGGAACACAGGGATCACGATAAGTATCCTTGGGATAGTCGTAGGTGATTGCTGGCGCTGAAAATTAGTTTGGATTAAGCTAACTGCAAAACAACTTTGGGCTGGAGTCAGGGTCTTACGTATAGTGCGACAACCACTGAAGGCATCACCCGTAAATCCGGGCAAGCAACTACAGTGGGGACTGTGGTTAATCGCGTGACATTCGGCATTATTTCCACAGACACCCGGACAGGGATCTACACAGTGATGGTTGTTACACGCCTTGTTAAGGGCACACTCGCTGGAGATGGTACATTCCGGTCGACAAGCTGGCGGAGATCCCACAAAGTCGGGAAGACAGCTGCAAACCGCCTGTTGATTGACTTCGTGGCATTGAGAGTTGGGTCCGCAGGGGGTGGGTTGGCAAGGGTGCTGCGGTATAGGGTCACGCACAGCTGTTTGTAAAGATGTTGGGGTGAATACACTAAGCGTTGAATATATGTTTTCATGAGCTGGTTGCTTACGTTCACGAATGACACTGCAGTAGCTATAAGGATTGCCCTCATAGCCACTTAGGCAACTGCATTGGGGTAGATGATCACGCACATGGCATTCGGCATTGGGACCGCAGGTACCTGCGCATGCATCACGGCAATGCTGATTGACACACGCCAAATGGCTGGGACAATCCGAATTCAAAACACACTCCGGTCGGCAGCCCTCGTAAGGATTGCCGTAGAATTCAGGTAAGCACTGGCAGGCGCCGGCGCCATTTGACTCTGTGCAGATCGCATTTGAACCACAAGGACTTGGCAGACAAGGCGTAAGTGTTTCGATCACATCCCTCTGGATATGGCAACCTATAAACGGATTGCCACTATGACCGCTTGAGCAAACGCACATGGGTGTATGATTAATGACATAGCATTCGGCATTAGTGCCACACACTCCCGGACAGGGATCACGGCATTTCTGATTAAGGCAGGCCAGATTTGTAGGGCAATCAGCGCTGCTAACGCATTCAGGTCGACAGTTGGGCGGCGTTCCAATGAAGGTAATCAGACAGCTGCATTGTGCAGTATTTCCAACGTTTCGGCATTCGGAATTCGGTCCACAAGGCGAAGGCTGACAAGGATCATGCACATCCTGTTGAATGGGTGGTGGTGGTTGCGGATGACAGGCAATAAATGGATTGCCTGTGTAGGAGCTAATGCAGCGACAGTTTGGACTGTGGTTTAGTACACGGCATTCAGCATTCAAACCGCATGCACCCGGGCAGGGATCACTGCATCGTTGCTGCAGACACGCTAAGTGCAGGGGACACTCCGCATTGCTAATGCATTCCGGTCGGCATGATGGCGGCACACCTACAAATTGTGGCAGGCATGAGCAGACGGCTTGACCATTTATATTGCGACACTGCGCATTGGGCCCGCAAGGCGAAGGCTGGCAGGGATCGGCTATTACACGTGGCGGTGGAGGTGGCACAGGCACGCATTGTGCAAATGCATTGCCCGTCATACCCGCGGGGCAGTGACACATCGCCACATGGTTGTGAACTTCGCAGATGGCATTAGTACCGCATGTGCCTGGACAGGGATCAATGCATTTTTGGCGTACGCAGGCGAGGTTGTGGGCGCACTCCGTGCTCAATATACATTCTGGACGACAACCAATTATTGGATTTCCTTGGTATTCTGGTAGACAGCTACATTGTCCCTCGCGACAGACCGCATTGACGCCACACTGTATGTGCAAGCAGGGGTCGTCATTCAGAACCGGTGGCTGAGGTACTCGTGGCGGTGCTTGACAAGAGGCAAATGGATTGCCAGTCAAGCCTGGTGCACACTGACAAACCGGCGTGTGATTAATAACCGAGCACTGAGCGTTGAATCCACAAGCGCCTGGGCATGGATCACGGCAGCGCTGTTGCTGGCAGGCCAAGTGAGCGGCACAATCGGCGTTTATGCTACACTCGGGTCGACAGTTGGGAGGGCTGCCAAAATAGTTAAGTAAACAACTGCAAATAGCTGTGCCATGGTTGTCACGACACTCGGCATATTGACCGCAGGGCGACGGAACACAGGGATTCTGATATGTATCCAACTGAACGGGGGGTGGGGCTATAATCAGGGTAATTAAAGGTGAATTTGAGATCTTTTGGTATGAAGGTCACTTCTTACGTGGTACAGGATAGCAGCGTGTGAATGCGTCCCCCTGGAAGCCTTGACGGCAACTACAAATGGGCGCATGATGATGGACACGACAATCGGCATTAGTGCCACAGACGCCTGGACATGGGTCGCTACACTTTTGATTGATGCAGGCCTTATCTGACGCACACTCAGCACTTGTCACGCATTCCGGACGACAGTTGGGCGGTGCACCAACATACTCCGGCAAACAGGAGCAGATAGCCTGCTCATTGTTTGCGCGACACTGAGAATTGGGGCCACACGGTGAGGGCTGACAGGGATTCACATACTCTTTCAAGATTGCTAAAAGACAACATGTTTTGTTAAGGGTCTGGTGTGGCAGTTATTTTAGCTAGTAACTCACGTCTCTCGGGTAGCTGGCAGTAGCTATAGGGATCACCAACGAAATTGCTTAAGCAATGGCACGTGGGCAAATGATTAAGGACTCGGCACTCGGCATTTAAGCCGCACACACCCGGACAAGGATCGCGACATTTGAACTGTTGACAGGATTTGTCCGATGGGCAGTCACTATCAGAGACGCATTCGGGTCTACAACCTTCGTATGGATTGCCGTGGTAGTCGGGTAGGCATTGACAGGACCCCGCATTGCCCTCCTGACGACATTGCGCATTAGCACCGCAGGGGTTAGGAGAACAGGGCTGTGTCACCTCTTCTCGTTGAATTATTGGAGTTTGGTAACAGTTGGTAAACGGATCACCCGTGTAACCAGGAGCACAGTAGCACATGGCCACATGGCTCAGTGCATGACAGACAGCATTGGAGCCGCATGCACCTGGGCAGGGATCCACACATTTCTGATTAACGCAGGCCTTGTTGAAACTGCACTCCGAGTTGGTAACACATTCCGGTCGACAATTCGGAGGTGCTCCAATGTAAGTAGGGAGACAGTTGCACTGGGCCTGGTCTCCCACAGCGCGGCATTCTGCGTAGGGACCGCAGGGTGATGGTTGGCATGGCTGCTTTACAGGAATAACATCCCGTTGTGGTGGTGTTGGCAAGCATCCTAGGAAGGGATTGCCATTGTGTCGTGGCGGACAGCTGCAGATAGGCGCATGGCTTACTACATGGCAAATAGCATTGTAGCCACAGGTGCCTGGGCAGGGATCAATGCAGTGTTGTTGTTGACAAGCCAGACGTGGCAAGCAATCCGAGTTTCGTGTGCATTCCGGACGGCAGCTGGGTGGACTGCCCACATAATCTTCGATGCAAGAGCAAATCGCGTTATCATTGAGCACACGACAGCGACTGTTGGGACCGCATGGTGAGGGTGCGCAAGGATTTCTTGGTGGCAAGGACTGCACAAGCGGTGTCTCACACTGGATAAACGCATTTCCCGTCATACCTGCCGGACAGCGGCACATAGCAATATGATTGAGCACATCGCATATAGCGTTAGGAGCGCAGGTTCCTGGACAGGGATCGATACATTTGTTTCGTACACAGGCGCGATTTCGCGGGCAGTCGGTGTTTAGTACGCATTCCGGACGGCAACCCACATAGGGATCACCTTGATATTCGGGTATGCATGTGCATTGGCCACTTCGACATATGGCATTGGATCCACACGGCGACGGATTGCAAGGATCGTCATTTACAATGGGCTTGGCTATAAACAAAATGGGCCAAATGGGTGAAAATGGGTCAACATTTAAGTTGCTGTAATTCTTACGTGGTTCAGGCTGGCAGGAGGTGAATGGGTCACCCACATATCCTACGGGACAGTGGCAGCTGGGTATATGATTACGCACGGTGCAGAGCGCATTGTAGGCACAGGAACCGGGGCAGGGATCGACACAGCGCTGATTTATGCAAGCCAGGCTGGGCAGACATTCGGCACTCTGTGTGCACTCGGGTCGGCAACTAGGCGGTACACCGAAGTAGCCAGGTAGACAGCTACATACTGCCTGACCATGTGACTGACGGCACTGGGCGTTAGCTCCACATGGAGATGGCTGGCAGGGATCGCGTACAGGTTCACTTTGGAGAATGGTGGGCGTTGCTAAATTACCAGTATATTTGGGTCAGTATCTGTGACACAAGGCATTGATAAGATGACTTACGAGGCAAGGGATAGCAGCGCGTGAAGGGATCTCCGGTGTAGCCTGACTGGCAAGCACACAACGGTGCATGATTAGTTGTATGACACAGAGCATTGCTACCGCAAGCGCCAGGACAAGGATCTACGCATTTATGTTGTATACAAGCCTTGTCAAAGCTACATTCCGTTGAAATCGTACACTCGGGTCGACAACCAGGTGGACTGCCTACATATTCGGGTAAACATGAGCAGACAGCCTGCTCGTTTAGCTCTTTGCACTGACTATTTGGACCGCATGGTGAGGGTTGGCAAGGATTAACATATTCACGGATAGCTGGAATAAAGAGCTCAACTTGTTCTAGATGGTTTGAGATCCAAGGCAAGGATTGCTTACGTTTCTCTTCGAGGCTGCAGTAGCTATATGGATCACCCACATAGTTGTTGAGACAATTACAAGTGGGCAAATGGTTTCTCACATAACATTCGGCATTGTGGCCACAGCTGCCGGGACATGGATCGCGGCACTTTTGATTTACGCAGGCTCGATTAGACGGACAATCGGAATCAAGTATACATTCGGGGCGACAGGCTTCGTAGGGATTTCCAAAATACTCGGGCAGACACTGGCAGGAGCCAACGCCATTTCGTTCATGGCATTCGGCAAAAGTGCCGCAGGGATTGGGATTGCAGGGCTGCACCACTTCGAGTGGTTCATTTTGAATTGGTGAGCAGAGAACGAAAGGATCCCCGCTGTAGCCCGATTGGCAGTAGCACATGGCGCTGTGGCTAATCACACGGCACTCAGCACCGCTTCCGCAAAGGCCTGGACATGGATCTTTGCAACGATTGTTCCTACAAATCTGGGACGAAGCACAATCAGAATTAGTCAAGCACTCAGGCCGGCAGTTCGGTGGTGTTCCAAAGAAGTTCTCAAGACACGAACAGGACGGTGTGTCCCCAATGCGACGGCACTGACTGTTGGCGCCGCAGGGCGATGGTTGGCAGGGATCCCGGGGCGAAATATCTCTCAATGGTTCGACTGTAGTTATGATAATTGCGTCAATTAAGTGGGTTAGCTTGCTGGACGGTGGGAACTTACTAATTCTGTGGCATTGGGCGAATGGGTTGCCTGTATATCCGGGCTGACAACTACAGAAAGGACTGTGACTGACCGCCCTGCATTCGGCATAGGCCCCACAGGCGCCCGGACAGGGATCGATACAACGCTGATTTTGGCAAGCACGGTTGGGTGCACAGTCATAGTTGGTGGTACACTCGGGTCGGCAGGAGGGTGGTACGCCGTAATAATTGGGCAGGCAGCTACAGATGGCTTGACCTTGCCGCTCACGACACTCGGCATTTGTACCACATGGCGAGGGTTGGCAGGGATTTTGATAGACGGCCACTACAGAGCGATTTAAGTCGTTTAGTTTCTTGTAGCAAGGTGTAATTATCTATGAACCTACTTTGTACGGGGCTGCAGTGGACAAAGGCGTTGCCTGTCATGCCAACTGGACAGTGGCACATAGCAATATGGTTTACAACTTCACAGATGGCGCCGGCACCACAGGTACCTGGGCAGGGATTTACACACTTTTGCTGTACACAGGCGCGATTTCGGGGACATTCGGCGCTCAGAACGCATTCTGGACGACAAGCAATGTAGGCATCGCCTTCATATTCGGCAATGCACGTACACTGTCCTTCTCCCGAGCAGACGGCATTGCTGCCACATGGACTGGGATTGCAAGGATCTCTGGGTTCTTCATAGGCTGGTGGAGCTGTAGGGAACGGGGGAGACGTGTCCATGTAATTTGTGTTTATAATTTTTAGAGGGTTGCTTACGTGGTGCAGGCTGGCAAGCAACAAATGCATCACCAACATAGCCATGCAGGCAAGCGCAGTTGGGGGTATGATTTAAGAGACTACACTCGGTGTTCTGGCCACAGGAGCCGGGACAGGGATCGCGGCAACGCTCGCTAATGCAAGCCAGATGGCTGGCGCAGTCAGCGTTGATTGTACACTCGGGTCGACAATGCGGGGGTGTGCCGTAATAATTGGGCTGGCAGGAACAAATCGCTTGGTCATGCTGATTACGGCATGTGGCATACAGGCCGCAGGGTGAGGGTACGCAGGGATCGCGATAGGGAGCAACATCTCGAAGTGGCGGTGGCGGAGCTAAGGTTACGACGAAAACGCGTTACGGTGACTATTTATTGTGTATACAGATAATTCTCTTACGTATTGGTCGGGGCAGACAGCGCACGAAGGGATCGCCCATTAGGCCTGGAGGACACATACATATGGGACTGTGATTGCGCACCTGACAGATTGCCCCTTGGCCGCAAACACCTGGGCATGGATCAACACACTTGCGTTTGATGCAGGCCCTGGTGGTTGGGCACTCAGCGCTTGAGGTACACTCGGGTCGACAATAAGGTGGTGCACCCTCAAAGTCTGGTAGACAGGAGCAGACCGCTTGGCCTTGCACCTCGCGACATTGGGCATTCGAACCACAGGGCGAGGGTAGACATGGATTTACATAGTCGTGAACAATTGCTAAATTTAGAGTTAGGCAAATAGATAATACGATTCGAATTAGTAACTACATCAACTACTACGAGTTGGTTAGACGACTCTACGAAAATGATTGGAACTAGCTTACGTTCTGCTGGCTGATTACAGTAGCTATACGGATCTCCAACGTATCCCGCGAAGCAGGAGCACATAGGCGTATGATTAACGACATTGCATTCGGCATTCTGACCACAGCTACCGGGGCAGGGATCACGACACTTTTGTTGTTGGCAAGCACGATTCGAAGGGCAGTCCGAGTTAAGCACACACTCCGGTCGGCAGCCCTCGTAGGGATTGCCAAAGAAGTCGGGCAGGCATTGGCAGGCTCCGGCTCCATTGCGCTGTATGCATTCGGCATTCGAGCCACAAGGCGACGGCTGGCAAGGATTAATAATTTCCACATCCCGTTCAATTGGCTGGCATTGCGAAAAAGGGTCGCCCGTTAATCCAGCATCACAAATGCATAAGGCTGTATGTGAGACAACGCGGCAGATGGCATTGGCACCACAAAGACCTGGACATGGATCGCGACACTTTCGATTTATGCATGCACGATTGCTGGGACACTCAGAGTTTGCGACACATTCTGGCTTGCAGTATGGCGGCGAGCCAACAAAGTCTTTCAGACATGTGCATGAGGGCGTGTTCCCGATGGCGCGACACTCAGCGTTAGCCCCACAAGGAGATGGACGACATGGATCTTGAGGCTCAATATCTCTCTGTGGCGGTTCAATGATTTGCTGGCATCCCACAAAGGGATTACCCGTATGGTGGGGCAAGCAGGTACAGAATGGGTTGTGATTGACAACGCTGCACTGGGCACTTCGGCCACAAGCGCCGGGGCAAGGATCAACACACTTTTGATTCACGCAAGCCAGGTGGGCAGCACACTCCGAGTTGCTAGTGCACTCCGGACGACAAAGTGGTGGTGTGCCTATATAGCTCGGCACACAAGAACAGACTGCTTGCTGATTGGCTTCTCGGCACTGTGAATTTGGACCACACGGTGAGGGATGGCAAGGCTGAACAACGGCGGGTGCTGCAAAGTGAAAAATCGATAGGAATCGCTCCATTTGCTCACTCCTCCATGCTGTATATTTACGTGGTACAGGGTAGCACTGCAGAAAAGCGTTGCCTGCATAACCTTCGGGACATGTACACATCGGTATGTGATTCAGCACCGTGCACAGAGCATTTGGTGCGCATGTGCCTGGGCAAGGATCGAAGCACTTGCGACGGGCGCAAGCGCGGTCTCGTGGGCAATCCAAACTTGTGAGGCATTCGGGACGACAGCCGCTGTAGGGATCACCTTGATACTCCGGCAGACAGGTGCAGGTGCCTCCGTTACATACGGCATTCGGGCCACACGGCGAGGGATTACAGGGATCATCGGCTTCCACAGCTACAGAGCAAATGATTGAGTGGCTATTGGCTTGGTTGATTGACTTTCACATTCTTACGTTTTGGTGGTTCAGGCTGACAGTGGCTAAATGGGTCTCCGGTGTAGCCGGAAGGACATGTGCAGCTGGGTATGTGACTAATGACATTGCAAAGAGCACCAAAGCCACATGAGCCTGGACATGGATCGCGACACTTTTCGTTTATACAAGCCTGACTGCTGGGACAGTCCGAGTTAACTCGACATTCAGGACGGCAATTAGGTGGCACGCCCAGATACCCAGGCTGGCAAGAGCATGATGGTGCATCGCCATGTGGACGGCACTCAGCATAGGAGCCGCAAGGTGAGGGCACACAAGGGTCAATCGGTTGCTTTAGCACAACTGCTGTAGGCGGCGCCGCTATAACCAGATGGCAATATTTAAGATGGTGCTTTGAGGGACTAGGACAACACTTACGAGGTATTGGTAGGCAGCGATAGAAGGCATCGCCAGTGTAACCGGAGCGACAAGAGCAAATGGGGCTGTGGTTGACTACACGACATAAAGCCTGATCACCACAAGTTCCCGGGCAGGGATCTGTGCACTTCTGGGCCACACAGGCCTTGTCAATAGCGCACTCTGATGAAATGGTACACTCGGGTCGACAGGCTGGCGGCGCACCCATGTATTCGGGCAAGCAAGAGCAGACAGCCTGCTCATTGACCTCCCGACACTGAGAATTAGGACCACATGGTGAAGGTTGACAGGGATTTATATACTCCTTGATGGCTACAAAGGAAAACAGAAGACGTTCATGTCTATGTTGATATGATGTTACGTTGTCTTACGTTCACGTTCCTGTTGACACAAACGATATGGGTCACCGCTGTATCCAGTTAAGCAACTGCAGCTGGGCACATGATTGAGAACATTGCAGACTGCATTTGAGGCACAGGTGCCTGGGCAAGGGTCTTGACACTTTTGTTGCTGACAAGCACGATTTGAGGGACAGTCAGAGTCGAGCATACATTCTGGTCGGCAGCCTTCGTAGGGGTTGCCAAAGTATCCCTCCAAGCACTGACATGAGCCAGCATCCTGGCGGGTAGTGCAACGTGCATTTATGCCGCAGGGACTAGGATTGCATGGGTCTAACTGATCCAACTGCTGGATTCTTTTTTCCACACACTGCACGAAAGGATCACCCTCCAGACCGTCGGGACAGTAACAGCTCGGCGTATGCGAGAGTACACGACACACAGCCGTTTGTCCGCACAAGCCAGGGCATGGATCGCGACATTTCTGTTGTATGCATGCTTGATGCGGTGGGCATTCCGAGCTTGTTACACACTCCGGACGGCAGTTTGGCGGCGCGCCGATGTAGTCGGGTAGGCAGGTGCACGAAGGCGTTTCATTTATTTCGCGGCATTCGGCGTAGGGTCCACAGGGTGAAGGCTGACATGTCTGTCGTGGTGGTGGTGTTGGCGGCTCAATTATAGGTTGACAGCTAACAAACGGATTGCCAGTATGTCGGTCCAAGCATCGACAGAATGGACTGTGATTCGTCACATGACACTGGGCATTGCGGCCGCAAACGCCGGGGCATGGATCGCTACATTTCTGATTAAGACATGCCAAGTTCAATGGACATTCCGAGTTGGATGTGCATTCGGGTCGACAGAATGGTGGACTGCCTATGAAGGGACTGATGCAGGAACAGACGGCCTGTTGATTGATCGCCCGACACTGAGAATTCGGTCCGCAAGGCGATGGCTGGCAAGGATTCTGCACGACATCAAGTTCTGCAAAAAAAAGTCGAACGCTGTTCAGGCGAACTGGCAACCGGTAAAATCCTTCTATTGGTGATTGCTTACTTTGCACTGGGTTGCAGCTGAAAAAAGCATTGCCTTCCATGCCATCGGGACAGCGGCAGTTGGGTATATGATTGAGAACCTCGCAAATGGCAGTGGACGCACAAGTACCAGGACAAGGATCGATACACTTATGACGCACACAGGCGAGATTGCGAGCACAGTCGGTGTGTAGTACACACTCCGGGCGGCAGCCAACGAACGGATCGCCTTGATACTCGGGTATACATGTGCACTGACCGTTATGACACTGAGCATTAGCACCACATGGTGAAGGGTTGCATGGGTCTTGGGGCATAGGCGACTCTTTAACTGTTAGAAAAACTACGGGTTAAAATATGTTTTTGACTTGGACCTTAGTAAGGTTCTTACTTGGTTGTGGTGGCTCTGGATTGCAAATAACGAATGGATCGCCGATATAACCCACTAGACAGCTACAAATTGGAGTGTGGTTGATCACATTACACTGTGTGTTGAGGCCACAAGAGCCGGGACAAGGATCGCGACACTTTTGATTGATACACGCCTGATGGCTCGGACATTCAGCATTGATGGAACACTCAGGACGGCAATTTGGCGGTGTGCCCAAATAGTTTGGCAGGCAGGAGCACGATGGTGTGCCATGAATATCGCGACATTGAGAGTTGGCACCACAGGGTGAGGGTACGCAAGGATCAAGAGGTTCGCGTTCAATTGCCACAACAGGTGGAGCTACAGGGGTTATTTAAGATCATTTAAGAACTGGTCTTGTATTGCGCATTAATTATATTCGTTGGCTTACGCGGCAATCGATAACAGCGGGTGAAGGCATCGCCTGTGAATCCGTTCGAGCAGGTGCAGATAGGACTATGATTTCTTACTCGGCACTCGGCCTGTTCGCCACAAACATTTGGACAAGGATCAACGCATTTGCGATTTATGCAGGCCTTATCTGCAGCGCATTCAGAGCTGCTGGTGCATTCGGGTCGACAAGCAGGTGGACTGCCAATAAACTCGGTTAGACAGGAGCAGACAGCTTGCTCGTTGACTTCGCGGCATCGCGAGTTGGGTCCACAAGGCGATGGTTGACAGGGATTCACATAGATGTGTTCGGCTATAAAATATTTACTTAAGCATTGGCAACTACGACAGGGAGTTCAATATGGTTAGGCTTACGTGGTTCATTTTCTATAATACGGCAGAAACTATAAGGATCTCCAGTATAACCATTAAAGCAATTGCAAGTGGCCAAGTGATTTATGACCTGGCATTCTGCGTTCTGGCCGCATGTTCCCGGGCAGGGATCACGGCACTTTTGCTGTTGGCATGCTCTATTCGATGGACAATCCGAATTGAGAATGCACTCTGGTCGGCAGCCCTCGTAGGGATTGCCAAAGTGTTCGGGTAGACACTGGCAAGATCCAGCACCACCACGTTCTTCACACTTTGCATTGACGCCACAGGGACTCGGATTACAGGGTTGTATCCGTTCAACTGGTGCCTCTCTTATGGGACTGCACTGGGCGAACGGGTCGCCTGTGAAGCCGCTATCACAAAGGCACATAGCCGTATGACTGAAGACACGGCAGTTAGCATTAAGGCCACATAGCCCTGGACAGGGATCCACGCATTTCTGATTGACGCATGCCTGGTTGGTGGCACATTCAGAATTGGATATGCATTCTGGTCGGCAATTCGGTGGTGCGCCCAAAAATTCGGGTAGACAAGAACATGATGGTGAATCACCTGAAACTCGGCATTCCGAATTGGGGCCGCAGGGTGAGGGTTGACATGGGTTCTGTGGCGGAACATCACGTTGGGGAATTACTGTAAAGAGTTTATGTTGTAGCCCATCCAGATCGTTTAAATATACAAGTGGCTTACTCGTTTGTTCACAGCGTACGAAAGGATTGCCCGACATGCCTGTGGGACAACTGCAGAAGGGACTGTGATTTACTACATTACATATAGCATTGAAGCCACAGGTGCCGGGACAGGGATCACGGCATTTCATATTCTGGCAGGCTTGATTGGTAGCACAGTCGGAATTTGTAACACATTCTGGGCGACACTGCGGCGGACTGCCGATATAGTCGAGAAGACAAGAGCAAACTGCAGTCTGTTGCACCACTCGGCACTGGCTGTTGGGTCCACAAGGCGATGGCTGGCAAGGATTTTGTGCTGGTGGCGCTGGTACAGGACGGCATTCAAAGAAGGCATTGCCCGACATTTGTTCGGGACACCGACAGATGGGCACGTGATTATTCACCTCGCAAATGGCATTCACACCGCAGATGCCTGGACACGGATCAATGCACTTATTACGTATGCATGCACGATTTGGGGCGCAGTCTGTGTTAAGCACACATTCCGGTCGGCAGCCTACAGAGGGATCACCCTGGTACTCGGCTATGCAGGTGCATATACCATTATTACATTGGGCATTAGCACCACACGGTGAAGGATTGCAGGGATCGTCGCTGATGGGTGGGGAAGTTGCTGCAAAAATTACGGAGTGTAAACATTGATGGTTGTTTTCGAAACTACTCTGTGAACACCTACGTTCTGGTGGCTTAGGATTGCAGTTGGTGAACGGATTACCAATGTAGCCATCGATGCAGGCGCAGAGTGGCGTATGGTTTATAACGCTACAAACAGCATTCAACCCACAGGCGCCAGGGCACGGATCGCGACATTTCTGATTAATGCAAGCCTGCTGACTGGGACACTCTGAGTTTATAGTACATTCCGGACGGCAGTTGGGCGCCTGACCAATAAACGTGGCCAGGCATGAACAGGCTGAGACTCCATTGATGTTACGGCACTCCGAGTGTGGGCCACATGGTGTGGGTACACAGGGATCTCGCAAGGGTTCCCGTTGCACTTCAATTGGCGGCGCTGTGGGTCACAAATCGGATTGAGTAAAGTTCCAATAATCGCTAAGGAGACAGCAATGCTGCTTACGTGGTATTGGGAAACACTGTGTAAAGGCATCGCCAGTGAAACCACTGATGCAACTGCAGATGGGACTGTGGTTACGCACACGGCAAATCGCATTATTGCCGCAGGTGTTGGCCACACAGGGATCGACGCACTTCTGATTCAGACAGGCCTTATCGGCAGCACACTCCGAAGAGATGGTGCACTCGGGACGGCAGGCTGGTGGGACGCCAATAAACAGGGGTAGACAAGAGCACACGGCCTGCTCGTTGGCAACGCGACATTGAGAGTTGGGACCGCATGGGGTCGGTTCGCATGGATTGGTGTACTCGATAGGAATGGCTACAGCGGATGGAGATGTGCAACGTTTAAGAGTGTCAAGTGAACATGTGGGTAATTGCTTACGTTCGGCAGGACGTGTACATTGGCGATACGGGTCGCCTACAAAGCCAGGGAGACAATTGCAGGATGGCAGATGGTTTACTACCTGACAGTTAGCATTTTGGCCACAGGTGCCGGGGCAAGGATCTTGGCACTTTTGCTGCTGGCAAGCACGATTCGATGGGCAATCAGAGTCTAACACACATTCCGGCCGACAGCCGTCGTAGGGATTGCCAAAGTATTCCGGCAGGCACTTGCAGGAACCAGCACCGTCTCGCTCGCGGCAAACGGCATTTGTTCCACACGGGCTGGGATTGCAGGGTGTTCGCACTTCGATGTCTCTCACGATTTCCGGGCTGCACTGTACGAACGGATCTCCGGTGAAACCTTGCTGGCAGATGCACTGCACAGCATGGCTCACCACTCGGCACTCAGCGTTCAGACCACAGCGACCTGGACATGGATCAACACACTTCTGGTTGATGCAGGCCAGTTGGCTGCTACAGTCTGAGCTGGTCACGCATTCGGGTCGACAGTTTGGTGGACGTCCTATGTAAGTTTCAAGACATGAACAAGCTGGTGCCTCGCCAATGGGACGGCACTGAGAATAGGGACCACATGGTGATGGCCGGCAAGGATCAGTTGGCTGAATGTCACGCACAGGTTCAACTAGGAATTGGCTAATATTGTAAAAGACTCTTACAAGGGCTACCAAGAATAACTGCTTACTTTGTGGCTGGCAACGTATGAAAGGATTTCCGGTGAAACGCGCTGGACATGTGCAGAATGGACTGTGATTGACCACAGCGCAATTGGCGCCTACACCACAAGTACCAGGGCATGGGTCTCCACAGCGTTGGTTAAGGCAAGCCTGGGTAGGTGCACACTCCGCATTGGAGGTACATTCGGGTCTACAGGTAGGAGGTGAGCCAATATAGCTCGGTAGGCAGGAGCAGACTGCTTGCTTGTTTACCTCGCGACACTGCGAGTTCGGACCGCAGGGCGTTGGCTGGCAAGGGTTTGTTGTGACAATGATTTCTGTAGAGGGATATCAATGATTAGCAGGGAGGGCAGATAAGCAAAATCTCCATTTGACGTACTCGGAACGGGAGTGCAGCGAATAAAGGCACTGCCAGCGGTACCATCGGGGCACCTACACATGGGTATGTGATTGATGACATCGCATATGGCATTCTCGCCACATGTGCCTGGGCACGGGTTGAGGCATTTGCTGCGCAGACAGGCCTTATCGCGTGAACAGTCGGAATTGAGCACACATTCCGGACGACAGCCGGCATAGGGATCACCGTGATATTCGGGCAAACAGCTGCAAACACCATCGTTGCATTGAGCATTGGGACCACACGGTGATGGTTGACAACGATCAACATATTCGTCTAAGAATCATAGGCAATTAGGAATTGTGGACCTTTAGCATAGTTTGAGACACTCACTTAACACAGGCTCTGGAGGTGCCAGACGACAGCTGCTAAACGGATCACCCGTATAACCTGAGGGACATGTACATATTGGGGTGTGGTTAACGACATTGCACTCCGCCGCATAGCCGCAGGAGCCGGGACATGGATCTATGCACTTTTCGCGTATACAAGCCATGTTCGAGGCGCACTCGGCACTGATGGTGCATTCTGGTCGGCAGTTTGGCGGTGTGCCAATGTATTCCTGCAGACATGTGCAGGATGGTACGCCTTGCACATTACGACACTGGCTATTCAGGCCGCAGGGAGTTGGCACACAAGGATCTCGATTAACGTGTTCAATGGCCGGTGTTGGTGCTGATTTGGGAGAATCAACTTCGCTATGATATGATGAACAAGAAACGTGACAAATTCGCTTACGTGGTAGAACATAACAACGTGTAAAGGCGTCGCCCGTAAAACCGCGACGACATTGACAGAGCGGACTGTGATTGCGCACTCGGCACTCGGCATTGATGCCGCAAATGCCGGGACAAGGATCCTGACAACGTTGACTTATGCATGCCTTGTCAGTGGGGCACTCGGTGCTCAATACACACTCGGGTCGACAGTTAGGTGGCAAACCGATGTATAGTTCGACACAGGAGCAAACCGCCTGACCATTAAGCTCGCGGCACTGGGAATTGGGACCGCACGGGGAGGGGCGACAGGGCTGAGTGGGTTCGGCTTGACGTATAGCTGCAAAGGTTATCTTGTATTCGTTGTTCAGCTGGACAGTTGGTCTGAGCTTACGTTGAGTTGGTTCCACATGGCAGTAATTATACGGATCACCAGTGTAACCACTGCGACATGTGCATGCGGGTAGGTGATTCGTTACGCGGCAATCAGCATTTGTGCCACAGGTGCCGGGGCAGGGATCGCGACACTTTTGCTGCTGGCACGCCTTATTCGATTGACAGTCGGAATTGCGTACGCATTCCGGTCGGCACGACTGGTAAGGATCGCCAAAGTAATCGGGCAAGCACTGGCAAGAGCCAATGCCATTGCGTTCACGGCAAACGGCATTCGATCCGCAAGGATTTGGTTCACAGGGTGTGACCTGTTCATTGACTATCCGTTCTGTACTCCGAAGAGATATTGGGAGATAGAGAGCGTGGGGAAGAGAAGAGTTTGGCAAAAACTTTATTAACTGTTCTTTAGTGTTGCGGGTTTAGTACATCGAACACACCTGGCAGTGGCTTTAGTTTTAGCAGTATTGCAGTTGATTAATCCAATTGGGTTTTGGTTTTGTTTTTTGGCAGTGGGATTAGAGCACGGTTTATGTGTTTGCTTATTACATTTAATAATTTAAATTTGTTCACTTAAAATGATGTCAGCGCGTCTTAGTTTAGTTTTAGTGTTGTTAAACGCAGTGCGTTGCAGTGTTCTTGTTTTGTAGTGCGGTGCGCTGTGTCTTTGTGCAGTGTTGCGTAACGTAAGATGCACATTACGTTTGAATACGTGACGTAATTAAAACAAGTGTTTCGTGTCAGCTTATATCAATCGATTTATTGCATTATTGGTTAAACAATTTGAATATGGGCTCTACAGGCTTATATATCTAGAAATTTATGTATTAAATAAACTATTTGCTAATAATCAATAAGCGCATTTTAGTTCCTTATATTTTTGGTATTTGTTGACTAGTATTTGTTGATAATCCTTTAGCGAACCGTTGTTACAATAGGGGCAACAAAATTTTGGGCGACAACAACACAGTATTCAATTTCTTTGGTATTGGTATTTTTTCAATTGAGGGTTAGGGTATCAAATTCAGGGGTTAAAAATTCAATTGTACGCATTTGGGTCAAGCAAAAAAAAATATATAAGTAAAAGCATTTTGTAGGTCCAACATCGATTCGACAACAGGATCAAAATATTACTTCCCAAAGCATACATATCAAATAACAAGGTCAGGGGTTAGGTCAATTCAAGGCGTTTGGGTGAGGCATTTTACGTGATATATATTATATAAATTGTATTTAAGGCGGCAAAGAGGTGTGGCAAGTTTGCATATTGTAAAGGCGTTAAAGGCATTAAAGCATATATAAAATTTTATCAAAATGTAATTAAAAACTAATTAAAACTTTTCGTTACTGCCGCACACAAACACTTCCAAAAGCAACAACAATTCAGACAACTCGTACAGAACTGTGAGCCTTGAAATTTGCATTTCGCTATAGTGCATTTCAACAGGTGAAATATTTATGGAAACACTTATTTTGCAATGCATTGCGCTTGTGCGTGCGATAACCAAACATTTTAATGTAAAATCGTGTAAATTGTTTGTGTAAATATCTCATAAACTAAGCGCATTAGAGCGAGTTGTGTGTGTAGTGATTTTGAGTAAAGTGGGTGTGCAACACAGTAAAAACATATATGATTTGATAAAAAATTTAAAATAAAATTTAATTATCACAACTTCAATTGAAAAACAATTATAAATCATTCTAATGCGCATTTGACAAATATGAAACTGAAAAATCGTTTGGGTATATATTCATATGGTATCTCACTTGAGATAAGGGGCAATTTAATAATAATAATAATAGAATCTTATGAATTTTAAATAGGTACCGCGAGTCAGTTTCATATTTAGTATTCCCTATCAAGGCGTAAATAAATGCGAAAACGTGTAATTGCAGTGACTCTTTAGTGAAGCTCCGGCTATTAGGCGGATGTACAAGTAGTTGGGCGGTGGACGTCCAATCAAGCAACCAAAACCAAGCTAACTTACGCCTTGACCTAACTACTGGTATGTATCATGTGTGTAGTAAATGAAAACGGGTTCCTACCTTGCTCTGGTTGACAGCCGGTGAACGGATCTCCAGTATAACCCACATCGCATGTGCAGATGGGTTGATGATTGGCCACATTACAACGGGCATTAAAACCGCAGGCACCCACACAAGGATCGGCGCACTTCTGTCGTATACATGCCTTAGTTGGTGAACACTCCGGATTGATGGTGCACTCGGGTCGACAGTTGGGCGGTGTGCCAATAAATGTGGCCGCACATGAGCAGGCTGGATTGCCATTGAGCTCTTTACATTCCGAATTGGGTCCGCATGGCGATGGTACACAAAGGTTGGTTGGACTCTCTAGCGTGGGCTTACGTTCTTCTTGGTAGCAGCGTGTGAATGGATCTCCTGTGTAGCCCGTGTTGCATGAGCATGACGGATTATGATTAATCACTTGACAGCGCGCAAACTGGCCACAGGCTCCTGGACAGGGATCAACGCATTTCTTCTGTATACAGGCCGTTTGCAGCGAACACTCCGAGCTGACAATACACTCGGGCTTACAGGCAGGTGGGGAGCCCAACATGCCTGGCTGGCATGCACATACCGCGCCCTGAGGGGACACATGGCACAAACTATTGGGTCCACAGGGATTTGGCTGGCATGGGTCCTTAACGACTGGAGTTTCTTGCCGACAGTGGACGAACGGATCGCCCGTGTATCCTTGCAAGCAACTGCAGATGGGAATGTGATTCGACACATCGCACTGAGCGTTCTGGCCACAAGTACCCGGGCATGGATCCATGCACTTTTTGTTCAGGCAAGCCTTGTTTGGTGAACAGTCCGTACTGAGTGTGCACTCCGGACGGCAACCACTGTAGGGGTCACCGTGGTATTCAGGCAGGCAGCTACATATACCATTAAAGCAGTCAGCATTCGCTCCACACGGCTGCAGGTCACAAGGATCTTGTGAGGTGATTGGTGGTTGTGATGTCTTTTCGATCACTTCGACGCATTGCTCAAACGGATCACCAGTGAAGCCTCCGCGACACGTACAGATGGCCAGATGATTTTGAATGCGGCACTCAGAATTAATGCCGCAGGAGCCCTCGCAGGGATTACGGCATTTCTCGGCAATACAGGCACGATCTGAGGCGCAATCTGTGTTCACAATGCACTCAGGCCGGCAATTGGGGGGTGCTCCTATGTAGGTCGGCAGGCAAGAGCACGAGGCCTGGTCGCCACGTACGCGACACTCCGCATACAGGCCGCATGGCGAAGGCTGGCATGGGTTTTTCTCTTTGGGAATGTCCTTTGTTTCAACCACTTCTGGTGCTGGATAACAGCGTGCAAACGGATCACCGGTCATATCCTGCGGACAACTGCAAATCGGGTTGTGGTTAATCACTTCGCACTTGGCATTGATACCGCATATGCCGGCACACGGATTCGCGCAACGGAATTTGTGGCATGCCTTGTTCTGTGGACACTCGGCATTCACAGTGCACTCCGGCTTGCAATTGGGTGGTGCGCCAATGAAGGTGTCCAGGCAAGAGCAAACAGCCAGGCCATTGGACACACGGCATTTGCTGTTGGGCCCGCACGGTGATGGGCTGCATGGATCGCCGACTGGTGGTGGTGTTGATGGTTCGACGCGACGGCAATTGGAGAATGGATCACCAGTAAAACCATCGTTGCAGACGCAATTGGGTACATGGTTAGTTGCATAGCACTGAGCGTTGGAGCCGCAGATGCCGGGGCAGGGATCTTGACATTTGTTCCTTATACAGGCCTTGTCCGAAGGACAGTCCGAGCTAAGCACGCACTCTGGTCGGCAGCCCTCATAGGGATTTCCCTGGTATTCATCAATACATTTGCAGGCAGCAGCGCCATTGCGTTCAATACATTCGGCATTGGCGCCACATGGTGAAGGTTCACAAGGCTTGGGCTGCTCCTCACGTTGTTGCACGCACTGTACAAAAGCATTGCCAGCATAGCCGGGCGGGCAGGAGCAGGAGACTGAATGTCCAATGACGCGGCATTCGGAATTTGTTCCACATGAGCCTGGGCAAGGATCGCGACATTTGTTGTTTATGCAGGCCTGTGTTGAAGGGCAATCGGGATTAATGATGCATTCAACACGACAATTGGGTGGGGCTCCAAAGTATTCAGGAAGGCATTGGCAAACTGGCCCATTATCATCGGTTTTACATATTGAATTCGGTCCGCATGGTGACGGCACACAAGGGTCACTGACTGGCGTTTCGACATCCTTTGGCATTATTATTTCAGTGCAACGCTTGAATGGATCACCAGTTGTGCCTGGTGGGCAGCCGCAGATAGGACTGTGATTGATAACCTCACAACGCGAATCGATGCCACACACACCTGCGCAGGGATCCACGCATTTCCTATTGACACATGCTTGCATTGCTGAGCATTCGCTGGATACGACGCATTCTGGCCGGCATTGTGGAGGTACTCCAATGAAGCCATCCAAGCATGAGCAGACAGCATGCCCATTGACATCGCGACACTGACTATTAGCGCCACAGGGCGTCGGTGAGCAGGCTTTGATCTCGAGCGTAGGTTCAATCGGTTTTAGACGGCAGTTGGTAAACGGATCACCCTCGTAGCCCTGTTGGCATGAGCAGACTGGTATGTGATTCATCACTTCACAGACGGCATTATTGCCGCAGGTGCCCGGGCAGGGATCCACACATTTGTTGCGCATGCAAGCCTTATCTCTGGAACAATCGGCGGACAGTGTGCATTCGGGTCGGCAGCCTTCGTAGGGATTACCTTGATAGTTGTTCTGGCAGCGGCATTCACCGCCAAAGCAGTCAGCATTTGGTCCGCAGGGATTGGGACTGCATGGGTCGTCGGGGCGCTGTACTACCTTTGTATCTGGCAGCTTACTACAACGTATGAATGGATCGCCACTGTAGCCTTCGATGCAGTTACAGATTGGCAAATGGTTCAGTACATGGCACTTGGCTTCAAAGCCGCACGAGCCGGGACACGGATCGCGACATTTTTGATTGATACACGCCTCTGTGGGCCCACATTCCGAGTTCAGCACGCACTCTGGCCGGCAACGCGGTGGTGCTCCTATAAAGTCCGGAAGGCAAGAGCAAGCCGGACTACCGCCAACAATTTGGCACTTGGAGTTTGGCCCGCAAGGGGATGGTACGCAGGAAGGTGCGGGTGGTTCGGGTGTGGTTACAACGTGGGTAATGGCTGTAGAAATTAGATATTTTTTATTAAGTCAATGAAGTTGAATTGGTCTTATTTGGCTACTTACGTATCTTGGAGCACTGCACAAACGGATCACCAGTCATACCGCGGGGGCACGTACAGATGGGGCTGTGGTTCTTGGTGCTACAGATAGCGCGTATGCCACACGTGTGTAAGCATGGATCAACGCACTTGTTGTTAACGCAAGCTCGCTCTGGAGCACATTCAGCGCTGACAACGCACTCAGGACGGCAGTTGGGTGGTTGATTGACAAAACCGGACTGGCACGAGCATACAGCTTGATTGTTGATGCTGCGACAGTTACTATTCGGACCGCAAGGTGATGGCACGCAGGGATTCACAGGTGGTGGCGGTGTTACCGGCACAGGTCGGCAACTGAAGAACGGATCACCACTGTAGCCCGCCGGGCAAGTACAGGTGGGCACATGGTTATCTACTGTACAAATGGCATACTCGCCACACATATTGGCACAGGGATCAATGCACTTAAAGCGCACGCATGCCTGTGCTGGACTACACTCGTCGTTGATTTCGCATTCGCGACGACAGCCTCGCTGTGCATCGTAGGGATTACCCTCGAAGCCATCGTGACAATAGCAGGCACCGGCACCATTCCGTTCGCGGCACTCGGCATGGGGGCCACAGGGCGACGGTTCGCAGGGTGATGTGGGACGTTGCGTTGTCAACACTGGTGCCACCTGCTGGCATCCAAACAACGGATCGCCTTCATAGCCATCGGCGCAGGAGCAGACCGCATTGTGCTGTACAACCTGGCAGATGGCGTTGCTGCCACATGAGCCAGGACACGGGTTGATGCAACGCTCTTGCTGGCACGAGAGATTATTTTGGCATTCGTCGTTGTTAGTGCATTCTGGTCGACAGGCGGGCGGTCGTCCAATATAGTTGGCCTGGCAGGAGCATGCAGCCTGTTGTCCAATCTCGCGGCAAATGGAGTTCGGTCCACAAGGCGATGGTACACATGGATTCTCGGTGCTCTTGCCCACATCCTGAACGCAGCCTGAGATGGGATCACCAGTCATGCCTGGCACACAACTGCAGATGGGATTGTGATTGACTACTTGGCACTTGGCATTTTCCCCACAAGCGTTACGGCAGGGATCATCGCATTTCTGATTGATGCAGGCACGATTCTGCGCGCACTCTGAGCTAACCACACATTCGGGTTTGCAACTAGGTGGGGCTCCAATGTAACCCTCCACGCAGCTGCATACTGCATGGCTGTTTGTATCATGACACAGGCTATTGGGTCCACATGGTGAGGGCTGGCAGGGATTCTCCGGATGACGGATGACCATTTCAATCAACGCGCATGAGCGATGTGGATCGCCGGTGTAACCATCGAAGCACATGCAATTGGGTGCATGGTTCAGAACTCGGCATTCGGCGTTAATGCCGCAGACTCCGGGACATGGATCCTGACATTTGTTGTTGATGCAGGCACGTGAGCGATCGCAATCGGCGTTTTGTACACACTCCGGTCGACAGCCACTGTACGGATCACCAAAGTACTCGGGCATGCATGCGCAGGAGCCAGCACCATTGCGTTCGCGGCAGATGGCGTTGGCACCGCACGGACTTGGATTGCAGGGATTACGTGGTGCTTCCGTTGACGTGACTGCAGTGAGGCAAGTAAAGGGTGGAAAGAAAAATATGCAAATATTTATGTTAGAAATGGGCAACAATTGAGGACAACAGGATTTTATACTTTGTTGTATAATAGCACAGCCAGAGAATGGATCTCCGGTGTAACCAGGCTCGCATTGACAGTTCGGATTATGCTTGATAACAGTACACAGTGAGTGTATGCCACATGCACCGGCACATGGATTAGCGCAGCGCTGGTTTACACAGGCCAAGTTGGCTGGACAGTCGGGACTAGTCGTGCATTCAGGCCGACAATTGGGTGGCCTTCCGAGATAGTCGGGCAGGCAGGAGCATGCAGGCGAACCGCGCACATCGACGCATTTGGAGTTTGGTCCGCAGGGTGAGGGCACACAGGGATTACCAGATTCTTTGGGTGTTTGCTCCACTACATAGAGAACCCAAGCCAGTCATGCCAAATAGTTGAAGTAGTTGGATACACATACACATTTACACATATACAGATACATAGTACAGTTTGGAAGTTCGGATAGTGTAGAGTAGTTGGTAGAGTGTACATAAAATCAAAACATAAAGTAGAAAAAATATAGAACATTAAGGTGAAGGATTTATATACATGCAGGAAAGACACAGCCAGCTGGACAGGATTGTACATATCAATTGAATTTTAACCCTAACCCTATCTCTATCCAACTGGCTTAAGCATCATTTTGGACTACCCATGCTTACATATAATTCGAGTGCATCTATTGAAGGGATCTCCAGTATAGCCTGGGGCACAGGAACATGCAGGATAGTGGTTAATGACCTGGCAACGCGCCTCGATGCCACAAGTGCCTGGACATGGATCCACGCACTTCTGATTCTGACAGTTTAGATCTTGAGCGCAATCTGAGCTAACAATGCATTCGGGCCTACAGTTGGGCGCCGAGCCAATATAACTGGGCTGACATGAGCACACGGCATGGTTGTTTATCTCGCGACATTGACTGTACGGACCGCATGGTGAGGGCACGCATGGATTTTCATGGATTATAGCTAAGAATAGTAAATGGTGAGGTGGTCAGTTATGTGCAAGATACTTGGGTTGTCCATAAACCTACGTGGTGCGGGCAATTGTGGAATTTCGCGGCAGGCACTCGATGGATTTCCAGTGTAGCCGGCTAAGCAGGTGCAGCTGGGCAAATGATTGGAAACGCGGCATTCCGCATTCAAGCCACAAACGCCCGGACAAGGGTCCGCACATTTCTGGTTGATGCAGGATCTGTCGCGTGGACAATCACTGTTTACCACGCATTCCGGACGACAGCCACTGTACGGATCACCGAAATATTCGGCCAGGCAAGTACAGGAGCCGGCGCCATTGCGTTCCCGACACTCAGCATTCGGGCCGCATGGTGAGGGTACGCAGGGTGTCAAACGTTCTTCGGGTGGAGCGATAACTGAGGGTCATACATAGTAGACAAGCGATTAGGACTAATGCAAACGAGCAGTCTACGAAAATATGGCCTTACTTTGGGGATTGCAGCCAGCAAATGGATCGCCAGAATAGCCGGTTTCGCAGGTGCAAACTGGTGAATGATTCACTACGTTGCAGTAGGCATTAAAGCCACAGGAGCCGGGACATGGATCCTTGCAACGTTCGTTAATGCAGGCCAAATTAGCCGGGCATTCTGAGTTTTGCGTGCATTCAGGGCGGCAATTTGGAGCACGTCCAATATAGTTAGGCAGGCAGGAGCAGACGCCTGTCTCGTCAACAACACGGCACTGCGAGTTGGGACCGCAGGGACTTGGCACGCAAGGATTCTCATTTGACTTGGGTGTTTCGGGTTCTTGTTGCCAGGGTGTGCAACGCACAAACGGATCACCACTATAACCAACTGGGCAGGAGCAAATCGGATTATGATTGGTCACCTTGCAAACAGCTTCGTTGCCGCAAGTGCCTGGACATGGGTCTACACAGCGCAAGTTCATGCACGCCCTATCTTGCGCGCACTCGGAGCTAACCGAGCACTCGGGACGACAAGCGGGTGGTGCACCAATATAGTTGGTAACGCATGAGCAGACTGCATGGCCATTCACTTCACGGCATTGGCTATAGGGACCGCACGGTGATGGTTGACAAGGTTGGACAGGGGGAGCCACTACAAAATTGGGGTGAAATATTACTAAAACGATCTTCGTAAAATCTGATTTTTAAGGGAATACAGTACGTTTCGGTATTTCTCGGCAGTACTGTGAGGGGTTGCCCGTAAAGCCGGATGGGCAACTGCAGCTGGGAGAGTGATTAATAACGTGACATTCGGCAGCAACGCCGCAGACGCCTGGACAGGGATCTCGGCACTTGTTGTTGAGGCACGCGCGATTCTTCGAACAGTCGCTGTTCAGCACACATTCCGGACGGCACTCTGTGTACGGATCCCCACTGTATTCGGGCAGACAGGTACAGGAGCCAATGCTATTGCGTTCCTTGCAAACGGCATTGGCGCCACAGGGATTAGGGTTACAGGGCTCGGCAATTTCTGGTGGCACAATAACTAGGAAAAAGGTACAGTTTTAATATGAGGGTCATTGGGGGATTGTTCCGCTGAGCGTTAAGCGCTTACTTTGTGGACTACACTCAGAGAATGGATTGCCGACATAGCCATCAAGGCAGCGGCAGATTGGTCTATGATTATTTACAAGGCAAGTGGTCTGACTGCCGCAGGTGCCCACACAGGGATCCTGACAGCGTAGATTGATGCAAGCCATATTGCCAGAGCACTCGGAGTTCGAGGTGCACTCGGGTCGGCAATTTGGCGCCCTTCCCACATAATGTTGCAAGCATGAGCACACAGGTTGCTCATTAGCCACCCTACACTGTGAGCTGGGTCCACATGGCGAGGGCACACATGGATTGATGCGATCGTTTATATTGGGGCGTTCTACATTTACCAATACACCAAATATGATAACAGCATGCACCATTAAAAGCCAAATAATATTGTACATATAAAAAAGAAAGATATATAGATATAAATATAGTATGGGTGATAGATGTGATTCTGGGAATGGGATGAAATAAGGAAAGCGAACCGAGGTTAACTTTCGTATGATGATTGCATGCAATGACGGTTTCTTACGTTCTTGGGGTAAACAGCGTACGAACGGATCACCACTGTAACCAGGGCTGCAGGAGCAAATGGGGTTGTGATTGACGACGCGGCAGAGTGCATTATTGCCGCATGTACCAGGGCAGGGATCTTTGCAGCGCTCGTTGATACACGACTTGTCCTGGCCGCACTCCGAACTGCTCATGCATTCGGGCCGACAGTTGGGTGGTGCGCCAACATAATTGGGCACACACGAGCAGACTGCATGACCATTGAGTGCACGGCAGTTGCTATATAGACCGCATGGTGAGGGTTGGCATGGGTTTTCTGGCACAATTGGATCGGGATCTAAACACATTGGATGGTGTGCTATTAATTAGGGTTATTCTAAGTATGTTCCTAGCGAATTTGGGCAGAGTCTTACAGCGTGGCGTTTCAGGCACTAGATGACAGCCAACAATGGGATTTCCTGTATAGCCTGGCAGGCATTCGCAGTTGGGCGCATGATTAAATACGGTGCACAGAGCGCTGTGGCCGCACATGCCCGGACACGGATCGACACACTTCTGGTTGACGCAGGCACGCGATTTGGGACAATCGGAGTTGATCACACACTCGGGTCGGCATTCGACATATGGGTCGCCGAAGTATTCGGGTAAGCATTTGCAGGACGCAGCGCGATTGCGCTCCTCGCATTGAGCGTTCAGGCCACAGGGACTGGGTCGACAGGGTTGTGTAGTTTCTATCGGTGCTGTTGGTGTTTAACAGATAACAGGTTTGAGTGTAAAGACACCAAAATTATTGGGGCGACAGTATATAAGGAACAGGACGTACTTTCCAAAATCTGGTAACATCCGGAGAAGGGATCTCCCGTGTAGCCTGGCTGGCACATGCACACAGGTGCATGGAAGCTAACATGACAGAGCGCGTTATTGCCGCATGCGGCAATGCAAGGATCAGCGCAGCGTGAATTCATGCAAGCCATACGGGCCGAACACTCAGAGTTGATGGTGCATTCGGGGCGACAGGCCGGCGGACGTCCTATGTAGTTATTAATACAGGCACAGACAGCGCCGCTACTTGCGGCCTGACACTGCGAGTTGGGGCCACAGGGAGAGGGCACACAGGGGTTTGGCGGTTGTATGGGGTCTGGTATGGGCGATGGCTCTACAAGCATGACAAGGTAAAAATATTTAGATTTAGGCCGCTAGCAGTAAGGACAATGGGGCACATACTTCGCTCGGGCACACACTGATGGAATGGGTCACCAGTGTAGCCATCATTACAGCTGCAAATGGGCGAATGGTTGGTGGTGCGACAGCGCGCATTATAACCACAGGTGCCAGGGCACGGATCACGGCATCTCTGATTCATGCAGGCCCTATCTGAGGAGCACTCTGCACTTGTCAGACACTCGGGTTTGCAATTGGGCGGACTGCCCATATAGTCTGGCAAGCAAGCGCAGACTGGACGACTGCCAACCACATGACAAGTGCTAAAGAGGCCGCAGGGTGAAGGTCTGCATGGATCTTTGGGTAATGGCAGGTACATATCTAAGGGCAGGTACACGAAGTCATTGTTTAAAGACAAATTCTACATCTGTTATTTGAGTGTGTATACTTGTGGGCTTTTCGATGCAGGCACGCAGGGGATTGCCTGTGAAACCTGGGTCACAACTGCATACGGGCTGATGATGAGCAACGCGACAAATCGCGTTAAAGCCACAAGCATTGGCACAGGGATCGCGACACTTCATATTGATGCAGGCCTTGATATCGGGACAATCGCTGTTCTGTACACATTCGGGTCGGCAATTTATGTATGGATCACCAAAATAGTTCTGAATACAGCTGCATGAGCCGGCACCGTTGCGTTCGCGACAAATGGCATTTGCACCACATGGCGATGGATAGCATGGATCAGAGGGCAGATCGGGCACCACAACTATTCATAGGCATAGACATGTACATGGACATTGACATAGAAATAGCAAGCAGGTGGATGATGCATACAATAAAATATAGATAAAGATACAGTTTACAGAAATAGCTTACAGGCTAGAAATATACATAGGTGATAATGCTGAAGTCGAGAACGTCCGACTATGAAGTACCCTATACCCCATGACTTTATTGCCCCAAAGTAAGCAGTCTCATTATTCTGATACAGATTACGTTAAATATTTTCTTTTATAATTTATGCATTTGGTATAGGGACAATATTATAAAATTGTTCACAACTTCGGCTACAAATATTGTGATATACCGGATAATACAGTTTGGCCAGTTTGGTCTTTGCAAGCATAAGTTTATGTAAACAGTTTCTAAAAATATATCAACAGCTTTGTGACTGGCTTTTGTATGGGTACAGGGTATAAGTAGATGAAAGAGTGATGTACACAATACAAAAAACATGCATGAAATGAGTACCATAAGCCCCTTAAGTCTAGAACACCACTGAAAAGAACATATAACATTAAGGAGACAATGGGCGCTTTAGCCTGATCACAGTAAGGCAATCGAGCGCTTGGAAAGGATAGCAAATAATTGAAAAAGATGTACTCACTTTGATGCATATTGCAGCCAGTATAGGGATCGCCCTCGTAACCGTCAAGGCAACTGCACTTGGGCTGGTGATGCTGTGTGGTGCACAGCGCATTGAAGCCACAAGTGCCGATGCAAGGATCCTCGCAGCGCTGGTGTATGCAGGCTCGATTTGAGGGACAGTCTTGATTAATGATACACTCGGGTCGGCAGCTGGGCGGCGCACCGAACATGCCAGGTAAACAGGAACACTCAGCACGATTATTTACATCGCGACACTTGGCATTTGGTCCGCACGGGTTTGGTAGGCAGGGATTAATTGGTGCATGTGGAGGAGCTGCGAAAAGACAAAAAAGGGTTTAAGAATAAATTGACAATTTGGTTTAGCTACTACTCACGTTTAGGTACACATTGTTCGAATGGATCTCCCACGTATTCATTGGGGCACGTGCAGATGGGATTATGATTGTTCACTTGGCACTTGGCATTGAAACCGCATGTGCCACTGCATGGATCAGCGCACTTCTGATTGATACATGCCAAATGTTGTGCACACTCCGAGCTGACCACACACTCCGGTCGGCAAGAGGGCGGTGCACCAAAGTAGCCAACCTGGCAGCTACATGCGGGATGACCCTCTACTGTACGGCATATGCTGTTCGATCCACAAGGATTTGGTTCACAAACACTAATAGGTCCAATGGGCGTGCGTTTGCAGCCCACGAACGGATCACCTTCGAAACCACGCGTGCAACTGCAAGTGGGCAAATGATTTACTACCGCACACTCTGAATTGGGTCCGCAGGCGCCAGTGCATGGATTGCGACAGTGCTGCTTAATGCAAGCCAGTGACGAAGGGCATTCTGAGTTGTAGATACATTCTGGACGACAGCCGGTGCTGTAGGGATCACCATTGTAGGGCTCAATGCAACTGCAGCGAGCGGCGCCATTGTGCGGTGTGCACACTGCATTCTCGGCGCATGGATTCGGATAGCACGGATTAATGTGATCATGTGGCTCTGTAATAGATAAATAAAGCTAATATCGTAGATAAAGTGTAAATTATATATTTATCTTACTCTCTTCTATGACCTTTGAACATCCCACGAAGGCGTCACCCTTGTAGCCCGAATCACAGCTACAATGAGCTGAGTGTGCAACAACTGTGCAGCGGGCATTGTGTCCACAAGTATTGTCGCATGGATTCTGACACTTTTCATGTATGCAGGCCTTGTCGGCGGGGCATTCACTACTCAGCGTGCACTCGGGTCGGCAGTATGGGGGACTGCCAATGTAGTTAGCCACACAAGAACATACTGGTCGGTTCTGTTTGATCTGGCATATTGAGTTGGGACCGCATGGTGATGGCACACAAGGATTTGTTGGTGATTTGCCATCTATAGGAGGTTCCGGTACCCGCGAGCATGCCACAAACGGATCACCCTCAAAATGTGCCTCACATGAGCAAATCGGGTTGTGATTCAGCACCTCACAGCGAGCATCGCTGCCGCAAGTGCCTGGACAGGGATCAGCACAGCGTTGATTAATGCATGCCTGACTAGGCGCACACTCCGAGCTGACCACGCACTCTGGCTGGCAAACTGGTGGAGCACCCTTGAAGTTGGGCAGACAGGAACACGCCGCATATCCATCAGCAGAAGCCAAACAACGAGAGTTAGGACCACAGGGTGAGGGTTCGCACGGATTGCGACGCTCAGGTGTCACTGGCGGCAGGTAGTATGGATTGCAGGCCACAAATGCATCGCCGCTATAACCTTCGGCACACACACAAACTGGAGCATGGTTGACAACACGGCACACGGCATTAATGCCACAGACCCCGTTGCAGGTGTCCACGCACTTGGAATTCACACAAGATTTGTCTGCCGCACAATCGCTGTTGAGCACACACTCTGGACGACAGCCTATGTAGGGATTACCGAAGTAGCCCTTGCGGCAAATGCAAGTTAGACCACCACTCTGTCGCTTGCAGTCAGAATTAGGTCCACACTGCAGTTTTGCACAACTAGCCGAAGGCGTTGGTACAATGGGTGAGGGTGGTGAGCACTGCTCGTAGGGATTTCCATAGAGTCCGGTGGGGCAAGCACATACTGGATTATGCTCGTAAACATTGCAAACGGCGTTGCGTCCACATGAGCCTGGGCAGGGATCCAAACAGCGTTGACTTAAACATGCGCGATCGAAGGGACAGTCCGAATTGGCAATACATTCGGGTCGGCATCGAGGATTCTGCTGGGCATTGGGGCCAAAGCAAGGATCACAGAGTGCAACACCATCACCAAAGACGGAGCACACATCATTGGGTCCACAAGGTGAGGGCGCACAAGGATCACGGGAATCGTTTTTCACAATACCGATAGGCACGCACTGCAGGAAAGCATCTCCAGCAAATCCATCCAAACAATGACAAACTGGCGTATGTTGGCGTACATTACAAATTGCATTAATGCCGCAGATGGTGCCAGCACAAGGATCTATACACTTGTGATTGATACAGGACAGTGACTCTCCGCAGTCCGAATTGATATCGCATTCCGGACGACAGCCGGATTGGGGATCGCCCAGATATCCAGATAGACAAGAGCAGACAGCGCGATTATTCAGCAACTTGCACTCGCTATTTAGGCCGCACGGACTTGGCAAACATGGGTTTGCCTTGGGTTGGTCCAGGGCATAGCAGCGCACGCCAGGATTTCCAGTTAGGCCCGCATTGCAAGAGCACACCGGATGATGTTGTTCCACGCGGCAATTGGCTCCATGGCCGCAGGCGCCTGGGCATGGATCGTAGCAGCGGAAACCCATGCAAGCCTTACTTTGCGGACAATCGGTATCCACTTGACATTCGTATCCATGGCAGCCGACAAGCGATGTTGGGTCGCCAGAGAGGCCTTCCGGACAGACGCAAGCGGTCTGACCATCGCCAGCAACAACGCAATTGGCATTGGGTCCGCAGGGGTTAGGATCGCAAACAGTTCGACTTGGTTCACGGCATCCCTGATAGGCATCTCCAATATAGCCCGAACGACAGTAGCATTCCTCCCGATTGCCCGCCACATAGCAGTCGGCATTGCGACCACATGGCCCAGGCTGACACAATTCGATAGAAACGGCAGGCTTCTCGCAAATTCTGAAGGGATTGCCAATCTTGTTGTCCGGACAGTAGCATACGGGCTGGCGTGATGAGTCGCAAATGGCGCCAGTGCCGCAAGGATTTGGTTCACAGGGATTAATGGGCTCCACGCAGCCGCGTATTGTGTTGGGGCTCTCCACATATCCAGGCAAGCAGGTGCACTTGGAGAATCCGTTGCTCAGTACTGCACACTGAGTGTTAGGACCACATGGCGAGGGTTCGCACGGATTAGAAGGTAGCTCACAAGCTATCTGTGGAGGCTGACCCTCGTATTCAGGCAAACAGAAGCAAATCGGAGCGCCGTTGACACGTCGACAGCCAGAGTTGGGACCGCATGGATTTGGAATGCACTCATCGCCCTCGGGTACTGCGAGTTGACAACGTTTTAGATTTGATTGCGACTGATTAAAAACAAGCGAATACTTACTGCAATTTTTGAAGGGATTACCGGTGAGTCCCTTAGGGCAGAAGCATATGGGATTGCCATTATCAAGCTCACACTGCGCATTCAAACCGCATGGGTTGGGATCGCATGGATTCTGTGGCGGACTGCAACCCACCTCTGGGTTTCCATTGTATCCAGGTGGGCACTTGCATAGGCCACGATGGTTAATCACTTCGCATAGGGCATAGGCACCACATTGACAAGGCGATGTGCACTTGCCGTTGATGCATGCCTGACTGGCATCACATTCCGAATCGGCGCGACAACCCAAAGATTGTTGGCATAAAACATAGGCATTACCCAAGTAGCCGGGCAAACAGCGGCAGTCGATGCCATGGTTGACCGGTACACATTCGGCGTTCTCGCCACAGGAATCCTCTTGGCAGGGATTGATGCAACGACGATTGAGGCGATCGCATAGCTTATTGGGTGGACAATCCTCGTTGTATTGGCAAACGTGTGTGCGTGCTATATTTTGGGTTAGGGTTACGGTGCGGTTTGTTTTGTGTATTTATAATTCGATTCGTGTTGTTGTTGTTGTTCGTGAGTCGGGGTTGTACAAAATTTTATACATGTGTTGACAGGTGTACGGGGAATTTGTACAGTGTATGAAAGAGAGAGACATTTTGGGAAATGAAATACGTTGTGTCACATTAGCATGGGAACACTTGAGGGTAGCAAAAGTGCAACAAGTGCTGGCTGTAACAAGTTACTAACCTGGCTGGCAACCGATAAGACCGTTGCCCTGATAGCCATCCACACAACTGCAATCGGTCGCATGATTTGAGTTGATACAAACAGCATTCTCGGCGCAAGGATCATGCACATCGCACGGATGCTGGCAACGATCATTGATACAGGCTTCTGTAACTCCGCAATCCGAATTGTCTGTGCATTCGACTGTTAACAGAAAGAGACAGCGTTAGTGATTTCCTTTATCACTTCAAAATTATTTGCCACCCGATATTTGCTTAGTTGTATTAAATTTGATGTATTTTCATGAAATTGTTGATTAATTGATTAGTTGCTTACTTGACGTTTTGGTGGACACACACTTGACCATCGGATTGCCCTCATGGCCCTGTGGGCAGGTGCATATGGGTCGATGACTCTTCGCCGTACACTTGGCACTCGAAGCACATACTTTAGCAAATTCACAGGGATTATGGCACAGACCCATATAGCAGGCTTCGCTTTCAATACAATCGTTGTTCGATTGACATGGCTCTGGTGTTTTGGGTGTGCCCGGAGGTTCTACTTGTTAGAAATCATTAATTTGGTTAGAATTTGTATTATTAATATTGATTAATTAACATTTGATTGTAATGCAAATATGTTAGGCTTATCAGATGGTTCTCATATGTACAGTGAATTTTATGGCCATGTATCCAATATATTATGTTCAAACTGTACAGCAATTATTTAGTTTATGTGTACCCTTGCTGGAGATTTGGAACGTAATTCTTCGGCGTAAATTGAATGAACTTACAAAATCGGACGAAGGTAATTTTTCATTTTGATTAAAAAAAAAACGAATTCGTATATGAAAGCATAAAGTTAAATTTATATTATATATTTTTAATTTATCAGCAAGGGTATTTAATCTTCGGCATACCGAAGATAAACGCAGGATTTTGTATGACGTTTAACATATTTATACTTTGATACCGTGATAGTGTATTGGTTTTGTGCAATGTACGTCACGCAGTCTGTCTGTCTATCCGTCTGTATGAACGCAACTTTTATTGACACCCTTGACTTGAAACTTTGAACAATATACTGGTCTGTGCCGGCGTCAGATAGAGTATAGGAAATCGATAAAGTCGATATTCGCAAATCGATAAAGCCACATATATCCCACAATTTAAAGGGTAAAGTCACCAAATTTGGTTGATAGGTTGTTGGCGACGTCTTTCACAGATTGGCATATGCTACGCCATATGGAAGGACGATTACTCTGAACCTTCTCTAATCATTTTTTTCACCGACGCCCACTCCCACCTTCCAAATTTTCGAAAGTCCATGTCTCCCGTAATTTAAGAGCTACATTTGTCAAACTTGGAAGGAAGGTTCCTTGGAAACTCTTCCAACCATTTTTTAAGGCCACACCCACTCCCGCCCAAAAATTCACAAAACCCTATATCTACCGTAATTTGAAAGGCAAACTTGGACGGTATTTCTTGGCTACACCCACCTCATTATTTGCTACGTGTTATTAGCTGGTATTACTTATGGTATCAAAGTATTTCGCAATCGGTTACGCCTGACTGCAATGTTCTCTCTTATTTACATTTTGGGAATGTGAAATGCACACTTATCACTTTGGTACTTAAATTTGTGGAGGAATATTTGAAAACCATTATAATATATTTACAATATGATTTAAATAAAAGAACAAGATTTGGGACAGAGCAATTCCACATTTTGGGTACCTAAAGTGGATAGCATAGCCAATTGTATAGACGATTGTGTATACCTTTCTTTGGGCAACGCCCCAGCTTACAGTACTCGTTAGGGAGCACAGTTAGTATCTACTGTACATGGGTTAAATAATTGTGATATCTGTGGTGTTGGCCGGTGATGCAACGGTTGATGTGTACACAGTGATTAAGTCATCAATTTCCGTCGTTGTGCCCGCTCTGGTCGGCAGCTCCGTGGGCCAAGCTGTTGTGCTCGTCATTGTTGTCGTCTCGGGAATCTCATTTGAAGTATCAAGTCGAGTTGTCTTCATTTTAGGGGTTGTCGTGCGCCTACCACCATCTTTGCTGGCGAGTGTTGTTGTTGTGATCACTGGTCTTTGTGTTGTCGTATCGGTTATATTGTTTTCACCATCCCGATAGCCTTTAGTATGACCCGACTTTGTAGTTGTTGTCTCAATGGGAGGTTTACTCGTGCTGGTTATGTTAGTAACGCTTATGATTGTGCTCTTTTCAGTGCTAGTAGTTGTGGTGCTAGTGGTGGTAGCGTTGATAAAAATTGGCAACATATCGTCGCCAGTAGTTGGGTTAGCTGTTGTTGTTTTTGTGGTTGTTGTTCTTGTTGTATGTGCTGTTGTTGTTGGTTTCACTGTGGTTTTCTTGGTAGTACTAGTTGTTATTGTTACATTAGCTAGGGAGAGAGACATATTTACATGGGTAAAGGGTGTTTATTTTATAATACACATATTTACACAGTATGATATTTAGACTTGTTAGTGTTGAGGCATTGCCTAGTATAATTACTTTTGTATGCACCATTTAATTGTGGATTAATCGAAATCTTGTACATACCTTTAATACAGGCGCCAGTTGTAGGATCGCACTTTGCGCCTGGCGGACAGTGGTCGCAGCCAGGAGTGCGACCTGTTGCTGTAATATCATGAATTAATACCACAATACAAAATTCTGGGCCATACTCAATTGTACTTACTATCTTGGCAGTGACAACCATCACACTCGAAACCGTTGTGACAATCAGATTTTCGCTGACATTCACAGACTGAAAATCATGATTAATAAGTAAATATAATGTTCGTATTAAATTACACCACAATTTTAGAAAAATAACCTACCGCTGGCACAAACTGGTTGATGGGCAATTACGCGACAATCCTCACTGCGACCGCAGGGATTCGCAAATGCGCAGGGATCCACGCAAAGCGCATTTACACATGCCTGTTGAGTAGGGCACTCATCGCTAGAGGCACAACCAATTTCTAATTTTGCGTTTCGTGAGTGCGTTGTAAAGTAAGCAAAACGATTGCATTAGTTAAGGCATTAGGTATAATTTTCGGTTTAAACATTCGATTATATATGTTTAATTCATATTATAAGTGTATTTTCTTTAAGAATCCTGTTCGATAGGTAGTTTTTCTTGATTTTTTCAATGCAGTTAGTAAAAAATTTATTTTTTTAAAAATTTGTTCTTATGCTGCCATACGAGGCACATACTAGCACATCTAATGCTATCAAGCTATAAGCATATTAAATTAGATATTGTTTAGTTTTTGTTTAGCTGTTGTTGTCACAAAACAACATATACACATGCAAGCAAGCAATTGGGATATTCGGGGTTAGTGCATTTTTAAAAAGCTGTATATCATTCAACACCAGTTAGTACTATCACCATGCAATTAATCATTCTATACAATTATAAATAAAACTTACTGCACTTGATTATGTGTACATAAAAGTGATAAATATATATATACAAACAAACATATGTACTAAATACAACAAAAATCAACACAAATTGTCTTATAGAACACAAAGAAGATGAGATCGTAACGTTGACATATAACATGCACATCGAGCTCATTCCAAAAGATATCGAGAGACATTCAACAATATGTGATATGATGTAGGACTTGATGATACACGTACTTGCAGCAGCAGGCAGGCAGGCAAACAGAAAGCAGGCAACTAACATGAACGAGGACGAGAACAAGAAAGAGTGAACTAGCTCTATTTAAGTTGAACTTGGGTGAATACATATATTGCTCCATTTGTGAACACAAACATAAACTTCGTGAGCTTGTCCAAGTGGTGTTTCCGTAATGGGTAATTGTTGTAGGTGCAGGCATATACATACATATACGAATGACAGCAGAAGAGCCAGTGATAAGAGCCGGGGAAGAAGAACAAATGGAATAGAATTTGAAGCGATTTGATGCCATTTATATAGGAACACACTGGGGTTGGATTGCAAGGAATAGAACGAAAAAAAATAAAACATGCACGTGCCAGCCATTAAGCTGGGCCGGTCAGCTATGGCACAAGTGGGAGAAGGTGTGATGAGATCCATAAAGAGCAGAAGAAAGAGAAAACTATATGACATCAAATTGAAGTAGACTTTTACGCATTGCCAGATGCATTGGCGATTTAAGTAGTTGGCGCCACGGATGCCAATAGAATATTTCACCACAACCTTGTGGTTCTTTGCAATTCATTCAATTGATAAAGAACACGTGGGTCCATATTAAGACTTACGATTTACGTACACAGCTTTAGTTACCTGCATTAATAGAGCAACCGGGTTTATTTACATCTGCGGCGGAATCACAAAAGCACAAAGCGGTGTGGTTCAATGTACGACACACAGTAAAGTTCTGAACATTACAAAGTGTTTCATAATATTCGCAGGGCCTAATGCAGTTTGCTCTTACACATATCTCATCGTCCAAACAATCAGTTGTTATTATACATTTAGGTAAAATTTCTGTCGTGTTGTCTTCTGTACGGGTCATATTTGGTGCACCCACAGAACTCTGCGTAACTTTCGGTTCACCTGACTCTATAACAACGCTCTGAGTGGTTTTTTCACCTGGATAGCACATCGATGTGTAAAAAAAGGGCACCGTTGTATTCGAATAACTTTCTGTTGTGGTAGGAACACCAGTCACCATGGACTCTGTAGTCAATAAAGTTATCTCGTTTGCAGACTTTGTTGTAGAATATTGCATAGTTATCGTCGAGGTAGTAGCTGTCTGCGAAGTGTCAGGCGTTAAAGTAGATCCTATCGTTGAAAGCGGCTCTTTAAATGGGAAGGACACCGTGGTGATATCGGCGGCAGGAGTCACATAAGTAACAGAAATAGGAACTATCTCAGTTGTACTGGCAGCTCCTCCACCAGGAGTTGTTTGTTCAGTAACTGTCGATGGAGGTGTAGTGTCTGCATATGGTGGTACCGAAGTGGACCCTAGTGGAAGAAGACTCTCAGTTGGAATGGTTTTAGGGGTTTGATGGGTTGTTGGTTGCGATGTGCCAATTCGAACAGTAGTTTCATCAGAGATAGTGGGTTCAGTAGATTCTGTATAAATTCTGTGGGTTGTTGCAGAAGTTGGCGTAGTTGACTCGCCAGGCATAGGCGTCAAAGTTGAACCTTCAGTTGTAAACTGCTCTTTAGATGGGAATGAGGTAGTTGTGCTCCCAGGAACAGAAGTCACTTGAGTAACAGAGGGTATTTTTGCCTCAGTTGTAATGGAAGGCATTCCACCAAGAGTTGTTTGTTCAGTAACTGTCAATGGAGGTGTAGTGTCTGTATATGGTGGTACCGAAGTGGACCCTAGTGGAAGCATACTCTCAGTTGGAATGGTTTGAGGGGTTTGATGGGTTGTTGGTTGCGATGTGCCAATTCGAACAGTAGTTTCATCAGAGATAGTGGGTTCAGTAGATTCTGTATAAATTCTGTGGGTTGTTGCAGAAGTTGGCGTAGTTGACTCGCCAGGTATAGGCGTCAAAGTTGAACCTTCAGTTGTAAACTGCTCTTTAGATGGGAATGAGGTAGTTGTGCTCCCAGGAACAGAAGTCACTTGAGTAACAGAGGGTATTTTCGCCTCAGTTGTAATGGAAGGCATTCCACCAAGAGTTATTTGTTCAGTAACTGTCGATGGAAGTGTAGTGTCTGTATATGGTGGTACCGAAGTGGACCCTAGTGGAAGCATACTCTCAGTTGGAATGGTTTTAGGGGTTTGATGGGTTGTTGGTTGCGATGTGCCAATTCGAACAGGAGTTTCATTAGAGATAGTGGGTTCAGTAGTTTCTGTATAAATTCTGTGGGTTGTTGCAGACGTTGGCGTAGTTGACTCGCCAGGTATAGGCGTCAAAGTTGAACCTTCAGTTGTAAACTGCTCTTTAGATGGGAATGAGGTAGTTGTGCTCCCAGGGACAGAAGTCACTTGAGTAACAGAGGGTATTTTTGCCTCAGTTGTAATGGAAGTCATTCCACCAAGAGTTGTTTGTTCAGTAACTGTCGATGGAGGTGTAGTGTCTGTATATGGTGGTACCGAAGTGGACCCTAGTGGAAGCATACTCTCAGTTGGAATGGTTTGAGGGGTTTGATGGGTTGTTGGTTGCGATGTGCCAATTCGAACAGTAGTTTCATTAGAGATAGTGGGTTCAGTAGTTTCTGTATAAATTCTGTGGGTTGTTGCAGACGTTGGCGTAGTTGACTCGCCAGGTATAGGCGTCAAAGTTGAACCTTCAGTTGTAAACTGCTCTTTAGATGGGAATGAGGTAGTTGTGCTCCCAGGGACAGAAGTCACTTGAGTAACAGAGGGTATTTTTGCCTCAGTTGTAATGGAAGGCATTCCACCAAGAGTTGTTTGTTCAGTAACTGTCGATGGAAGTGTAGTGTCTGTATATGGTGGTACCGAAGTGGACCCTAGTGGAAGCATACTCTCAGTTGGAATGGTTTGAGGGGTTTGATGGGTTGTTGGTTGCGATGTGCCAATTCGAACAGTAGTTTCATCAGAGATAGTGGGTTCAGTAGATTCTGTATAAATTCTGTGGGTTGTTGCAGACGTTGGCGTAGTTGACTCGCCAGGTATAGGCGTCAAAGTTGAACCTTCAGTTGTAAACTGCTCTTTAGATGGGAATGAGGTAGTTGTGCTCCCAGGGACAGAAGTCACTTGAGTAACAGACGGTATTTTCGCCTCAGATGTAATGGAAGTCATTCCACCAAGAGTTGTTTGTTCAGTAACTGTCGATGGAGGTGTAGTGTCTGTATATGGTGGTACCGAAGTGGACCCTAGTGGAAGCATACTCTCAGTTGGAATGGTTTGAGGGGTTTGATGGGTTGTTGGTTGCGATGTGCCAATTCGAACAGTAGTTTCATTAGAGATAGTGGGTTCAGTAGTTTCTGTATAAATTCTGTGGGTTGTTGCAGACGTTGGCGTAGTTGACTCGCCAGGTATAGGCGTCAAAGTTGAACCTTCAGTTGTAAACTGCTCTTTAGATGGGAATGAGGTAGTTGTGCTCCCAGGGACAGAAGTCACTTGAGTAACAGACGGGTATTTTCGCCTCAGATGTAATGGAAGTCATTCCACCAAGAGTTGTTTGTTCAGTAACTGTCGATGGAAGTGTAGTGTCTGTATATGGTGGTACCGAAGTGGACCCTAGTGGAAGCATACTCTCAGTTGGAATGGTTTGAGGGGTTTGATGGGTTGTTGGTTGCGATGTGCCGATTCGAACAGTAGTTTCACCAGAAATAGTGGGTTCAGTAGATTCTGTATAAATTCTGTGGGTTGTTGCAGACGTTGGCGTAGTTGACTCGCCAGGTACAGGCGTCAAAGTTGAACCTTCAGTTGTAAACTGCTCTTTAGATGGGAATGAGGTAGTTGTGCTCCCAGGGACAGAAGTCACTTGAGTAACAGACGGTATTTTCGCCTCAGATGTAATGGAAGTCATTCCACCAAGAGTTGTTAGTTCAGTAACTGTCGATGGAGGTGTAGTGTCTGTATATGGTGGTACCGAAGTGGACCCTAGTGGAAGTATTCTCTCAGTTGGAATGCTTTTAGGTGTTTGATGGGTTGTTGGTTGCGATGTGCCGATTCGAACAGTAGTTTCACCAGAAATAGTGGGTTCAGTAGATTCTGTATAAATTCTGTGGGTTGTTGCAGACGTTGGCGTAGTTGACTCGCCAGGTACAGGCGTCAAAGTTGAACCTTCAGTTGTAAACTGCTCTTTAGATGGGAATGAGGTAGTTGTGCTCCCAGGGACAGAAGTCACTTGAGTAACAGAGGGTATTTTTGCCTCAGTTGTAATGGAAGGCATTCCACCAAGAGTTGTTTGTTCAGTAACTGTCGATGGAAGTGTAGTGTCTGTATATGGTGGTACCGAAGTGGACCCTAGTGGAAGCATACTCTCAGTTGGAATGGTTTGAGGGGTTTGATGGGTTGTTGGTTGCGATGTGCCAATTCGAACAGTAGTTTCATTA